TTCTTGAAAGACAGCCCTACCATACATCAGTACTCACTGGACATGCATGGGTGCAAGAACTCATCAATGGATACCCTGACGGGATCAAAACTGAGCTTGGAATGAGGAAACATATCTTCCATGCACTTGTACATGAGCTTTGGACCTGTGGGCTATGTAACTCAAAATATATTCTGCTTGACAAGCAAGTCACTATATTTCTCTATACATGTGTGACAGGGCTTTCAAGCCGTCATGTTGCAGAACATTTTCAGCACTCCCACACAATGACACAGAAGTATGTCCATACTATTGCAAGATATTCACTGTCTCACATGCCACATCAGATATTTCAAGAAAGTCCTGCTCGCTCTGTCTTTGGCTCCCTTCTACAACAAATTTGTCTATCTACCACAGGAGGATGCACCTATTCTACCAGAAATATCTGGGAACCCAAAATTCTTTCCACACTTTGAAGGGGTGCTTGAAGCCATAGATGGTACACACATCACATGTTGTTCATCTGCAGCAGAAAGGCAGCTGTCTTGAAACCAAAAAGGTTTCATCAGCCAAAACTGTCTTGTGTGCTGTTCATTTGATTTTCGGTTCCAGTATGTGCTCAGCAGTTAGGATGGATTGACCTTGGACTCAACTCTATATAATAACATCCATCTCACTGACCTATACATTCTGCAAGGAAGATACTACCTTGTGGATGCTGGGTTTAGAATATACTATTCACTTCTCATTCCATACTGAAGTGTTTGGTACCACTTGGCTGAGTGGGGATGAGCTGCAGTTCAGTGAGTGATATTTCACTTGAACTATTGATTTTCTCATGGATGGCAGGCCAAAGGATTCGAAAGAAATATACAACCTTCAGCATGCTCAGGCTCAAAACATGATTGAGCAAATATTTGGTGTTCTCAAGAGGTGGTTCATGATACTCATACATCCACCAGAATATAGCATGTCGACACAAGCCCAAATTCCCCCAGCACTTTGCACCATTCACAACTTCATCTGAATTTTCGATCCAAAGGAAATAGAAGAATTCACCATTAAGGATCTTGTGGACCTTGATCCAGGTGAGCCAAGGGGTGATCTTGCTGAAGGACTGGCGGGCTGTACTGAAAGGCAAAAGGCAACAGAGGACAGAGATTGTATTGCAGATGCTATGTGAAGGGACTATCATAGAGTGTGTTGTGCTCATCAGGACATGACAGGATGAGTACACAATGCCTATACTACCTATTAAGGTTGTGTGCTCAAGGGGGTTGGATCACAAGGGCTTAGCCTCAGCTTGTACACTGTGCCCCTTTCCCAAGTATGTGCCCTTAATTTCCAGGGGCTAGAACAGTTGTCTGGAGTTTCTGGGATTTGACTAGGGTGGACAACAGACGTCTGGATGTTACTTGGACAAGCAGATAAGGCTAATCCAGACAAAGTCTGAACTAGAAACTAACAGGGGATAGACTACCCTAAGGTAGAGCTGGAGGTGTAGTCTAGGATACAATCCTAAGACTCAGAATATGACAAGAGACTTGGCTCAAGTCTGGAGGACACAGGAATGAGCAGGAACTAAGATGATATTTGAACTGAAGTATTTCTGAGAGCCACAGGAGGCCTATATACTGTAGGTATCATATAGGAATCAGTCAGCAAACACAAAGGCTATGTACGAAGCATATGCAAAGTCTATTAGTAAGTAGGATGGATCACTAATAATGCATATCAGAAATGAAATGTATGTAACGGATCAATAATCAGAAGGGAAACATAGTTAACCAGAGTCTGGAGACAGGGGAAGTCTAAATGGGGTTGGTGTTAAGAACCATGCTCAAAGGAGAGAGAGACTGACTCAGAGGGGCTTGGCCTCAGCTTGTACACTGTGCCCCTTACCTGAGTATGTGCCCTTCATTTCAGAGGAAGTCCAATGATGGTCCGATGAAGTCCGGAGGACTTCTGGAGGCTGGCTACTCTGGTGGAGAGTGCGGGAGGACTTCCGGAGGAGCGCAGGAAACGTCCGGAGGAGCGCGGGAGAGTTCTGGAGGGATGCAGGAAATGCTCAGGAGAGTTCCCACTGCAAGGTAATACTTCTACAGGAAAACAGGATGGACGGATAGGAGGTCCGGAGGTCCGGAAGGAATAGGGGCTACATCGGACTTCGTCTGATGTAGAAGCAAATGGAGGTAGACTACCCTAAGGTAGAGTCGGAGGGACGGGAAGCGGACCTAAGTCTGGAAAGAGGGTAAGTGCCAGAAAGGCAAGACTCCAGCCTAGGGAAGCAATCCCTAGACTTGGGACAGAGACATAGGGGGCAAATCCGAAGGTCCGGAATTCTGGCCTAGGGAATCCTTCCCTAGGCCTTACAGAAAAGGACAAGACTCAGATGGACTGAAGTCCAGAAGATGATTGGGCAGATCTAAGGTGATATTCAGACTGAGGACTCTACTGTAGTTGTACAGGGGTTATATACTAGAGGCTATCTGAGAGGATCAGTAAGCAAAGGAGTAAGGCTATGTATGAGCATGCGGAAACACATTGGTAAGTAAGATGGAGCATAAGTAAATGAACTTGGAGATGAAACTAGTACAAGGATCAATCAGCAAGACGGAAACAGAGATAACCAAGAACCGGAAAGGGGGAGATGCCTAAATGGGGATAGGCGCAGGATCTCGGATGGAGGGTGGGAATAGGTCCGGAGATCTGGGGATCCGGAAGGCAGGACGGAAACAGGACTGAGATATGTGAGGTGGTGGATGTAGTCCAGAATCCAAGAGGAGGTAAAGTCCAGATGTCTTGCTGGACAGAATGTGCATAGGGTGGACAGGATAGGGGATCCAGGAATGAGTCAGATATGGGGTCTGGAAACAGGTCTGGAAAGCGTGGGAATATGATGGGATCTATGTCTGGCATACGGGATATGACAGTTGGGCACTGATATAGAGTTTGGATTCTGGAAGGAAGATAAAGATAGATCAGATCATTGGAGATCTGGATCTCAGATCCAGATGTCCAGAGAAGTGGATTTAGAGTTGAGGGTCTGGAATGGCATATGACAGTTATAACTCATAGTGCCCATCATGTGAGCTGCCCCAGGTGATGCCTCCAGCATGGCTTTGTGTTTCCTTGCTGTAATTCCGAGAGTCACCCTATGATAGCAAGCAATCTCAGTTCAAAACTCTTCATTCAGTGAGAGCTAAAATTGAAATGTGAGAACCAGGGTATCATGTCAATGGAAGAAGTGGAACTGCCCCAACAACTACTACTGTATGCTGGAAAGTTCCAGCAATAGAAATGACTATCTGGACCTGTAAAAATGGATTTCCTGCCAAAGATTCGAAAAGAACTAAGACAGTCCAGTGTTGAAGGTCAAACATCGTTATCAATAGATAGCGCGGACATTCAATCATGTGCTTACATAATCACGCTCATTGTTTAGACTCCTCATACGCTAAACACACCTCAGTTGGTTATACACAACTGAGGTGAGATGCATTCGTTACTTACTACTACAGACACTAACGAGCTACCTGGTTTATCTTCTATAGGTACATATCATACACAGTTGGTTATACACAACTGAGTTTATCTTCTATATCCAGAACTCGTGATAGGAAGATACCTACTACCTCAAGCAGCCTCTACTTGAATGAAATTCTGTGCCTTGACTTCAGTTTCACGAAACCGAAGTTTCGATGAAGATCGCGACTTGTCGCTTTCGAATTATCGTGATGCGACCAAATAAACCGAATGAATTTTTGTCTTGTAAATCATTTGCCCTTGCCGGTTGGTGATGGCAGGCCGATGCTAACGTCTCCAGTCAAGAAGTGAACCTAACCATGGGGGTGTCTGTACAGTGTAGTTTAGCTGACTGCGCACATGCCTCGACCTATTAGAGGATGAGGCTAGCAGGGAGCTCTGTCACCGTCATGACTGTGGATATCGCACTATATCTGGCTCGGTCAAGACGTCTAAGTAGCGATGCTCGTATTCAGAAAACATTATGCGTACATGCACACCTCTCTCAAGGAGTCCGAACTTTTGCAGAGGCGAGTTGCTTGTGATAGTAAGGGTAATACTAGCCAGGAACTATCCGAGAAGAAGCAAGGCACAGGCCGCCAAACTTACATCTAAGTTCTGAAGTTCTTAGTTAAGGTCGCTGCGCTCAACAAGCTGCCTATAACTATAAACATTACTGCGGTCAGTGGAGCTTGGCTGTGTGACAAGAGAGTATGGTTCAGAACAGCATATTGGTAGGTACCAGGTCCGAACATAGTCGTGTGTCGGTCAGTAAGAAATTGGTTTGGTGCCAGGTGATCTGCCGGAATGTCCCGGCACCCTTCGAATTTCGCTTCCCACATTTTTCATCCACGACGTCGAGTTTATCGCACTTCGTACTTCCTTACTCGTGCCTACAGTCTTTCTTTATACCCAGACACCACTCCCTTTTAATTGAATATTCTTATAATATGCTGTGTCAATGCATGACTCTTCAACATCCCGAGCTAATACTTGATCCACCCCAACCTATCAAATTATGCCAGCGACTCGCGATCCAGACGAAGCTGGAATGCACTTTGTCTCGCATAGTATCGGAACTGGCCGTTTTAGCAAAGATTCTGAGAACACACACTTCCTTTTCTCAAATCTCAGGGGCTAGAAAGCTAATTCACATCTATTCCAGCACACATGGTACCAATACTTAAGATTAAAGTTACGACTCGAGGTGACCGCTCAAACTTACCATCGTTGGCCGAAGGAAGATTGATTCATATAGCTATTTCATATCACTACACCCTCCGGAGTGTGCGGATAAGAACAAGCCTACCGCCCAGACTTGGCTAGAGCCTATTTCGTCATCTTACCGCAGACCGTAAGTATCAGTACTTATAAGAAAAGCTACTTATCATAAAGGGTATTGATCATAACACAGCACCCAAGCTCTTTATGGACCACGCTGAGGCTGTGGCACTTCTAGAGGCTTCTTCTTTGAGGGCATTTCTGAATGGCAGTGAATGGCCGGTTTGGGTACAAGTCTGCAGACTCCAGGTCTACGTCTGGGTACAAGTGGCGATGATCTGACGGAATTTGAAGACACTGGCACCCCCCGAGTATGGGTGACCATTCACGCCCGCCTTTCCCGCCAGTCACATCATGCCTCCACCCCCTGCCACCGCCAGGCGCTGCCTACCAACGCACAGGCCGTGGACATCACGTCCCAACTCCACTCGACCTCAGCAACTCGCGGAACCGAGCACATAGCCCCAGAGATGTCAACGAGCATCAATATGGCACAAATGAATGAATATGCACAACGACCGAGTGAGCTTGCCGCGTCTGCAGTGAGTACCTGGATGGCTGAACTCCTATTCAGCAATCATGTTCATCGTTATTTTGTGTGCTGCTCATGTGGTTACTCTATGCACGTCCTAGCAATATAAATATTTATTATCATGTACTGCAAGCTCGCCACTCAGCGCCTGGGGAATAAGCTCTAAACATGTGTTCGTCATCGAGCATAGTGAGCGTGCCGGCCTCAGGCCTCCCCACCTATATATTCGGGGGTCTTGGTGAGCCGCATCTGCGAGTGGCTGACTCCGCTTGAATTTGCCAAGCCTATCGAGGGGTATACAGACTTTGTAACCAAAAGCAGACCTCTGCGCAGACTTGTGCCCAGACCGGCCACAACTAATATCTAGTCTCCTTCATTGTCCTTTCTGAGTTTCTCGACATAAATGAATGTCATTATGACAGTATCCATCATATGAGCCACTTCAGGTGATACTTCCAGCGTGGCTTTACGTTTCCTTCCTACAATTCCAAGAGTCGCTCTATGAAAGCGAGCGACCTCCGTTCGAGACGCATCATCCCGTGTGAGCTAAAATCCAACTCGTGTGAGAAACAGTATCAGTATTAATGAAGTAGAAGCGTACTCACAACTACCACTCTGGATTGGAGATCCCAGCGATAAGGACGACCATCTGGCCCTACAAAGAAGCGCTCCCTGCCAGAATTTTATTATGATGGCCCGGATTTCCTAGAAGGGCGCCATGTACTCACAGACTAAATAAGCTTCTCCTCGGAATGAACTCCTTCGTCTCTACTTCAGTTCCATCGTAACGAAACTTTGAAGAAGCAAATGCATGCCACTCGATCTCTCCCAAGACATCAAACTGGTCTTGCATCTGATACTGGTCGTCATTTGGCTTGATTTTCAGAATGGTCGTAGTACGGACGCCAGCTAGTTCGAATGGAGAAGTCTCTGTCTTGTAAATAACTTGACCTTGCTCGTTAGTGATAACGGTATTGCGAACGAGTTCGGTGGAGAGAGTGAGCAAAATCATTGCGGTTATCTACTGCGCCTGTTGAGTGCTTCACACGCTGCATTTAAACACTTGATGTGGCTCTGTTGTGTGGCTGTTAAATATTTCCAGTAAGAACTTTCTGTGACAGGAGAGGGCAGAATCTGTTGAATATGTGAATTGCTGTGTTAGTCCTGTGCCGAAATCAGCTAAATCTTTCTGTCGAACTCGACAATATTTCGAGTGCAACACATTGCAGCTGCATGAGTGCTACACATTACAACATTTTTGATAGCTAGGAAAGTTTCCCTCAGCGAGCGTTGAGAACAATCCCAAGGTGTACGAGAAAGATGCTTGCATATGTTAAGACGGTAGCAACAGACATGCAGCCCATGAGAAGCAAGGCTCTTGATGGTGACCAATATTTGAGGGCGGGGTACAATAGTGGCAGAGCGGGCAAGCAGTTCGCAATGGTGAGAATATATGATGAGTCTACAGTGCGCAGATAATGGTATGAATGGGGCATGAAAGTATGTGTGGCTTAGGGGCAACGGGGAAAAGGCTGGCAAAGGGAAGCGCACCAGAGCGGCAGTGAAGATTGAGGCTTTAAGGGTATCGTATAACGAGAAGGCTGCTTCGTACTTAGAGGTGGAGCCTTCTGACTGTGGATAGAATCTTGAGGTGACATGAAGAACCACGGGCTCCAAAAGGTTGTCTACCTAGAGAGTGAGGGGACGACTCGTATGACTGAGTATAGCTTGCGCAGGGAACGGAGGAAGGAAAGGATCAAATGAGCCATGAAGATGATCCGAGTGAACCTGATTACTAGTGTTGAGATGAAAATACATGAGCGAGTGAATCGAAAAATGTATCATGTCGTGATGGTGGAGATCGTTCAGAGGAAGTTGCCGCTCAGCATATGCAATGGTCCCCGGCGGCACCCTACGTCTGGATTTTGCTTCCTATAATCTCTTCTGCAGTTCGATCGTCGTACCTCGCACTGCCTTTCTTTATACCCACCTTTTAATCGGACATTCTTATAGTATCATGATGCTGTGTCAATGCATATTTCTGTTTGACTCAGAGTCATTCGGCATGATCAAACCCGTAAGCAGGATCCCGCCTTCCCGAGCGGCTCCACCTGCTTTCGTCCTACCCCGAGTTGACACTCGCTCCATGCCAACCTGATAGATCAGATCACGTTAGCGACTCTCGAGCCAGACGAACTTGGAATGCACTTCGTCGTGCGTAGTATCAGAACCAGCTGCTCTAGCAAAGAACCAATTCACTTCTGCTCTCCAGCATGCATATGGTGCCAATACTTGGGATCAATGCTACGACTTGAGGTAATCGCTCAAACTTACCATCGCTGACCGAAGGAAGATTGATTCGTATAGCTGTATCATATCACTACACCCTCCGGAGTGTGCAGATAAAAACAGACCTACCGCCCAGACTTGGCCAGAATTTCGTCACCTTACCGCAGACCATAATCATCAGTACTTGTAAGAAAAAGCCACTTATCATACAGGGCATCAATCATAACACAGCACCCAGGCTCCTCGACCCTATTTCATCATGATGGACCACCCGAGGCTGCGGCATTTCTCGAGGCCTCTTCTTTGTCCTTTCTGAGTTTCTCGACATAGGTGAATGTCATGATGACAGTGTCCATCATATGAGCCACTTCAGGCGATACTTCCAGCGTGGCTTTACGTTTCCTTCCTACAATTCCGAGAGTCGCTCTATGAAAGCGGGCGACCTCCGTTCGAGATGCATCGTCCCGTGAGAGCTAAAATCCGACTCATGTGAGAAACAGTATCAGTATTGATGAAGTAGAAACGTACTCACAACTACAACTCTGTACTGGAGATCCCAGCGATAAGAACAGCCATCTGGTCCTACAAAGACGCGCTTCCTGCCAGAATTTCATTATGATGGCCTGGATTTCTAAGAATGACGCTATGCACTCACCGACCCAACAGACCTCTCTTCGGAATGAACTTCTTCGTCTCTACTTCAGTTCCACCATAACGAAACTTTGAAGAAGCAAACGTATGCCACTCGATCTCTCCCAAGACATCGAATTGGTCTTGCATATGATACTGGTCGTCATTTGGCTTGATTTTCAGAATGGTCGTAGTACGGACGCCAGCTAGTCTGAACGGAGTCTCTGTTTTGTAAACAATTTGACCTTGCTCGTTGGTGATAACGGTATTGCGAACGTGTTCTGTGGAGAGAGTAAGCAAAATCATTGTGGTATCTACTGCGCACCGTTGAGTACTTCATGCGCTGCATTTAATGTGGATGTGGCTGTTGGGTGGCTGTTGATTTCCAGTAAGAGCTAAGTTGCTGTGATGGCGGCATCAGCAAACTAGTGAGACTCAGATATTCCCAGATTTTGTACCTGTTTCCTGTACATAGAGTATACTGTTTCTACTTTCATATCGATAGACCGGATTTCATTTTGCTCCCTAATGTTGTGCACTGTGGCTTGCCGGAATGTCCCGGAACCCTACGTCCGAACTTCGCTTCCTACATTCGTTTTTCTCTTCCACAACGTCGAGTTCGTCGTACCTCGTACTTCCTTATTACTCGTATCTGCGGTCTTTCTTTATCCCTACACCACTCTCTTTTAATCGAACATTCTATGCTATGTCAATGCATATTGGTGTTTGACTTCAAATCACTCGAAACGATCGAATTTATCCAACTGCTTGCGTCCCACTCCGAGCTAACACTCGGTCCGGTCCAACCTATCAGATCATGTTGGCAACTCTCGAGCCAGACGAAGCTAGAACCCGCTTCCCCTTTTCAAATCTCAGGGGTTAGAAAACTAATTCACTTCCGCTCTCCGGCACGCATATGGCACCAATACTTAAGGTTAAAGTTACAACTCGAGGTTACCGCTCAAACTTACCATCGTTGGCCGAAGATTGATTCATATAGCTATTTCATATCACTAGACCCTCGAATGTGCGAATAAAAACAGACCTACCGCCCAGACTTGGCCAGAATTTCGTCATCTTCCCGCAGACTGTAAGTATTAGTACTTGTAAGAGAAAGCTACTTATCATAAAGGGTATCAATCATAACACAGGACCCAGGCTCCTCAACCCTATATCATGGACCACCCGAGGCTGCAGCACTTCTCGAGGCATTTTCTTTGTCCATTCTGAGTTTCTCAACGTAGATGAACGTCATGATGACGGTATCCATCATATGAGTCACTTCAGGTGATACTTCCAGCATAGCTTTACGTTTCCTTCCTACAATTCCGAGAGTCGCTCTGTGAAAGCGGGCGACCTCCGTTCGAGACGCGTCATCCCGTGAGAGCTAAAATCCAACTCCTCATGTGAGAAACAGAGCATCAGCATTAATGAAGTGGAAACGCACTCACAACTACCACTCTAGACTTGAGGTCCCAGCGATAGGGACGGCTATCTGGTCCTATGAACACGCGCTCCCTGCCAGAATTTTATTATGATGGCCCGGATTTCCTAGAAGGACACTGCACTCACCGACCCCATAGGCCTCTCTTTGGGATGAACTCCTTCGTCCCTACTTGAGTTCCACCAGAACGAAACTTTGAGGAAGCAAATTTGTGCCACTCGATCTCTCCCAAGATAGCGAACTGGTCGTGCATATGATACTGGTCGTCATTTGGCTTGATTTTCTGAATGGTCGTAGTACGGACGCCAACTAGTTTGAACGGAGTTTCTGTCTTGTAAATAATTTGACCGTGCTCGTTGGTGATAATAGTATTGCGAACGTGTTCAGTGGAGAGAGTGAGCAAAATCATTGTGGGTCTCTACTGTGTACTGTTAAGTGCTTCACGCGCTGCATTTAAACACTGGATGTGGCTCTGTTGTGTGGCTGTTGAATTTAGACATTCCATTAGTTTGCTTGTCAAGGTTTCTGGCACCCATAAATTCATCACATGTTTGCGTGTTCCTAACTCACCGGCAACTTCCGCGGTACCCCAGTCAGAGTCTAAGCTGAAAGCGGACTCTCGGAGGTCCTGAGCGCGTCTGGCGGGCGAGGGTGGTCGAAAGTCCCGCTCGAACCGAAGCTCCAGATTGGCCCTAGAGTCGACGTCTACGTTGAATAGCTCCAGGGGGACCAGATCCCTGACTTTCACCTAGTCTAGTAGTCACTGACTACAGCAGACATTTATTCCTGTAGATACTCAACGAATGCATTGTTACGCTACCTGCCAATCCCGGACTGCAAACCTCACCTAAATTTTCACACAAAGAATTCAAAGGCGGAGTCGGGAACTGGCGCGGCGCTACGATTATAAATATCGTCTCAAGGCAACGCCAGCCAAGTCAAAGCCAAGTAAATCCTGACGCGGCTTCCAAAAGAACAATCTTCCTACTACTGAAAATCAGATCGCCAAGATCTATAAGCATTGGACTCTGCTTATGACATAATAGGCCTGTGCACAGTTACTACATAAGCAGTTTCTTGCAGAATGTTCCAAATTCACAACGTGAAACACCCCACCCAATCATACATGACCAGCTCAGAAACTTCACCGTTACTCGAAAATGGCGGCCATTCTGGCCAGGGGAATCTTCCCTTTACTCGTCGCGTTGTCAACTTCATGAAAGGCGAGGATGAGCCATCATGGATAGAATCTTTCAACTTCTTCATTTTTGGCACATGGTTCAATATCTTACTCGTATTTATACCTTTGAGCTTCATCTCTCACATCATGGACTGGGACGCTGGCTTAATATTTTCGTTCAGCTTTTTGGCCATCGTTCCTTTGGCTAAGGTGGACACTACTCCTATCACCAGATTCTTGGGAGACTGACATCGTCGTTTTTAGTTGTTGGGCGAGGCTACAGATCAACTGTCTGTCAAATTAGGGGAAACTATGTCAGGACTCCTTAATGCATCATTTGGGAATGCCGTAGAAATTATCGTCGGTGTTGCTGCTTTACTTGACGGTTTGTTCACCGCTCTACAATTGTTCGCAGCTCACGATGATCCTAGGCCAATTGCGAATTGTTCAGATGTCCGTAAGTGTCCTCATTCGGGCTCTAACTGCGATAGATTGACATTGGCTTAGATGCTTGGATCGATCTTGTCAAACATACTGCTCGTCCTTGGTTGTTCCTTTTTCGCCGGTAAGGGGCCTCTGCTTTGGGAGGAGAGTGTGCTCACTCGACATAGGCGGATTATATCACAAAGAAGGAGTTTTCAATGGTACTGGAGCTCAAGCGTGCGTCCTCTGCTTTTCTGCCCTTTAAATCCTTTGTTGAATTGCAATAATATCTAGATCTGCCTCTGTAAGTCACCTGTCCTATTCATCACCACGACAACTAATCAAGTCTAGCTTATGGCTTTGTCGTGTATCAGTACGAATATTTTCTCCAACTTGAGAGTTTTGCTAATATTTTATAGCGCTTGTTATTCCTGCGGCCTATGCAAGTACCACAGACGCTGGAATGCAGAATCATTGCAGTGATACTTCTGAATGTCCCACTGCGGGTCTACTCTTTATTTCTAGAGGAACTGCTATATTGCTCCTGGGAGTTTATTGTGCCTACCTTTGGTTTCAGGCATGTTCTAATATCTTTTCTTTCTTCTCTAATTACTCATCCAAGCATTTAGTTAAAATCCCATCCCAAACTCTTCATTTCACCTCCTTCACCTACGGATGAACCAAACAGTGAGGAAACGGTGGCAACGACGGAAATGGAAGAAACAGTGCCTCGCATGGGAACAGCCGCTGCTAGTGTTGCGTAAGTTTGCTTTCGTCATTTGATACATCCAGCGCTTACCCCCATTCCTCAAGACTTTTATCGGTTACTGTAGTCATCGCATTTTGTGCTGAGTATCGTAAGTGTCCCACTTTGTTCCCTTGGTCTCATGTTCAATTGTTCAATTATGTTAGTGGTTTCCTCCATCGAGGAAACTGCAGTGCGCTATTCCATTCCGAAGCCCTTCATTGGTGTTGTCTTGTTGCCGATCGTGGTATGTTTCAAGCTTTATCCGGCCAATTGTCTACCAACGTCGTCTGTAGGGCAATGCTGCAGAACATGTCACTTCAGTCTGGATGGCAATGAAGAATAAATACGAGCTTACCGTCACCATTTGCGTTGGGAGTTCGATTGTAAGTGTAGACCGTTCATCGTAAGTTTGTGATTGTGCTGACTATCGAATAGCAAATTGCCTGCTTCGTAGTGCCACTTCTTGTGATCGTCGGTTGGATGTATGATCATGCATTGTATCTCGCGAGGTGTTGTTCTCACTTTTTTTGTTTAGAGTCAATCAACCCCTGACGTTGCACTTCCACAACTTCGAGGTCTGTTTGTTCATGAGGACACATTCCGCATGATCATCTAATTTTCTGACAAATCTTCAGACAATCGTCCTTTTTGTATCTGTCTTCCTTGTCAACCTGTTGATGATGTCAGTTTCCCTTTCACTGCATGTCAGTCCCATTGAGATTCAACTCGCTTTTTTCAGGGACGGAAGATCGAATTATATGGAAGGTCTTATGCTCCTTACCCTGTATGTGGTCATCGCCCTCGCATGTGAGTTGCCCCTTGAACCCTCTGATCGCATTCTGATCGCATTTTAGTTTGGGTGACCTGAGGTACTATCCATTATTGTAATTATTGGTGGCCAATATTTCCTAACGCGTCCCTCCCTGATGCACCCTCCTCAGTTCCTTCGACGGTGGGGGACAAAGCTGCTAGTAATAAACTAATTTCTGCTCCACCTATTTCTTTAGGCGCCCCTCAAATATGTACGCAGTAAACTATCGAAGGGAAGCATCATATATTAATTCATAATAACCCGCAAGTGTGAACTTTCACTTTTCTAAGGTAAGGCTGTCTCCTTGAAGTTTCTTGCGCGCCATGCACTCATCTTAATAGCCGCCATCTCTATGTGTAAATGTGGGTGAGCTCGAACCGACCGTTTAGCTGCAACCAACTGACCGACAACTCGGTCATGGACGTAGTACAACCAACACGTAAGTCTGTTTGGTTATTTCATCAAACACAGCGGTAAACTCTACCAGTTCCATTTTAAGAGAGCAGAATTTCTCCCTGAGCTGTTAGCATGATTGTTTGAAGGGTTTTATGAGTTCTGAAATCCTTTCATATCGCTTTGGATCTAGTGCGTGGAGAACAAGACGTTGCAATGACGAGGAAGGTGGTGCGTTCAAATACTAGTGGACACGTCCCCGTTCTATGGCAGATACTAGGTTTCACGCCTATCTTCGATATCGTAAGCTGGTATAAGAAAACGGAGAACCCCCCACAAGGTCCAACATGATAAATATTGTAATGATCGATGGCACATTTATGCGATTGTGTCCTATGCATTGGTCATCCTGCCAGATAAAGGCCGATGTTCGCCAGCAGCAACCTTGTCCCACAAGTAGTGATGTACTATCATTTGGAGAATGCATCAAAGGTATACTAATTGTAAATCATCAGCGGTATCCTTTGGAAAGTAGCGAGTCAAGGCAACAATCGAGAAAGCTGCGGAAAATTCGCTGTCGGACAATATGCTACATGTATAATGAGAATGAGCGCATTTCAATACAGGTTCTGGCAAATGATTGAGATAGGTATAGCTTTCGGAAAGCACAACTCAGAGGGTTGGATTTACCAGTAGTCGGAAGATGCTTGAGCACCGCGACTTTCCTTTCCTTTGAGAGGTTTGTCTGATGAAGGGCCACCGCCAAGTTTACATCATTGAACCGGAAAGCTTAGGCAATGCATGTTTAAGAGTAGCCGTAACACGATCAACTCGCGAAGATTGGCCAGATGAAATTGTGAGTGCATTAAGAAACTGAGAGTGATGAACGAGAACAACTTACAGTGAATAAACAGTGAACAAGCTTGATGGAATCAACACCTACAGCGTATGAATGGTGTTTAAGTTCTCAGCATCGCATTCTCGTTGAATTGTCTTCTCGAACGCCAATAAGCTATGGATGATAGCAGGAAAACTTTCGGAGGAAAAGCTGGAGCCAGTGCAGGGCATGAAAGTGAACTCCCTTTTATGGACAGACACATAAAAGAGGTTTCGGCGCAATGACTGGGCCTAGTTGGGATGGACTTGCGAGGATCTATACAGCACAAAGATGTTGTCAGTAGGTTTCGAACCAACGTTTGGCAAGAAAAACAGTTTTTGACTCTGTTATGGTAACCATTTGGCTAAGCCCAGTTAGAGAGACCTCCGAGGAACCATCCATGAGTCAATGTCAAGGTATGTTCCGATGAAAAAAGACCTGTCCTTTGGCAGGTTGCGAACCTGCATAGTTGAAGAGAAACACATTTTGATTCTGTTCAGTAACCACTTGGCTAAAACCAATTAAGACGAACATCCGACGAAACCATGATTGAATGTCGAAGTGTGTTCCGATAGGGAAAAAAACCTTGTCATCAGCAGGTTTGACAGATTTTGTGGAAACCACCTGGCTAAGACCAGTTAACGCGAACCTCTAGGGAAACCACCCATGAGTGAATGCATGTTCCGATAGAACAAAAAACCTTGTCATCGGCAGGTTTCGAACCTGCACGGGCACAGTCCAAGAGACAGATTTAGATTCTGTTGTGATAGCGGTTCACTTTGGCCAGGATGGATTTGAGATGAACATCCGAGAAATCCATCCATGAGCAAATCTTCAAGGCGTGTTCCGATAGACGAAAACGGTCGATCTGCAAGTTTCGAACTTACAGTCCGAGAGAAACATATTTCGATTCTGTTGTGGTAAACATTTAGCTGACACCAGTTAGATGAGCCTCCGATGACATGAATGAATGTTCCGAGAGAGACTAAAAAAAACCTGTTGTCGGCAAGTTTCGAACCTGCCGCGTAGTCCAAGATAAACAGATTTCGATTCCGTTGTGGTAATAATCCACTTGGGCCAGGACGCTTCGCAAGTTGAGAAGAACCTCCAAAGAACCGTCTATGAGTGAATATCAAGGTGAGATATTGAAGACATTGGCGAGACACCACCCAAGATTTCTAATATGTTCTGGCGCCATTTGGCTACGATTACTTCAGAAAGACCTTCAAGTGAAGGATCCATTCGTGAGTGAATGTTCAAGGCATGATACAAGGAAAAAGATTGTTGAGCAGGTTTCAAACCTGCAACAGATTTGTGTCCTATCGCGCTTACCACTTGGTTAGTAAGACTGGTCAAGATGGACATCTGCAGTACAAGTTGAAGAACATCATGCGTTGACAGTAGAATCGCGTAGGATTGGCAGTCATTTGCCAACGCAAAATGAAATAAAAAACTAGTTTGATGGACACAAGGAACTGAGCGAGTCCCCGGCGCTATTATATAATTCCCACGGTGTCGACGACCGTGCAGCCACCAAGGTAACAGTTTGCTTGCGCGAGCCAAGTACTCATCGATCTTGTTCATACAATGGAACACAGTCATAACAGTGATCGGCATAATACCTTTACACAATAAATGGTACAGTAAACAGGACAGAATGTCAAATGAACCTCAATACTGCAACACCCCGGCTTTTTTGGATCGCATTGGGGAGGACTACTCAGGAAATCGACAGAATATCGCCCTCATAGGAGTGACCACACACTTCGGTGATACCATTGACTTCCTCTTCCCACTACATATTTTCGAAGATGCTGCATCTGTCTTGATCGTGCATTCCTTTCCCCTCTGAACGTCTATGTCGATGACTTCAACGACAAAATTCTAGACAAATTGCCGGGCGATTTTCGTAAGTATCGCAACTGATATCAATCATACATTCCACTCACGAAGCAATGTAGAATCTTATTTTAGCTCAGACAACTTGAAAGAAGCTGACAGACTCCACTGAACACACCAGAACACACCCCCGACTACCTTGGACTACCTTGCAATGTTAACCATTCTGGAATGTGTAACATCTCGGTAGGAACAGGTTCGGTTAAAAATGTGTGCGTACGCGTTGTCGCACTGCATCATCGCCTCCTTAAAGTCTGACTCCTCGATACTTTCAAAAGCCACTGCATCCCCCGTACTGCATCCACACTGGACAGTGAATCGAAGACAATTTTCTCTGCGACCCGCATATGTAACTACATGTAATTGATGTCAAGGTTTGACGCTGGTGTGAACCACGCTCGACCTCTGGATTGATCACTTCGCTCACGGTCAATTGTAGACAGCGTTGTCGAGAGCGGGAATGCGAAGAGACGCACTGTGTCCATACAGTTCTATCACTGCCATGACTGTGGATATCGCACTGCCTCCAGCTTGGTCAAACGATAGTGCTTCGCGCATCTAAGTAGGCGATGCTCGTCTTCAGAAAACATCATGCGTACATGCACACCTTTCTCAAGGAGTCCAAACTTCGAAAGTGAGTTGCTTGTGATGGTATCTCAGGGCAATGCTAGCCAGGGAGGATAGATGATTAAGCAAGGCACATGTCGCTCAAACATGTAGATCCGTCTTGGCTTGTTTTGAAGGCGGGCACCGACGGCGACATTGGTCTATGTTTAGCAGAAAGAAATCAGATGGGCAGCACAAAAGGCCCGGGGGTCTTCAAATCCACCATTCTCTCGAAGATTCTACGTAAATCGGTTCATTGATCACCATGCTTTCGAGCTGGCATTTTAATGTATGTCTTTACCTTGGAATATTTCAGGTTTAAAACTGTCTTAAAAATACTTAGGCTGTTTTGGTGCCTTCGTCCAATTGATGGTACTACATGATTAGAAATGGTAGTATACTCCGCTGTCGTGTCAAACTCAGGTCCCGTGGAACTACCCATAATACTGGAGTTACCGGAGATTCAATACTTGCGAGCCTTCCTTTGGGAGCATGCGCAACGATATGAAAGTAGCTATGAACGCTTGAACCTTCTGAACGTTCAATCCAAGGCCCTTAATTAATCGGTCACTTCGGCCTGCATCCGACTGGTCTTTGTTTTCTCACCTGTTCCCTGCAGCTGATAGGCTCCTATGCCACTGTTCATTTTTTTTCATATTCCCAGATAAGACACCAACCGCCCCGCCAGTGCTCTCCACCAATCAGATGAGTGCGCTGCCGAAGTCGGAAGTGTCTGTAACGCGCGTAAGCCAAGCCTTCATTTCAGCGGTCATGCAGCTATCAATGTCAGGGCCCATTCCGCATGCCACTGGCATGCCGTCATTTTGCCCCTATCTATCCAGACATCTATTTCTTCGCCCACATATACACTAATCCCCGACCACCGCAAAATCTTTACGACATTGTGAAAGCGATCTCCGGCCAATCTCCGGCCAAGCATAACCGGTTAACGTTAAACCCTGGAGGTTGCTTACGCATCTTCCTGTTTACTCGGAGAGCATTTGCTCCCGTTATGTTTTTGACCCCTTTCATCATCAAAGATCGTATGTCTGCGAGACTCATCTGCATCAAAGTCGAGTGCTTCCGTTTTAACCGCAGCGAGTCACCACAAACAACCAATTAAGCTGCCTCTGTAATATCTATTATTGATCAGGTGCTCTTATATTTGTATAGCAGAGATAAAGCCTGCACGAGCAGCAGTGTTAATTTGCGCTCTCTCATTCGTATACCCACCACAAACATGATGCTCACAACCTGATCCGAGCTTATGCCTTATACGCGTGCAATATGGACACACTATTCCTGGCCACTCGTTATCTCTTCGCGCGCGCCATCATTGACTTATCTTTCTTTTCTGTCGTTCTTTTGTTAGCACTTTATCTTTCCTTTGTTGGTACTTACAGCCGTCTGCATCAGTCGTCAAAAATAAAACAGGACGGCATTATTTGAATTGCGATGTCCGATCAGATTTCACGAATTTGTAATGTCCTATAGTGGTAGGAACGCGATTGATTGCGATTAGGAGTTGATGTTGAAAGTTTGTGGTTTGAATCTTGCCGACTTGTGTTTTCTTTTTAGGGACTAGCCTAGAGCTCTGCAAACAGCTGTAGTTGTTACCACTGTCGTCGTTGATGTGGCGCGTAGTCTTTTGGTCACACTGAATGGTGAATTAGTGACTCGCGAGAGAAATAACATCAAGAATTGCCAAAGTCAAAATGTACTAGATTGGCGAGGTAGTATGGAGGATGCTCATCTACTAGATGTACGTGCTAGTGGGACAACCATGGAATGGTATGAGGCCAGGGCGGGACGAGCAGACACCGAGAAGGGAAGTGTCATGAAAGCGCCGCGCAATGGTTGCAAGTTATAGTTGTGTATTGCCGTTGCATACAAGCGGATAATCGACCTGGCGCACCTGAGGACTGCTCCGAGGCTCGTGAGCGTAGAAAGGAATGTGGATTGGAGATTGAGTTTCTTCTGTGCGCATCTAGTCAAGGGCCGCTGTGGAACTTCCGCCAGCGGGAAAGGTCACAGGTGAGTGCGACTTGGATGACAACAAGGCGACAACTCGCCCCAACTTTAGTTGCAGAAAACCGAGGAGCTAACTAGAATAGCAGTGTACGTTTGCTGTAACTTTATTGGAGGAATGGAACCGAGTAAGAACCAAGTGCACGGCCTTGGCTTATACTTATCGTACCGGCGCTTGGCCACGCCAGTCCCCGACACTGATGTACTTAATTTATTAGTTTGATCAGACACGTACAGGTAAAAATAGAACGGACATAACAGCATCGGACACGGCACCCTATGGCACCCGGTACCCAATAAGGGAAGTCATTTCCACGTGAAATGGCAGACAGCATGGCCCTCGACGGCAGAGTCTCCTATCTTGACGTGGCGCACTGCGGAGTTCGAAAAATAGGCTGATTTCCTTTCTAGGTCTACTTAGCCGTTCCTTCGAGTTCTTGCTATCATGATGCCTCCAAGACTGTCTGCTCTACTAAAGGATTGCGCGCGGCGCAATTCTGACACGTTTGACATGCCACGCCAACCTGACCTGAAAATAAAGTCTGTTCTATTTGGGTCTTCAACGTTAGATCACTAACAATGATGGGTTTTACCCGTTCCATGACTCGGAATGGCACAACTAAAAATTCTCGGGTCTGGCAAGGTACAGTCGATATCGGATTGCCTTGAGGATAGTACATGATAAATAACAAGAGAAGCAAAGATTTTCAAGTAGGTTGCTTCGATGTCAGACACAACATCCTCTCCTGATTCTGGCCGCGGGTCCGAGAAAGGCTATGGCATTCAAATCGCGTTTGTATTCTATTCGCATCCCTACCTCTCGCGTGGTATATCGCTGACTCAACAACGAACAGATACCGTACATTATCGGGCTGCGTCGAAGAGAAACAGACGACCTCCAAATCCCCGCCAGACCCAGCGGACACAATTGGAAGCATAGATGCCCATTTATTGAGTGTCGACGAAGTGTATATCCGGTATTCCACTCATCCCACAGTCGGTTTGGAGCTTGCCGCTGTTCGTCGCAGGGAGCGTGATGGCAAGAATATCATTAGTCCTCCACCTACCGTCTACTGGAAGAAAATGCTTGATTATATTTTTGGTGGCTTCAATTTTCTTATGTGGATCTCGTTCATCTTGACTATCGTGAGTGCCGTTGTTCACCTCCTATTGCGACTTTTCCAATATACATGTTAGCTCTCCTATAAACCACTCGGGCCTCCTATACCTCTCACTCTTGGTATTGCCGTGCTATTGGTTTGTAACCTTCAACTCTAGTGCTCAATTTCCCCTTCTCATCAACTACAGATATTCGTCATCGTCGTTTCTGCTACATTCTATGCTTTGATCGATTGGAACGCGAACAGAATCATGAAGTCGATAAAATCTCTAATTGCACATGAGGCTGCGGTCATTAGGGACGGAAACCAGCAAATAATCAAAGCTGCTGACATTGTAGTTGGTGATGTTACTGTGCTCAACGCTGGCGATCGTGTCCCGGCCGACATGCGTGTCGTGCAGGCATCGTCCGACCTTCGCTTTGATCGCTCTCTCCTGACGGGTGAAAGGTTTGTTCCTTGTCTTATGTGCTTGAATTTGGCTGAAGTCTAATTGCAGCGAAATGATACCAGGAGCTCTTCAGTGCAACATCCAACAATGCTCTGGAGACTCGCAACCTCGCACTGACTTCCACTTTTGTCGTGCAAGGGACTTGCCATGGAGTCGTGTTTGCCACGGGAGATAGAACTGTCATGGGACGCCTTGTCAAGATGTCGGGAGAAACAAAGTTCAAGCTTACCACTATCCAAAGAGAAGTGTGGTTTTTCACCAAAATCATTTCATATGTTGCACTCTTTTTCTTCTGCTCATCGATTCTTCTTTACGGCGTTTGGTTACGGACATCGTATCCTGGGTATGACACCCCGTCTTCTGCAATCGTAAATTCAATTGGCTGCTTGACTGCTTTCGTTCCCCAAGTAGGCGGCCAGTGAAAGTTTATATTCTCTTCTTAGTTGACATCTTGCAGGGCCTCCCGGTTTGCGTGGCACTCTCGTTAACTGTTGTTGCCCGTCGCATGGCTAAACGTCAGGTGTTGGTCAAAAATCTGGCGACCATCGAGACGTTAGGATGCATGTCTGTGTTATGTTCCGACAAGACAGGCACATTGACTGCAGGAAAGATGGTGTGATGAACGATGCATCTGCTCTTGTTACTAGCTTGCTGATGGACCCACAGATGGTAGGGAATATTGCCTTCCTTGATGACGTATTTGGTGTCGAGGATGTTAACGAGAGGGTTACGAAGGCATCAGACCCTACCGTACTTTTCTGCGTTCAGGGTGCTCCATCAGATCGCGAGGCTTTGCAACGGCGCGAAATTTGATGCGACGACTAATCACCTTCCTGTGCAAGATCGTACGGTCAAGGGCGATCCGACTGATACTGCTCTTTTGCGTTTCTCCGAGGCCCTTTCGATACCGGAGCTTGGTGTGGATGCCAGTACTCTTCAGCAAGATTATCAGAAGAAGTTTGAGATCCCTTTCAATTCCAGCAACAAGTGGATGCTTTCCGTGGTCTCCAAGGTCAACATTGCTGAAAAGAACGTAGATTCGACATGGATGTTCATCAAGGGAGCTCCTGAAGTCTTGTTCCCTTCCTGCAGCAGTGTGCTACAGAGTGATGGGACGGTCGTCAAGTTAACAAGTAGGGCGAGGCAGACGTTCGCCACGCTTCAAGAGGACTGGTCAAGCCGAGGCCAACGAGTGCTTGTACTGTGAGTATGAGTACTTTTGACTTTGGCACCCTAACATCTGATATCGTTGCCGAGGTAATAGATGTAGGAAACCCATAGAAGAAATCAAGACTGGACTTCCACCGAACGACGTGGAAGATCTCATGTACATGGAGATGTGCGATTTAACCTTGGTTGGTCTAATTGGAATTTACGATCCTCCTCGCCCGGATGTATCGCCGTCGATTTCTATCATTCGACGAGCTGGTGTTCGAGTCTTTATGGTCACTGGTGATTTTAAGCTCACTGCTCTAGCTATTGCACGCCAGGTAATTTTTCTTTATTTTCCGCTGCTATAAAATTCCTATTAACTCCCCTTTTCAGGTCGGTATCATTACCCAGCACGTTGTTGACACCATCCAGGATGTCCGAGCTGCTGCATCTGAGAAGGTCTCGCCGAAAGATTATTGTCTTTCCAAGCCATCGGATGATGATCCTATCTGCTCCCTGGTACTCACAGGGGAAGACGTCGCATCTCTCACCTCGTTTGATTGGAATGTCGTCGTTGGGGCCTATACAGAGATCGTATTTGCGCGCACTACCCCTGACCAGAAAATGCGAATTGTGGAGGAGATTAAAGCTCGCGGAGACAATACAGTCGCAGTCACTGGAGATGGTGTCAATGATGCGCCAGCACTCAAAGCCGCTGATATTGGTGTTGCGATGGGTAGTGGCAGTGATGTGGCAAAGGAAGCAGGTATGGATTTTCTTGACGGTCTTTTTGATGACACTAACACTATTGCTCTCAAGCCGTCTTGATCTTGTTAAATAATGACTTTGCTTCCATCCCCGTCGCGATAGAGTTGGGTCGGCTAGTCTTTGATAACCTGAAAAAAGTCACTTTGTATCTCATGCCTGTGAGTCGCGTTTGCGGAATCAATATAATCTCAGCGGGTTTGATACTCATAGTGTTGCAGGGTGGAAGTTATGCGCAATTCATGGCGATCGTCGCAAACGTATTACTAGGCATGCAGTTACCCTTGAATTCGTATCAACAAACCTGCTATTCCATTACCAACGATGTTATCATGTCCATCTCGTTAATGTATGAGAAGCCGGAGTGGGGTAGGTGCTCACGTATTCATGAGCTTTCCAGTGCTCACTTTTTGTTGTAGACTTGATGCAGCGCAAACCACGCAACGCCAGGACCGATAGGCTTACGGGTTGGCGCTTTTTTCTCCATATCTACTTGGTATGTTTCATGACCTGGGTGACTCAAACGTGCTCATGTATGCTTGCCCAGTTCTATGGACTGATGCTGTGGCCCTGCGCGATGGCGATGTGGTTCTTGTACATGAACCAGCAGGGCCTCAGTTTCTATAAAGTCATCTTGACTTTCAACCAATGGGAAGATGGCTGGCAGGGTTACACCCTCGCTCAACTGACCCAGTTCGTCAATGTTGGTCAAGGCATTTAGTGTGTCGCCATTCTTTCCTCTCGCAATGTTAATTTTAAGAGTCGCTAGCTATGTGACGGTGGCTATCGGACAGTGCGGTACTCTTCTAGCAGTTTCCAACCGCCGAGTATCGATACTGCATTCGAATCCTCTATGGGGCCCGCGTCGCAACCTGCTGGTACTTGTCGGCATGATAGGCACGATATTGATCTGCATCGTGAACCTCTATGGAGCTGGCTTCCAGCGGGTGTTTGGCACGACGCCTATCCCTGGGATGTTCTGGGGTCTTCCGTTTACCTTCGCTTTGGGGATTTTGCTCGTGGACGAAACTCGCAAAGCCATCGTGAGGAAATATCCGAAGGTAAGTTTGAGTTACGTAACTGTACTGGAACTTGAATTCACACTTTTCTATAGTCTTTCATCGCGTGGCTGGCATGGTGAACTCGAAACCATATGACGTTGAAATTTTTTTGTCGGTACTGCTCGGTATAAGTTATTCAATGCGCAGATGTTATCTACTGTCACACTATATTGGGGACGGTCCACTATTTCGTGATTCCTGTCTATAGCACTCAATTTTAAGAACCTATTTGGACAGGCGAATTCAATATGATGTTCGCAACACGTGATCCAGCCACATGACCGTGAGATTTTCCAGTTCATCCGGCAAGACGTCAGGTCAAAGCAGTCGTATCATAACTGATGAGTCGTAGACTCGTAGTACTATCAGTAGATATTGTACTAGATCTATAACTCCTCGTAGCACCCGTCCCTCTATGCCCACCATGTCCGATACTTCGAGCATGGGCTCTATTCGCTCCCTCTATTCTCATGGATCATGAGGTATCAATAATTCAATGGGCTCATGGAAAGATGACACCACCTCTCGCAGAGCCACCACACATTAGCAGCTGGAAGAAGAAAGGGGCCTCATTGCCTATCTTTCGACTTGCAAGTTTGAAGCTGGTGAATAATTTTAGTGATGTTCCGGCCCGGCTTAGGCCCACCAAATTTCAAGCCTGAGCCATGAGCCCAAGCAAGCTGCGGCCCACATGCTGAATTGCTGCGATGATACAAAAAGACGTTTATTAGATACCGAAACAATGAATCTACATTACCAGTTATGAGTGCAAATGAGCACGATGAACGGGTGAACGAGCACGGACGAGCACGGACGAATGAAAACAAACGAGCGAGTGCGAACGAGCATGGATGAACAACGAGCACGAACGAACGAGTACGAACGAGCATAGACGAAGGTGAGTCGATATGAAAAATGAGTGCAGGTGAATCCAGGCGAGTTCAAATAAGTCCAAGCAGGTCCAAACGAGTGCAGGCAAGTCCAGACGAATGAAGGCAAGCCAAGACGAGTACAGGCTCATGCAGATGAGTCTAGACGAGTCCAAATAAGCGCAGGCAAGTCCAGACGAATGCAGAAAAGTCCAGACGAGTCAGACAAACGTAAATGCCAGCACACGCACGGAGACAGGTGCAGACGTGCGCAAGCATGCAGGAATGAGCGAGAGCGAGCGTAGATGTGTACCACAAACATGCAAGGGGAAAACAGTGGAAGAACATAAAAAATTTGTCAACGATGTAATTGAATGGAGACAAACAACTTGCCAGTGAATACACACCTTTTCGTGATCAGCAGCCGCATTGCAGTAGCAAGTGCCAAGCCGCCGGCTTAGGCTTTCCAAAATTGAAGCCCAGGCCCATTGGGCCTACCGTGACCTGGGCCTGGGCTCGGCTCGGCTTGTTTAGGCCTGGCTTCGGCTGGCCCGGGGCTTGCAGCCGGGCCGGAACTCATCACAAGTATTCCAGGACCCGCGAAAAGGGTATGGTCTATCTGAAAATTTTCTCTGTCGTGATCTAGAATATTCCTGGTCTGAAGCTATACATAGTCGTCAGCCGTTGTTTGTACCTCTTTGCCTGAGTGATTCTGCTTTGCATTCTACTGTGCTCGCTGTACTGCTGCAGTATATCATCGTGATGGGTTCCAGTTCTTCCTCTGCTGCTGTTTCTTTATCATCTTTGGCACTTCCCATCTCTGGTGGTATCGGATCAAGGGCTTGCTGATGGCGGAAGCTCGGTGGTGTTATCCTGCATTCCACTCAACTATTTCGGGTTTGCTGAGATCTCTCGAGTTCGTAAAGCTGTTTGCGATCAATATCCAGTTGGTCGTTTCTTACCCGTAATTGCACCTACTCTTCAACATATCATTGAGAACTTCCCTTGCATGACTTATGAACATTACGCTCAAATTTTTTTCGTCATTGATGTTATAGTCACGCACTGGATGAGCGGGGCGCGCGCAATCGTCCAATTTCACACCCGTCATGAACCATATTACGGCTCACACCATCCCTCACTGGACATGAGAAAAAGGGATCAGTGCATCCATTTCTCTCGAAGGGCAATTCAATGTCAGAGCCGTATTGGCATTGATGAAGTACGTGCAACAGAGATTCAATGTAACTACAGAACCACTCCGCATAGTAGAACATGTCTGCGACTCCAGTGCGTATTGCTCACAGACAACCAGGCACTCTGTCGACAAGATACATTCCATTCGAACGTCGAGAGTGGATGCCAAGTATTGCGTGCAATGACAAGCGACATGAAGGTCGATTTTTTCCTGTTCATAGCAGCCTGACAAAGTATGGATGTCCGCGTAGAAATGCGATAAGAAAAGACATGAGGGCTCTTCAAGGATACTATAAGGAGAAAACCAAAGTAAATAATTTTCCCGTGGAAAACCATTACAGTATAGATAACTCAAATTTCTCTCGGTATACATATATAGCCATATATCAGAAGGAACGATTGTCTTCATCTAGAAAGGGCTGTCTAAGGGAGACTACCATGTCAGGGACTCGTACCCATGAGTTTTCTGATGGGGCTATATAAGCAGTTCCGTGCAGAACGTTCCAAATTCTCAAGGTCAAACACGCCCACCCAATCATCTATGACCAGCTCAGAAACCTCACCATTGCTCAAAAATGGCGGCTATCCAGATCATAGGAATCCCTCTCTTACTCGTCGCGTTGCCAACTTCATGAAAGGCGAGGATGAGCCATCATGGATAGAATCTTTCAACTTCTTCATTTTTGGCACATGGTTCAATATCTTACTCGTATTTATACCTTTGAGCTTTATCTCTCACATCATGGACTGGGACGCTGGCCTAATATTTTTGTTTAGCCTGATAGCCATCGTCCCCTTGGCTAAGGTAGACACTGCTCCTATCATCAAATTCTTGGAAGAGTGACATTGTCGTTTTTAGTTGTTGGGCGAGGCTACAGATCAACTGTCTGTCAAGTTAGGGGACAATATGTCAGGACTCCTCAATGCATCATTTGGGAATGCCGTAGAAATTATCGTCGGCATTGCTGCTTTACTCAACGGTTTATCCACCGCGCTATGATTGTTCGCAACTCACGATGATCCTAGGCCAATTGCTAATTGTTCAGACGTCCGTGAGTGTCTTCATACGGGCTCTAATTGCGATAGATTGACCTTGGTTTAGATGCTCGGATCGATCTTATCAAATTTACTGCTCGTCCTTGGTTGTTCCTTTTTCGCCGGTAAGGGACATTCGCTTTGGGGGGAGAGTGTGCTCACTCGACATAGGTGGATTATATCACAAAGAAGGAGTTTTCAATAGTGCTGGAGCTCAGACGCGCGTCCTCTGTTTTTCTGGCCTTTAAATCCTTTGTTGAATTGTAATAATATTTAGATCTGCCTCTGTAAGTCACCTGCCCTATTCATCGCCATGATAACCAAGCAAGCCTAGCTTATGACTCTGTCGTGCATCAGTACGAATATTTTCTAACTTTAAGAGCTTTGCTAATATTTTATAGTGCTTGTTATTCCTGCGGCCTATGCCAGTACAACAAACGCCGGAACGCAGAATCATTGCAGCGATGCCTCTGAATGTCCCACTGCGGGTCTACTCTTTATTTCCAGAGGGACTGCCATACTGCTCCTGGGAGTTTACTGTGCCTACCTTTGGTTTCAGGCATGTTCTAATATCTTTTCTTTCTTCCCTATTGTACCCACCCAAGCGTCCAGTTAAAATCCCATCCTCAACTCTTCATTTCGCCTGCTTCACCTACGGATGAGCCAAACAGTGAGGAAACAGTGCCTCGTATGGGAACAGCTGCTGCCGGTGTTGCGTAAGTTTGGTTTCGTCATTTGCTACATTCGGCGCTCGTCCTCATTGCTCAAGACTTTTATCGGTAACTGTGGTCACCGCATTTTGTGCTGAGTATCGTAGGTGTCCCACTTTGTTCCCTTGGTCTTACGTTCAACTGTGCTAGTGGTTTCCTCCACCGAGGAAACTGCAGTGCGCTATTCCATTCCGAAGCCCTTCATTGGTGTTATCTTGCTGCCGATCGCAGTATGTTTCAAACTGTATCCGGCCCACTGTCTACTCAGATCGTCTGTAGGGCAATGCTGCAGACCATGTCACTGCAATCTGGATGGCAATGAAGAATAAATACCAGATTACCATCACCATTTGTGTTGGGAGTTCGATTGTGAGTGTAGACCGTTCATCGTAAGCTTGTGATTGTGCTGACTATCGAACAGCAAATTGCCTGCTTCGTAGTGCCACTTCTTGTGATCGTCGGCTGGATGTATGATCATGTATTGTATCTCGCGAGTTGTTCTCACTTTTTTGTTTAAGGGTCGATCAACCCCTAACGTTGAACTTCCACAATTTCGAGGTCTGCTTGTTCAGAGCATATTCCGCATGATTAACTAATTTCCTGACGAATCTTCAGACAATCGTCCTTTTTGTATCTGTTTTCTTTGTCAACCTGTTAATCATGTCAGTTTCCTTTTCACTGCATGTCAGTCCCATTGAGATCTAACTCACTTGTTTCAGGGATGGAAAATCGAATTATATGGGAGGTCTCATGTTTATTACCCTCTACTTAGTCATCGCCCTCGCATGTGAGTTGCCCCTTGAACCCTTCAATTATATTTTGATCGCATTTTAGTTTGGGTGACCTGAGATACCATCAACTATTGTAATTATTGAGGACCAATATTTATTTCACGACGCATCCCTGATGTACCCTCCTCCCAAGTTCCTTTGATAGTAGGGGCCAAAGAAGCCAGTAATAAACTAATTTCTGTGCCACCTACTTTTTTATGCGCTATCCTATTTATTTAAGCGTCACTCAAACATGTCCGTAGTAAATTATCCAAGGGAAACATCATACATTAATTCATAATAACTCGCAAATGTGAACGTTCACTTCTCTAAGATAAGGCTGTCTCCCTGAAGCTCTTCGAACTTCTTGCGCGCCATACATATATTCATCTTAATGGCTGCCGTCTCTGTATGTGTGAATATGGGTGAGCTCGAACCGACCGTTTAGTTGCAACCAACTGACCGATAACCGGGTCATGGACTACAACCAACACATAAGTATTTTTAGTCATTTCATCAAGCACAGCAGTGAACTCTGCCAGCTCCATTTCAAGAGAGCGGAACTCCTCCCTGAGCCGTGAGCATGACTGTTTGAAGGCTTTGATGAGTTCTGAAGTCCTTTCATATCGCTTTGGATCCAGTGCGTGAAGAACAACAGGGCCGGAGGGGAAGGCATCGGAGGAGTCGGCTCGTGAAGACGTTGCGATGACGAGGAAGGTGGTGCGTTCAAATAATATCACCTCGGTAGCACTGCAAGCTTCAGCGAAGATACGGAGGTGTTTCGAGAGGTTACGAGCGTTGGGGATCAGCGTGTTCACGATATTTGACCATGCCTTGCGCAAAAATTAGTGGTAAATCAGTCGCAGAAAAAGAGGAATTCACGGTACCTTGTAAAGACTCTCATCATAGATACTCGTCCCAAACACCTTCACTGGTGTCTCGCCGCTGGCTTTCTCGAGTTCTGCCACCTTGCGTTGCACGACCGCATTCCGCTCGGTATCCCTCACCAGGTCTATTTTGTGCACCAAGAGAAACACATTCGCATCCTTGCTGAACTGCGACAATCCTTCCAGGCAGTCCCGATAGTATTCCAGATCCTTCTCCATCTCACGGGACTCGACGTCAAAGACATAAATCATGACCCCGACGTGCGAGAAGATGATTGAGCGTTGCGTACTCAAGTAGGAATCCATGAATGCATCTTGTCCACCACAGTCCCAAAGGTTGAGGATAAGATCGCCTAGGAAGCGGACATGATTCTGTTCGACGTCAATTGTTGCGCCAAGACGGGAGGTGAGGGACGCTGGGTTGTTGGAGCTGAGAAGGGTTCAGCTTGTCCAAGTGAAGCTGGCGGTGGTGTCTTACAATATCATGGACCGCATAGAGGTCTTCCCGCTACCAGACGCCCCCATCAAGAGTACCTGATAAAGTCGCCCGATGACTATCCTGTACGGCAGATGTAAAAGCTTTGCGCACTTTTTTCTTCATCTCGAAGCGATATGACTTGGTAAGTAGATGTGAAGGCTCCTGCTATCAGTACAAGCCGTGGAAGAAGTTCAAGAAGACCGTAGTTGTTGTTCCTTACTATCTTAAAATAGATAGACTTGATTCAATCAGCGACGTGGGGTACATATCATATCTATCTGAGTTGGCCTTTGTCTTCACTGTTCAACGCCCTTGGACAACTGAAACGCCAAGATCGTGTTAATGGTACAGTCCCATATTTATTATCAGACTGGCGCGAGTGAGTCTCGTAGACATCGAAGTCGTCCTCATCATTCTCAATTAGCGCTGGCCACTTGCACACCGTCACTAGCATTCACAGCTTCTCTACCCTGTGACGATAGAACTTCGCATGCCTATTACTTTTGATATTCACCATTTGAGAGATCGTCTCCTCCTTGAGCTACGATGTGACACGTGTGGGTATGCTTGGTTGAGGTCTGCGCATTACGTCCGTTAATGTTGCATCCATCAGGATGTGCCCATCATGCGTTAAGTGTTCTCGGCAAAGCACCAGCCCCTCAGATTCCGTAGTACTAGGCCAGCCCATCAGGTGGCCAAGTGAGGTGTCACACCACAGTCGGAATATGCCAGGCTTAACATCCTACCAGGTATGCAAATTTTACCGGTCTGCCAACCAAAATTCAAATATAACTAGCATCCGCGGACTCCTGGCTGAGAAGAAGGGCTTAAACGTTCATGCAACGACCAGTTACACGTATATAGAGGGTATAACATGACCCTGATACGTGGGACACCTAGTCACCCAGCTTGCCCACTTGAAGGTCAAAGGTCTTCACATGAAACGTTAATACAAACTTTGACACAAATTGAATACAGAAATCAAATACGCACCGGTACACTGCATGTAATCTTACTAAACTGTAAGACGCACTGGGCACATGAATTTGTTATGGACACAGTGTTACACGCTGAATTGACGAGCCTGCGTATAGTGGGCAAGACCTGGATGGAATGGGAGCTGCTAGTAGGTTCCTACATCAACAGCCTGACAACAGAATACTTTCCCGGCTATCTGAACTCAGACACAGCGTTCTGAGTTACTGTTACTTGTGAAAATTTGGGGTATAGTTGCTATCGATTACAACCGAGACCTTCCACCAATCAGAGCGCTCCCCTACGGTGTTCAGAAAAGATGCAGAAGTTGACGCACGAGTGAGCTTGAGTAGCCGCGGCCCATTAAAATCAGAGAAATTTCCCTTCAGCCCATCGTTTGCTCTGTGCTCCCATTTCCACTGCTGCAAGTCCCCAATCCTCGCCAGTGATTGTGACCCTTCTCTGCCCCTCTGCCGAGACCAGCTCGTTCCAATGCTTGATCCTCTGTGAGTGCTGTTAGGACGCCGAAGATCACAGGGACACCCGTGTCAATCTGGATCTTCATGAGGGCGTGAGAAACGCTGTCGCAGATATACTCAAAATGCATCGTAGAGCCCTTGATCAAGACACCAATAGCTACTACTGCATCGAATGGAGCAGTTTGGCATGTTGACAAGTGTTGAAGTGGGAGCAGAAGGTTCCTTGTTGGATGGAAGCGACGTCGAAGAATCACCGAAGTTCAACCCAAGCAGATCGCCAGAAGATGTGGCTGCTTGAACATGAGATCCTGCAATCATTCTATAGAATAGCTGAGCTGATATGTAAGACAGAAAAGCTGGTACGTACTTCGAGCATGCGAAAGGAAGTTCAAAACTACCAGGGACAGACTGGACGATGATGTTGGAGTCCTTAACCCCGCATGCTTTTAGTTTGTCGATTGTACCTGCCACGAGTGATTCAATGACAGTCTTGTTCCATCGCGCATGCACGATGGCGATGCGTAAACTAGAGCCATCGAATTGAACGCTGGATGGACCTTTGATTGAACTCATGGTTGACGACATCAATATCATTATCATTGAAGGGGGTACAAATGAGGTAACCTGATACTGTATTTGACATTGTTTATGCATCTCTCTAAATTTTGTATGGAGAACACTTTCGTGACGGCGGGAGTCTCACTCTTGTCTCCTCAACTCATCATAATTCGCTGGTCATTCTCATAGTGATGTCGGACGCGAACCTTGCAGGTAGGTGCATCACCAGATTAGCACATTTGATGAACTGAAAAAGGTCGCTCACAGTGACGTATTCTTTAATCTATGTGTTTCTGAAACAGCAGTCCCAGACAAAAGCGGCTGATGCTGTGAAGAAAGCTGCAAGGAACATAATCGTCTTAAAGGATGATTTGCAGCTCGAGGGTTCACCCTTGGATGAGATAGTCAAGCAATGGAAAGAGTCTCATGCTAATGACAGTTCGTGAGTGTTCACTTTCTCCGTGTACTATTTCTTTTACTCAAAGCACGGAATGTAGTTCTGACTCTGACTGTGTGTATTTATTGTCACTAGTCGTACGAGCTTTATTGCTGAGTGTGATATAGCTTCAGATGATTCCTCCGATGGTGCGTCATCCTAATTATGCACAAACGGGCCCCGATATGTAATTTTGGACAGACTCCTCGACAAGTTCTAGCTCTGATTCCAGTTCTAGCTCATCCGATTCAACGTATGTTGCCGAGACGTATAATTTATCTTGCTTACAAGTCAGCCTAAAGTTCAGGGGATGAAGCAGGCATGTATATTTTGTTGTCACGATGTGCTGCCGTCTCACGACCACAGATTCATCATCAAGTGAAAGCGAAAGCGAAAGCGACAGTAAAAAAGGAATCCAGGCTTGTAAAAAGGTCCCTGAGACTCTCTTGAGTGGAGACCGCGAAACGAGTGCCACCCTGTCCTCTGGTATACTCCCATTATCAGTGTCAGCTTTATCAGTACTGACTTGTGAAAGATGCCAAGGTTCCTGAAGTCAAGTCTAAAGTCATCAAAAAGAAACTCTCTGTCAAGGGAGAAGCTCAAGCTCCAGCTCCAGCTCAGGATCTGATTCTGATTCTGATAACTCTGCGACTGATTCCGCGTCCGACAAAAAGCTAGCCCGCAAAGATGCCCCCAAAAAGGATGGTAAATCATCGAATTCCGACTCCAGCGAGTCCAGCTCCTCTGACTCCGAGTCTACATCGTCCGACTCTGAGTCCACCACTTCGAGTTCTGAGTCCGAGTCTGAAGCCGAGATCACTGCCATCTCTGGCAAGATTACCATCAAACGCGACGTCGCGTCCAAATCTGGCGCCAACACGGGCGTCGCATCAATCCCGAAAGAGGAAATGCAGATAACGAAAAAGCGAAAGACATCTGAGTCTGGAGCTGCTGTAGTTACCGCTGTGGTGTCACTCACTACCGATGATGTGCGAGTTTCAGTGAAGAACAGAAATATCCAGAAAAATGGCAATAACAAGCCCCCGCGGAACGTGAGTGAGCGATTCTCGAGGATCAAACCTCAGGGTATACCTCCGGAACAACTTCTGGACAATGGGTACGAAGCAAAGGTGAGGTCTGTCTTTGGTCCACCTACGAGACCTAACCACTTTCTTCGTATAGGGCGGCATCACTAATGATTACGGTAATCGTGCACACCAGGACTTGATTGTTACACGGGGTGCAGGGTTCCGGAAGGAGAAGAACAAGAAGAAAAGAGGTTCATATCATGGCGGAGAAATCACTGTGAGCATGCTCTTTTTTTGGTGTCGATATGGTCATCGCCTGATTGATGTGGCAGATGCAAAGTCACAGTATCAAGTTCACAGATTAGACGCATGTATTTACTGGTCGATATACGTCGCACCAGTTACGTTCGCCAGTCCCACTTCTATTCGCGTTCTCACTCAATACAATATACCGATCGCTTCACATTCACTGTAAACCGTCAGAATGTATGTAGCAAATTTCATTGGGCGAATCGATATGGAACGCAACTCGGATTTAATCGTTCTATGTACCGACTTTGATTGTGCACATTTCGCGCAAAGCTCGTCGCAACCATAACCTTGAATATGAGATTGCTGGTTAGATTGACTAGATGATTTATCGAGGATTGTCACTGGCTTGAGAGTACCAGATGTTGCACAGCCACAGACCAAAGCGCCCGTCCGGTCGAACTTTATAGAAGGAAAACCATAGTTCCTTCTTATAAAGAAGTATTCCCTAGCTGGCAAAAGTTGCCGACCACTCCGCTCAAGGTCAAACCTGAGCGCTGTCTACTATGGCAGGCATGGGTCCTGCACCTATTCTCTTCAATGAATTTTTTCAGATGTTCATGAGGTGCATGCCTCCAAATGGGTGGCCAGTGAACTCCAAGATCGGTGTGTTCCTCTTCATTGTACCTCGTGTTTGAAATTTAGCGCATTTACTTTAGCTGTTGGCAACTCGGGAGGACCAGATTCCACCTGCTTGCTGTTCCTCCTCAAAAAATTGCTGACTGACCTGCGCTCAAAAGCCATGGCGGGACAATCCATCCCGACCTCAGTTGTTTCCCTCTCTGTCAACCATAACCTCCAAGAAACTTCGCAATCGATGGCAGCTCGTTCTGCAGCGAACGCAGCAGCCATGGGGGTTGAACATATGATGCTTGACATACCCTGGGGAACACCACCGTTTTCTGCAAAACCTGTCGCTGGTCAGCCGATAGAGCAAGTCGCGCGAGAGGCACGGTATCATGTTATATTCGATGGGATGGTGCGCACTGGCGCACACTCAGTCGCATTTGGGCATCATGCCGACGACCAAGTAGAGACCTCATTAATGCGTCTTGCAAGGGGAACGACCGAACTTGGCGCAGGAGGCATGCGACGATGCCGCAGATGGGGTATGGGCACTGGTGATGTAGAAGGTGGACTTGGGTGGGTTGGTTACCATGGATTGAACCGTTGGATTATGAGACCTCTTCTTGAGGTCAGGAAGGTCAGGGCTTCTTGACATGGATTTAAGTTTGATTTGTTGATGACTGACTTGTAGGATAGGATCCTTGCTACATGTGAAGAACACCAGCTCGATTACGTGAATGACCCAACAAACTTCCAGCCCGAGGTCACTTTAAGAAATGCGATCAGGCAAATGCTGACCCTGCAGGAAGAGGGCAAGGATATGGTGACATCTTGTTTCGAACATATATCCAGTATCACTTATCATTACGCAGTCTGCACTTTCTGGGCTACCACAACATATTTCTGGTTCCCTTGAAAAGATAAAGATAGCTGCAGCTGACCTCCAGGAAACCACGATGGATCTCGAAGGTGGATTGCATCAGCTTCATGGGGCAGTGAAAGTTCTTTCGTCGCGACTCGAGGACGTGGATAATGAGGGTGAGTAACTATTGCATCAAATACCTTTCAAAACGGCATTCATGGCTATGCTAGTCACGTTCCACCTTAAAAACCTGACTCTCCCTTCTCCTCCAAGTACTCTCATCCTTTCCTCGCACGCGCTGCCTGCTATCGTGGATCCAACCGTTCGTCTTGCTTTCGTCCTTCGGGTCATGCGTTATGTATCGTTCCATCCATGGGGATCTCTGCGTGCGGACGGCAACCGACGCAGAAGTAGCATACAGCACATCATCGATACTCTGTGGCAGTCTGACGGTGCCCCATCATTCACTGCAGGTGGTGGAGTACTTTGGCAGCCTGCGATATTCAGCGCTAAAAGGCGACTCCGAGTGGGCACCCAGTGTCTTGGTCGCCAATTACAACCAGGCGAGAGATTTGCCTGGATGGCATCTAGACTGCCTGCTGTTCCCTACCACATATTGGACACTGCAACATTATCTTCAAAGTTGGATGTCGATATCACGGAACGCCTTGCAATCGCCATGAGTCGCGGCGACGACTCTTTGGAGGTCCTCTTTGACTGCCGTTTCCTTGTGCGCTTTGATCTGTCACTGATTCCAGAAACACTGGTCGGAGCTCTACGAAAATACCAGGAGACGGGGGTGAACGTGCGAATCAAGCCCCACACAAAATATTATTGGCCCAAGGTGGTGTTGCGAAAGTCTTCTTATCCAGATACTACATATGCTACACTGATCGACAACGGACAGGTAGACACATTCGGGCACGCGCCTTGGGTGACCATGGAATACATAAGGCTACTGGACGCGACCTGATATATGGTTTATACCTTTACGCATACATCACAATACATTGTAACGGTCGAATCGTTATTACAGCCGAGCTTTCTCCCTACATCCAGCCTGCAAAAACACTTCGAAAACCCCATACCAAACCTGGGGATCAAAGTACTCGACCCAATCATGACCGAAACGAAGAGTTGGTACCGAACCTGGTGCATCTCCTACCGGCACCACACGCGCCCATGGAATAAGCCTCAAAAAGCCCTGAACATTGGAGAAAGGCAAGATCTGATCAAGTTCACCGTGGATGATCATGAATTGAGTGTCTGGCGACAGACGAGAATGAAAACCAGTAAAATCATATTGAGAGACTGCTCGTTTTTGCTGTACTGTGACAGGATAAACGTTACGCTAAGAGGACTCGGAGAAGGATACCTACATATGGTCTTAAATGGCCTGAATATTGCATCAATTTGGTCAGCACTGATCATCTCGGATAAAGGCAAGAGCACGACCTGCCAATTAACCCGCGATCTACGATCTCTTCAATTCTCTTCTGGTTGGCTTCACTGGCAAACCACTCGGGGTCATAGTTGGGTAGCATAGTGAGGCGCACAAGCTCTCTGATTAGTTCACGTGTCAAGGGTCCTGTCGGTCTCCTCGGGAACTTCAGTCCGTATTTTGGGTCCAGGACAGGTGTGAATGTAGTACAAGCGAGTACAACATGTGTTACATGAAAACGTAGGGGAGTCGGGTTCGTGCGGTGAAAGGGTAAGAATAAAAGACTCTGAACGACAACACCTTATAAGACACGTGAGGTGCGAGCTATGGTGTGAGTTGCCTTCCTTGAACCTACCTCCCATGGAATGTCCGCAAAGAGCAACCTCGCTCCACTGAAGATGCTGAATTAGAGAGAGAAGGTCTCTTGCTAGTGTTTCAATAGTAAAAGGGTCATCTTTGCGAGTCTTTGAATCCCCCATGCCCCTGTCTATGGTGAAACAAGGAGTCGGAAAGCAGTCTTTGACACTTACCTGTGGTCATAGACCAACACTGCATCGAGTCAAATTATACACATAACTTATTCAGTGTACTAACCACGCACCTTGTCGATGTTTAGCTAGTAGCGATGATACTTTGCTCGCGTCCCTCCGACAGGATGTGGTTCCACCGACGAACACGAGCGGCACCGATGCCCCCTCAGGCTTGTGGTCGGAGCCAAGCACCTCGTATGCTAACTGAGTTCCATCTGGAAGTTGCAAAGTGGAGTAATCGTCCATCTTGGCCTTGCAACAGACTCGTGACAAGCCGCCTTACACGATTGCGACGGTAAGACGAAGGTGCAGGTGCTCGGCGCTCGGTGCCCAGGCGTCAGACGTTCAACTGCAACTGGCAACACCCTTGTGCTTATAGTAGCCTTGTACTGTGACTGAAATTTGAAAGTCCGGCACTACTACCCCTACAGGCAGATGCGGCAGAGTCCGGCAGAACTTAATATCAGGAGGCTCTAATACCCCGAATTCTTCCAATTCATCTTATATGGCATTGATGACTGGAGTCTTCCACCGAAATCTCTTGACGACAAGATCATGATAGTTGATAATGCCTCATGCGATGACGGACCTAGTGGGATGTGGACGCGCTGATGAGTCTTCTATTAATGGTGTTTCTTAGTGACAGTTACCATACATTGACATTCATATTATCATATAGCCTTGAAAATTTTGCGAAGCAGCAGAAGTATTATGATGATTTTGCCAGAATTCTACCGGTCATGCTGGGCATTGCTGGCACAACTTGAGTTGCCTGTACATAATTCTGCCCTCAGCACTTGCGCTTTAGCTTGATTATCAGGTGTTCCAAAAACTGCCTAGTAGCAAGTATCTGCAGAATTCGCAGTACTTACACATCCCGCACACGAACAAGCTTTGCAAGGCCCCTCCCCAAAACCTGGAGTGCCCCAACTCTGCATCTAGCTAGAACTTCTGCGGCGAAATTAACCGTCACTGTTCCCGAATTTGGGGATGCTGGAGTCATGCACGCCATTATCATATCTCACCAAATGATTACCAGCGTAAACCATCAATTGCACGGCACCTCGGTTCAGGAATCGCTCCGATACTGCTTTGAGCGGCCCAAAATTTGCATTAACTCTCAATGTCACCCTATCTGATCGTCGTGGTCGAACCACATGTTCAGGTGGCCTGGTAAAGTGGCAATAATTGGTGCTTCCCAGCCACACTGATTGTTTCCTACCGCTCGTTCCGAAAGGGTTTCGTTGGCGGGTGGCAAGTTGAGTTATTCTTGGTTTATCATGATCGCTTATAAGATTTTGGCCTGATCTCGTTCCACCATATGGTCACTGCCGGAGCACCAACAAACCTTGAGTAGCGGTACGTTCAGCCGCAGTAGCCCAATAATGCTGAATCTTGATGATCAATTAGGCACATGCAACCGTATTGCAACCGTCACTGTGTCGAGGAATGTGAATCTGCTGTACAGTTCAGCTGCACAGAGATCGAGAGAGCTTTACTTCTGCCAATTCGGTTCAGCGATCACCGTCGCAAAATCCTGAATGATTATCCCGATACACTATCCCACAAGAAGACCTCGGGGTTTGTTCTGCCCTCATGTTGCAGTAGAACTACAACACAAAGCCACGTGAACATAAAGAAATTTCACTGCCATTCATTCATTCCCTCGTTCACGGAGTACTCGTGAGTGGTGCACCGCCGGAAGTGCATATGAAATTCATTCGCCTGCAGCAGCAATCGTATTGGTTGTCATTATATGCTCAACTACCAACCTTCTTCATTGTGGAAGTCCTTCAAGACCAATTACCATGTATATGGTGCCTTCTGTACCCGTGAGTATGTCCGTTTGAGGTATCATGAGTGACTAAAATTATCCATTCACTCTTCGCGCGTTACTCTCTGGTGACACAGTAGATGGGAAAAATCGGAACATATCGACGTTCTGTACAACACGGGCCTCTTTAGTCAGCTGTCTTAGCAGGAGACTAGCGTGCGGTGCTCTGTTGTTGCTGCGAGGTGGTTCTGATAAGCTTTATTAGTGGAAAGTTTGCGAAACCCTTCCAGGGATCCTATTTTCCTGCTACTTTCGGTATCGTATTCCTTCTCGACTGATTGTTATGGCGGCCTAGCTCCTGTACTAAGACCTCAACAGAACGAACCCTTCTTCATAATAGCGGCCGTCGCAGTAGTAATTACTGGCGCTGCACAGTCCAGCATGGGTACGACATGCAGTATTGTTAACTGTCAGATTCGACAATCCTAAATACTTATTACTTTACCTTGCGGTGCCTAAGTACCTTTTGCCACTCACGATCCGTTTAATAATCCTACGTACTGTATATCACGGCACAGCTGTGTGCTGTGTTAATGCAATGCAATGCAACGATGTTTGCCATGAGTTGAGTCAGGAATACGGGACAGCTTTCATAGAGCGTATGAGAAGTTCGGACCAGTCGGCAACTTCACCCACGTTTTCCTTTTTTCTTCTTTCTCTTCTGATTTTTGCTAGATCGCTCTGATCAGTAGCTACTTTCTCTGGCTGGTCTCTCCAGTGAAGACGTAAAAATTATTGCCGATGTCATCGCAGGGGACACATCAAATTTCCCCTCCTCTTGTACCAGCTTCTCCTCCTTTAACTGGTGGTGTCCGGCGTCATCACACGATCTCAGCATCATCTCGCACAGCGAGGGCTGCTGCCCGTGCTCCCATTTGTGAAGAAACACAGGAGCAAGCACCATGGATGGATGATGAGGTCGTTGACGAGGATTGGGTTGGTGGAGTTGGTGCAGTGGGAGAGAAAACGGTCTCATTGCACCGACAAAGCTCTCTCCCCACCAAGTATAAGAGTATGTGAAAGTTACATCAGATCCCTCCTCGTAGCTTACCGTTATATTAATTCCTATTCCCTCCAGCCTTCCATGGGCAGAAAAGCTCACGACAGGCGGGGAATCTCACCCCAAGGACTATGAATAGTTTGTCCGCCATCGCTGGCCACGAAGGCGATGAAGAGGACTGGGAAAGCGAAATGAGGGGGTTTCAGAATGACGACGAAGTGAGTCACTGCTTAATTTACATCTACATCCTCCACGCTACTAGTGAACGTTCCAATTCCACCCCACGGATATGTTAATATCGGACTTGTCACGCCTCTCCTTTCCATTGGCAACTTTTTCGCTCACCCGTCTTTCCACAGCACGATATGTCCAACTCTGAGTCTGCCCAGCATCAACATGTCGTTGACGCCCAGTCGCAGTCGTCTACTGGCAATCCATCCCCTCTGTCACCTCAATATCCAACTTCGCACGTCCCTTCCCCACCTCCCGCCGGGTCGGGCGTGCGGCGTCACCAGAGCCTGACTTATGGGGCTCAGAGTGGTGTCAGGCAAATGACCTCTTCGGGGCTCAAGCGTGCTGGGACTGTGCAAGGAAGTGGACGTCATCCCTCAGTCGGACATAGCCCAAGCCCCCCGCACGGAGAGGAGGAGTATATCGAGGAACAGGAGCTTGTCAATCCTTACGAAGACGAGTCCTACTTTGCCTCCCGGTCCCCTGCACCTGCCCAACAGCAGCAGCAGCAATATGCTGGCCAAGGTCAGTATCCAACAAGCCCTATGGGGCGGTCCTCTCCGTGGAACACGCCCGGCGCTGGAGAGTGGCGGACCCCTGGTGGATCATTTTCCGTGGCAGGAACTGGAAATCCTGACGAACTGGCGCGTGCTCTGTCCGGCCTCGAAATTAACAACAATCTCTATGTCAGCAACATGGGATATCAAGCAGGACAATCTACCCATCCTCCCCGGTTCCAACCCACTCATCCGCCCCCCGCCCTTTCCCCTGGTGTGCGCTCGGGGAACCTGCAGGGCGCCGGCAACGGCTCTCGCAAATTGCAGTTGAACACTGATCTTGATGGGCGCAAGACCCCAACCGCACAGCCCGGACCGGCGCCTGCCAGCGTCCCCGCGTACGCCCAGTCTATTGGTGCTCAACAGCAAATGCATCAATCTCGGGCTGGTTCCATGAATGACGCTGAACGCGCAATGGCTGCCACCGGTGCTACGTCTTGGGAGCAAAAAGAGAGACTTGGCCAACGCACTTCTAACCCCAACCTGAACTACCGGTACAATCAAGGTCAAAAAGGCAACATCCCTAATGTACCATCCATTCCTTCGCAGTATCTTAATCAACAAGGCGGTCAAGCTCCGCGAATGGGGAATTCCTTTGGCCAGGGACAGACACAAGGTGATAACAACGCCCAACCTGTTCCCGGGTTCGTCAACACTCCGGTTGACGTTCCAACCCTGATTGCTGGAAAAGGTTATAACCCGCCCAATTTCGATGTTCGTCCTGGTTTTGTAAGCTCTCGTTTCCTTTGGATGTTACTACCTTTATTAAACACTGCCTAGGCCCGCTATTTTGTCATCAAGTCATACACAGAAGATGACGTTCACAAATCTCTGAAGTACGAGATATGGAGCTCCACTGATCCCGGAAATAAGAGACTTGACAAGGCCTTCAAAGAATGTGGTGGGAGAGGTCCCATCTACCTCTTCTTCAGCGTGAATGCCAGGCAAGTGATTTGGTGATTCAATACTAAAATATGCTCACCTTCACCCCAGTGGACATTTTTGCGGAATGGCGGAAATGTTAACTCCAGTGCGTATCCTTTGCTCCCGGACCTCCAAAGGGTCATATTAATTTTCCCTGTAGGTGGACTACACAAGAAGCAGTACGGTATGGGCATCCGACAAATGGAAAGGTGTGTTCAAAGTGCGATGGATTTTCGTTCGTGATATTCCGAATGCCAATTTGAGGCACATCCGCTTGAAGTAAGCTGCTATGCAAACAGAAGAGCTTGTCTGCTTACCATTCGGTTAGCAACACTCAAGAACGCAAGCCAGTGACAAACTCCCGAGACACCCAGGAGTTGTTACCTGAAGCTGGTCAAGAAATGCTCCGTATATTCCATACTCACCCTGCGAGAACTTCTCTGCTGCAGGACTTTGCTTTTTACGAGGTGCGTAACGGAGAGTTTACGTTTCAGTTGGTGTTCACATCGCTAGCAGCTTCAAGCAATGCAGAAGATGCAGGTGAATCAGCAGCAACATCAACAAGGGGGAACATCCGATGGTCCCACACCACCATCGCAGTCACCTCCCCCACAACAGGCCATGTTCCCGATGAACATGGCGAACATGGCGAACACCCCCGCTATGTACGGCACAATGTCGCCGGCCATGGGTGGTGCTTTGTCTCCACATTTGCTCTCCATGCAAATGGGGATGGGCATGATGAGCCCACCCTTCGGCATGCAGCAGACTCAGGCCATGCACCAGAGTGTCATGCGTCACCCCAGCCCTGGGCCCCCTGGACAGAACTTCATGGGTATGGGCAGCGTGCCCTACTAAAGCTAGCGTCTTCACGATTTTATGACCTTTCCCTTTCCCTCTACAGAGGGCTGCGAAAAGTTCCTCGATCACTAACGTTGGATATAGATTTCTATGTTTTGCGCCGAATGTACTCCCTAGTTTGTATATCCGTCACCCATGTTGAGTCTCTCCATCTCTCCATCTCTCCATCTTTCTCTTTCTCGTTCAATAATGTAACCATAGCCTCTCTTGTCTCCCTTGTCGCACATTCACCAAGACCGGATATGCTGTCATCATTGCTACTTACACTGCAGCTGTACAACGGCCATGGACATGGGACTTTGAATGGACGTGGATATCTGCTTGTTCGCTACATTGTAACTGTTTTGCCTGCTATTCCCTATCTATACTACAGAAGTCGAGAATTTCATTGCTATTTCCACCACATCGCAATCTACTGTCCGTCCGCCTGCAATAGCTCGTGCAATGCCTGGGCTGCCCTCAATGCGAAAGAAGGGTCATTGATATCCACATCAAGCTCTTCCACCAGACACGGCAAACCACTCTTCAGTGCGTCCAGCAGAGCACCGTCTGCTTCGGCATCGCGAAATGGACCTTTGTCTTTGTCGATACCCGAGAAACCTCGCGAGGGCAGGATAACGCGTGTCTTATCGGTGGGCGCTCCCTTCAGCTTTTCTACCATGATCTGACCGAGCTTTGAGCATTCCTCTTGGGAAGTGCGCATCAGAGTGACTGAAGAGTTATGATGGTGGAACAGTCGCCCCTGGAACTGTTTCGGAATGGTGTCTGCTGGTCCGAAATTTACCATATCCAAGGCTCCCACCGACACTACCTGTGGAATACCACATCTTGCTGCTGCCTCAAGGCGATGAGGACCAGCGGTGAGTACACCACCCACTAGCTCATCCGCAAGCTCAGTAGTGGTGATGTCAAGAACCCCAACAAAATGGCCCTCGCAGACGAGTCTCTCCATTGCTAAACCCCCAGCACCTGTGGCATGGAACGTCATTACAGAGTATCCCAGTTCCTCCAGCTTCTGGGTTGCAACCTGCACACAGGGAGTGGTCAAACCAAACATGCTGACTGCAATAGTCGGGCGTGATGACTTCAAATCCGCGCGAATAAGAGAATGTTTCGCCATCCCTGAGATGGCACGTGCTGCATTTTCTAGGATAACTTCTAGTATTGGATTCATGCCAGCGACGTCGACGACAGAATACATCATTGTGATATCCGTTTCACCCACATAGTGGGCGACGTTCCCCGATGCCATGGTGGATACCATCAGCTTAGGAAAACCGATGGGTAGGGCATCTCGGAACGCTTTCGTGCAGACGCTCGTATTACCCGAGCCTCCCGCGCCAATGACCCCTGCGATACTTTGAGTTGAGTGTAGACGTGCCAGAAGTTGCGTCAAGGCGATGGTCATAGTCTCCAGGACTTCTCCGCGGGAAGATGCATTATGGATAGTGGTTGTACATTCCCTCAGCACATCTGAGCGGGGAATGTCGATGTCCCGCAAACCAGATGGATGATAGGACCCGATGTCGATCAGGATAGCATCGCAGATGACAGTTGACTGAACAGTACGTTTAAGGAAGAGAAGAGCCTCCAACTTGGTGTCGCAGGTACCTATGACTGCAACAGTGGGTGGCATCGTTGACGCAGATCAAGGTTTGGGAGACCTTGGCGCAACACGTTTGGCGATATGAAGCCTGGGCGCCGCCCAGGATTATGTCATACATGTGGATGCGAGACGAAGCTCGTTTTGCTCGTGGAAAAATGCGGGGCACTATTCTCATCAGAGGTCCACAATGACGGGGAAGGCGATATCGAAGCGACAGCAGGTGCTAAAGCGGCTGAGAGATAACATCAGCCGAGGGACGGCGATTGTGGGCGGAGGAGCAGGTGTTGGGCTGAGTGCAAAAATACAAGAGGCAGGAGGAATTGACCTCATTATCCTATACAACTCGGGTCGCTATCGGATGGCTGGTCGAGGGTCCCTGGCAGTGCGTGGTCTTGCTATCTCCGCAGAAAACCAGCTGATTGATCGTTTAGGGTCTGATGCCTTACGGTGACGCGAATGCCATTATGCTAGAAATGGCCCGTGAAACTCTGACTATCGTAAAAGATACGGCGGTCTTAGCAGGCATATGCGGAACAGACCCATTTCGGGATATGTCACAGCTGCTGAAGGAGGTCAAAGACCTGGGCTTTACCGGAGTCCAGAACTTCCCTACAGTTGGCCTCATTGACGGTGTATTTCGACAGAACCTGGAGGAAACAGGAATGAGCTATGAGAAGGAGGTCGAGATGATCCGAATGGCACACGAATTCGATCTGCTGACAACACCATACGTCTTCAACGTCGACGAGGCCGAACGAATGGCGGAGGCGGGTGCTGATGTCATCGTAGCTCATATGGGCCTCACGACGAGCGGTACTATTGGTGCCAAAACTGCGTTGACCCTCGATGATTGCGTGGTCCGGGTTAAGAGAATTCTGGATGCAGCTGTGAAAATCAAACCAGAAATCATAGTTCTTTGCCACGGCGGTCCTATTGCCACCCCATCAGATGCAAGATATGTCATTGAAAGGGTTCCGGGAATTCATGGGTTCTTTGGTGCTAGTTCACTCGAGCGGCTGCCAGTCGAGTTCGCCATGAAGGAGGTTGCTCAGGAATTTAAATCAATCCGTTTAACTGCCCGCCTGGTAAGAATAACGAAACCATATTCGAGTGTCAGAACTGACCGTGAAAACACACAGTGACCGTATTGAAAATGTGCCAGACCATTTTCAATTGAGGTAGCAGCTGACAGGGGGCCTACCAGTGACACTGCATACCGATAGCACTAGGTATCAAATTTATTTAGATAGCTGAGAAATGAATGATCCAGCGTATAAGTATCATATAAACCATAGTTGAAATGCAGACTGAAATTGTGTGATAGACCAATGACAACCACATCTACCAAAGTTCGGTAGTACTTGGACAGCGCGACTTGTGGAATCAACAAGGCAAAACAAGATCTTGACCTGTGTCGAATTGGACCACACAGTACTAGTGACAACATCTGTTGACGCGTTGTATCACATAGCTTTTAGCTCAACTGCGTTCAAGCGGCCCACAAGTTTTCGAAATCAGAATGGCGCTCCTTTCAGACCGTCAAAAAGATGAACTGTGCGTGAACCGGGCTTCGGAACATTTGTCTACTACTGACCGTGACCGTGTATCGATGTAGACATAAATCCATGCTAGAGTACCTGCATACAAGCAATTTCACAGCAGCTTATAACGCACTAAAGGAGGACACTGGAGTGGAGTATACACCAGACCCCAAGGCCAAGTACGCGGGTCTGTTGGAGAAGAAATGGACCAGCGTTATACGGTTGCAGAAGAAGGTGCGTTCCGAGATGTGCATCTATCATCATGTTGATGATCGAACTCATGTGTCATTGCAGATCATGGATCTCGAGACCCGAAATGCATCTCTTCAAGAGGAATTATCCATTGCCCCATCAAAACGTGCCGCAATGCAGGCAGATTGGGTACCTCGCGCCCCCGCAGCACACGTATTGACTGGCCACAGAGGTCACATTACGCGTGTCGCTTTCCATCCACAGTACTCGATATTAGCCTCTGCAAGCGAGGATGCAACAGTGAAGATATGGGACTGGGAAACAGGCGAGTTCGAACGGACATTAAAGGGACACCACCGTGCCGTCCATGATGTCGATTTTGACCACAAGGGACACTTGCTCGGTGAGTGACATGCACGTGTGTGCAAGCACCGTTGATGAGTCCGTATCGGTGATGACGTTCAGTGACATGTTCGTCTGACCTATTTATCAAGATATGGGACTCTGAAAATGAGTGGAAGAACACAAAGACACTATCAGGACATGATCACTCGGTATCCTCGGTGCGATTCATGCCTGGAGATCAATATATCGTCAGTGCAAGTCGAGACAGCACAATTCGCGTTTTCGATGTTGCATCAACGTAGGAATGCCCTTCCGCATTTATTTTAGAAAGCTGACTTCACATATGATAAAGACATCTAGTACGAACGATCTCCGGTCATTCAGAATGGGTGCGTTGCGCAGTGCCCTCAGATGACGGCCGGTTACTTGCAAGCGCGTCAAAAGACAAGGTAAGCCTTCATCTTTCGTTCAACAAACATCCTTTCATATTTGAGAATTCAGACTGCAAAACTATGGGATCCCCTGACAGGAGAATGCAAAGGAGAGCTAAGAGGGCATGATAATGAGCTGGAGGCGGTTTGCTTTGCACCCGTGGCTGCATACGCCGCCATTCGCGAGCTTGCAGGCCTGCCAGTAAGACCAGATAACTATCAGCAGCAATCATGCATCTCAAACCATCCCTATCTAGAACGTAGGTCCCAAGGGTCCTGGGGCTTATGTCGCTACTGGATCCCGAGACAAGACCGTCAAGCTTTGGGACGTCCAGAGCGGACAGATGATTAAGAACCTTGTATGTATACTTTCCTTCGCCACAGATGCTTACTGATTTTCCCTAGGCTGGACATGACAACTGGGTGCGCGCACTTGTCTTCCACCCCTCCGGCAAGCTCCTTCTGTCGGCGGCAGACGACAAGACAATACGTGTGTGGGAGCTGTCCACAGGACGATGCATGAAGACCGTGGAGGCACATTCTCACTTTGTAGCAACACTTGCATGGGGTCGGCAGAGGGTTTCCACAGCGAAATCAAATGGCGCGGACGCGAAGGTTGGCGAAGCAGAAAAGCTTGTGAATGTTGTCGCATCGGCTGGCGTTGACCAGATAATCAAGATATGGCTTCCATGATGCATTCACTCAGAGAGCTTAAGCTACACTTTGAATTTTGGCAGTATATGCGCTTTCGTACTTCGTTCCCATCCTCTGCGAGGCCTTAGTGAGTCCTTGTGTCTTTCTCATGGGTCTGGTAGCAGGAGCTGATATGCACTACTAGTTTGGCTACTAGGCACAGCGCATCATGACTCTCCTTACGACAAATCCATCACGATCATTCATTCACGAACTTTCTTTCGCTCTCAAGATTCGGTTTCTTCAACATACCCATATTACTCCTATATATTCAAGTTGTAACAGCTATACAAGATAAATTCGGGATCTTCGCAAACGGAACAGCATGAAACGGCAGTTAAACTGTGTGCCATCAAATTCACAATACTCGGCATGATATGGACTGTCTTCGGGGCTTGCCAATGAGTTTGAAGGTGGATCCGAACATCGTGTCGTTTTGGTTTTGTTAGAGCACATCGCCGACGAGTTTGAAGCCACTGGAAGCAATTACCTGGAAGAGTTCGGTGTTCGTGCCAAACCTGTCTTCAGTGACTACGCCAGATATTCGGATGTCTTTCATACCTCTGCCGGCGATACGGTGGCTACCTGGTCAAGTGCTATCTCAAATATACGCGCTTTTCAACCTTCGGGCGCTGTTTCTTACTGTTTATATACTAAACGATGGTATGCTTTTACAGACACCCTTCCTGCTCACAGTTCGGACTGTATGACATCGAGCACAAAGCTGCGCGCTCGAAGTGGTCAATTGCTTTATTCGCCTTCAATTCTTTAGCCACACCCGCACTATTCCGTCCCACGATGCACCTCCAAATGTCTGTTTGTCTATGTGCAAATACAACAATATTACCTATCTTGAACCGATACTGCAATACTCTTCTTTGTTGTCACTTCCCAGACCGGGAAAGTTCCTTTCATCGCCCGCTAGCGAACCAGTGTCTCGACATATCCTCATCTAACTGAGGTACCCTCACACCTTGCTGTCCAATGGTCAAAAGCCATAGACAAAGGCTTTTGTCCTTGGAGTCCTTATACTTTTTGCAAACGGTTGTAAGTTATGTCCCATTAGCTACTCCTTCCACTCGACTCTAAGGCTGATACTTTGTTGTCGTTATTCAGCTTGTCGTCAGAGGATATCCTGATATACATAATCGAGGTGCATGCCATTTCATGTACAAAAGGAATGCACGAATGAATTTTAATGCACCTTCGCAGAGGAAAATGGACATGGACGGACAGGAATATCCTTTTTACCAGGCGTCCTATGGGGAATCATAATTAATACATTACGGCAGACAGGAACCTTGAAGAAGCCTGGGCAATTAAAAAAAAATTAACGCCTTAACGTCGACAACCACGTATACACGGGCAATTGACATATAGTATAGAATCTATGTTTTTCTTTTCTTTTGGGATGATAGTGATTATACGTACGCATCTGTATCGCCTGGAACTTATCTTTAGGGAGCGGCTTCTGCTTTCACACATAGGCTGAGTGCGCCGATACGAACCGGATTTGTGTCGACGCGCCTTTCCTGTTCACTGATCAGAACGGAGTCCCTGAAATGAAGTTCGACAGCTTCCCAGGACTCGTCACAACGTACGTTGCTTGATTTCATCGAACCCTTGCCAAGGACCTTACATAATACTAGAAAAGTCCCTTCTTTCCATGTTTGTGCTGAAAAAAATGCAGTATATTGAGTGCGTTCTGTCTGATGCGGTGACAAGTATGGTGGGAAAGGCATTATATAAAAAAAGCTGCCAAGTCTGTAAAGGTTGATTCGAATTCGCTTGACACTCAGCAACTTGACAGACATACCACAGTGAGTGCGAAAATGTTCTCGCTCTTGATGCGGATGAGGTCACCGCACAAAACGTTCATGACCGTTGGCCGAAGTTCTAGCTGCGACGCCACTCCAGCTATATAGGACTTGTCGTAATATTGATGTCCTGCACACTGGCAGTGGATACACCCGTTGAACGGGTTGTGAAATGATCTGAAATGCAACGTGGTGCAGTGTGAATACAAGCACTGAAATGATCTCAGGAGATATCGCAGATATTTACTTACTTACGATGAAACAGCGAAATATCATTTTTCTGTCGTAGCCCATCACATAAAGTATTACAACCTTAATCAGCCTTAATCTCTGCACGACCCAAACTTGGTCTTCGGGAGCGATTCGGCAACGTCCGCTATACTTGGTGTTATACAGGAATTCTTGTGAGATTTGTGTGAAGTAAACTAGTACTCTCGTCAGCAACTGCGATGGCGCCCTCGTCGTCCTCGTCGTCGTCGGGCGCATCGACTTCCGTGCAAGTCGGTGAGCTTTGCGCTGGATTTTTTATCGTACCCGTTGCTAACTTTCTGAATATAGCTCTGCGCATACGACCAACGACTACACAGGACACTGTATCCATTCCCGCTCGTTTTCAACGGACTGTCATTCATGGAACTTCTTCTACTAGTGTGACCGTAGATGCTTCTGCCGCTGCTCCTACTGCATCTGGTTCTGCTACTGCCGTCGCAACTCCATCCACTGCCGCCGGGAAAAAGCAGGTGTTCACTTTCGACCAAGTCCATCCTCCCACCGTTACCCAGCATTCACTCTTCACAAGCACTGCCCAGCCCCTCATATCACGTTTCATGGAAGGATTTAATTGTACAATTCTCGCCTACGGACAAACAAGCAGCGGAAAGACATTTACCATGACTGGTGTGGACCTTGATGCCGACCCCTCAGATCCTAATAATGGTATGGGTATCATACCGAGAGCCGTGTCTACTATATTCTCGCAGGCGAGAAAACTTAAAGAACAACGTGGCGGGACCTGGAATTACAGCATAAAAGGGTCATTTATAGAAGTGTATAACGAGGATTTGATCGACTTGCTCAGTTCCGACGAGGCAACTGGGTTGCGGCGCGAGGTACAGATTAGGGAAGGGAAAGATGGATCCATAATTTGGGGCGGCCTACGTGAAGTGACGGTGCGAAATAGCACTGAAGTCATGCAGTAAGTCTTATTCCTTAAGCAATGACTTAGCTGAGAAGACGCATTTTATAGCCTTATCCGACAGGGAACCGCGATAAGAAGAACGAATGAAACGGATATGAACGCTCAATCGTCTCGTTCGCATGCGATCTTTTCTCTAACACTGACCCAGAAGAAATACACTGGCTCAGGCGTACCACCTCGCTCATCCTCACCATTACCACCTGGCGGCCGTTCTCCTTCGCGTCTAGCTCGTCCTGGATCATTATACACAGGTGGCAGCTCTCCTAATGCAAGAGTATCGTCGCCTACCATGGGTAGGCCATCGACTCCGAGTTTCCAGGCAGCTATGGGACGAGGCGGAGGACTGCGTCCTGCAAGCTCTCTTGGTCTTCGTCCTCCCGATAATCGGCAAGATGATGATGAGGGCGGCGAGTGGACCACTATAGTGTCCAAGTTTCACTTCGTCGACCTGGCCGGTTCGGAGCGCGTATGTTATGCATGCAATTTCGGTCTTAAATTTTGATATGCTAACTTACATTACAGTTAAAACGTACCGCTGCTGCGGGGGAGCGAATCAAAGAAGGAATCTCCATCAACAGCGGTCTTCTCGCTCTCGGTAACGTCATATCGGCGCTAGGTGACCCTTCACGTGCGAAGTCACATACTAACTCTCACGTCCCCTATCGCGACTCCAAGCTCACCCGCCTCCTTCAAGACTCGCTTGGGGGCAATGCACACACTCTCATGATCGCTTGTGTCAGTCCCACGGAATGGAACATTGGTGAAACTGTCAACACTCTGAAGTATGCCAACCGCGCCCGAAATATCAAGAACCGTGCAATTGTCAACGAAAGGGAAGATGGTTGGGATGATATCGAATGGCTACAAGGAACGGTCACGCGTCTTCGCAAGGAGGTCAAACAACTCAAAGAAGGTGGCACCATCACTTCTTCTACCTCTCCAGCCGTTGGTGAGGTAACGGAGGGAAACTCCAAAAAGATCCTTACACAAATGACAGAGCTTCAGAATAATTACGAGAGTCTACGCGAGAAATACGTGGAGCGGACGGAAGACCTGACTCGCTTACGTCGCGAGGTTGGCGAGCGTCACCGCACTTCATCTGGCGGAACTGTTGGCGGTACGGCTAAATACGAGGAGATTGTTGGACCGGTCATCGAGGAATACGAGAAGACCATCAGCGCCATGGAGGCTGAGCTCGGCCTCAATCGCGCTGCGCTTCGACTGACCAATGACATGATGGAGGAAAAAGAAGAAGAGCTTGCTCAGATCACCGAGAGACATTCTGCGACTGAATTATATGTTGAGGAACTCCGTACGCGACTGGCAAAGCTTACGGAACGGGAAGCATCAACTGAGGTTCGCAATGACTTTATTAAATCAAAGCACATTTCTAATTCAAATTATTCAACACAGGCTTACGTCCGTGACCTGGAGGAGAAGATGAAGTGTTGTGACGAAACATCTATGTCATCGAGCGAGTCACTGACTGACCTGAAGCGCGAGGTCTCTCGTTATAAGGAGGCTGAATCGCACTCAGCCTCGTACATAGCTGACCTTGAAGCTCGCCTCGCTCGCTCCGATGAATCGGTGCTAACCCTGCAGCAGACGATCGAGCGGCTCGAGAATGACTGTGAGCGTCGAAGAGAGGAGGTAGAGGCTCTGACGACACGCTTGGAGAATCTCAGCCAAGACGGTGCTAGTTGGCGGACTGATCTCGAAGCAAGGGAGAGGAAGGTTAAAGAACTGGAGCAGAAGATGGAAGCCTGGGAGCGAAAGAGGAAGGAAGTCAACGAAGATCGCATCCGGCTTGGTGACGTGGTTGGTGAGGTTGAGCTGGCGAAACGTAGTCTCGAGTCCTTGAACGGCGGGAGCACCAAAGTCAATTCTCCTAGTGCTTCCGGTGCCAGCACGCCTCCTACTGTGGACCTTTCCGTGGAGAATCAATTGGTCGCCCTACGGCAAACTCACGCTGCGACACTCATAGATCTTTCGTCTGTTTCGAAGAAGTACCAGGACGCCCTTCAGGAGATTGCTGATCTTGCTGCTCAAATCCAGGAAGCTAAACTCAGTAATCCGATGATCCCGGAGACTTCGGCCGTTGATAAAGCGGACACCCCGCTATTCCGTCGTCGAAAGACGTCATCCAAGAGTCGAGACAGTCTTGCTGACCCTGTATATGATGCAGCTGGTCGACGTCTTTTTTTCAGGCAGGCAGCCTCCGTAGATTCTCTTCACGGAAGGTATGTTTCGAATGACATCTGTCTTTCATCGAGTTTGATTTTTTTTTGCAGGGCATTACTTCAGTCGTTGCCGCCATCGCTTTCGCTTTCACAGGAGCTCTCATCAGTGAGGTCTCGAGAGGCTTCGATATCAAGCCACGGAAGCAGTGGTTCCGTCTCGCATTCTCCATCGCATCGCCCGAACCTCTCCATCTCTCTTTCCAGTGTTACTGGCGCTACCACTCCCAGTGATCAGCGCTCTGCGGTGAGTATGGAGAAGGAGATTATGCGCTTGCAAGAGGTTCTTAGGGAGCGTGAAGCTGAAATTAGCACTCTTGAGTCTTCGCTGAACGAAAAGGAACAGACAGCGCCAACTCCGGTTGAACCGCATGCTCTCCAATCTATAGAGGCCGACGATTTGACACACCTTTCGCCCAAGACGATTCAGAAGTTCGACGCCGTTCGAAAGAGCATGAAGCTACATCACGATCTCATCCCTGATGTCGATAGCGATGTACCTGATAACGATGTCGATGAATCGCTTGACAGGTTAAATGAACTTATGCTGTATGTTCATAGCCTACATCCTATTCTGTTTTCTGATTCTTCATCCACTGTCCAGGTCTATGGCACAGAAGGAGTCTCAGCACAAAGAACTCGTTGACTCCCTTCATGGCCAACTTGCTGTGGTGCAACGTGCGCACGATGAGTTGACCACTCTTTCTAGGGATCAGGTAGGCAGAAAACTCTCGACTATCATGCCTATCAGATACTGATGGCATACAGGCGCTGAACATGTCGACCGAACTTGAAGGTCTTCGTGCCAAACACCACGATGATCTTTTGGAGTTGGAGGCAGTCAAGCAGCGTGAGGCGGAGCTTCTCGCATCCATCAAGATAGCTCAGGAGGGTTACGCTGCCGAGCTTGCGGGGCTAAAGTTCAAGCACGAGGATGCTCTTCGTGCGAAAGGAATCGAGATCGAGGAATTAATCTCTTGCCTGAAAGACGAGCATGAGACATCTCTTGATACTTTACGAGAACAGCTGTCAGAGGCATCTGCAGCTCTCGAGAAGGCCCTCAAGGAGCATGAGAGTGCGTTCGGCAAGCTCCAAGCTGAACATGAAGAGGTCCTCCAGCGACATTCTCAAGAGGCTAAGGAGATTCTCGAGCGCACCATCGAAGAGCATCAGCATGCTATAGCCAAATCCAAGGCCGACCATGCAGAAGTCTTGAAGTCTAAAGACGAGCAAGTAGCCACCGACCTCCACCGCACCGAAGAGGAGTACTACAATGCGCTCACTAAACTTCGCAAGGACCACGCAGATGCTTTGCAAAGGCAAGCTACCGAAGCTGCTGCGATGCTTGAGCGCTTGCGTGAGGATCACGCTAGCGAGCTTCGCATGTCTGAGAAAGCTCGCGAATGCTCCCTGTCAGAGTCGGAGTCATCTCGTGATTCGGCACTCCGTGACCTTCAGGACGAGCATGCCGCTGCCGTTGCAAGAAAGGAGGCTGCGTATGCGGAGGATGTAGAGAAACTCAAAACTGAACATGCGCGCCTCCTTTCGAACAAAGAGGAGGACTACAGAGCAAGGCGCGAGCATTTGAAATCCGAGCATGCCACCGCCATGGCTGTCCTCAGGGAGGAGTCGGAAGCTCGAGTGGAGCAGCTCACGAAGGCCCTGGCACGTCTGGAAGAAGACACAGCTGCTACAGTTGTGAAGTTGCGCGAGGAGCATATATCCGCTACTCGGGTTCTGACAGAACAGCACGCAGTGTCACTGCTACAGATCACTCGTGGCCACGATGAAGAGATTGCTCGGCTCAAGTTGTCGCATACCTCTGAGCTCGACAACGCGGTTGCAAAGGCTCAGGAAGAATACGCATCTCTCCTCACCTCCCACGCAGCAGCAATCGCGAATCTTGAATCTGAACACCAGATGTCACTCGCCGTAGTTCAAGCGTCCCTTGTCGCTACTCAAGAAAAGCACGCTTCCGACCTCCAAGAGTCTCGAACAGCAAGTGAGCGCGTGCTTGCTGAGGAACGGAAACGCCTCGCTACCACTGTTGCCGGCCTTGAGCAGGAACACTCTGACGAGCGTGATGCTCTCCGCAAGGAGCAAGATCGTCTCCATCAAGAACTAGAGTCCCACAAAGTCACGATCTTGGATGTTCAGGAACAAAATGAACGAGGAGTGCTTGCAGAGAGGCAGCGTTCACAGTCGGCAGTAACTGAACTCGAGGAGAAGCACTCCGCTGAACGCACCACGATGCGCGAAAGCTACAAATCGCTTGCTCAGGAGCTTGAGGCTCACAAAGCTGCCGCAAGCGACTTTGTGGCAGTGCGTGCACAGTACGAATTGGCCGTGTCCGAACAGACGACCGCGATGTCATCCTTGGAAACACGTTTGGTTGGTGTACAATCAGAGAAAGTAGACCTTCAGGCACAGATCACCAAACTGATGGCTGAACTGGAGAAGACACGGTCAGAACGGGCCACGTTTATCAAGGAAGCATCCAAACGCGAGTCATTGGTTGACGAGCTCGACAAACATCGCTCCCTTATCGCTGAGATGCAAGAGAACCTTCAGCGCGTTAAAGACGAGAAAGATAACTTGCAAGTGGAGAAGAATAAGCAGGAGACTGCTTTGCGCGACATGCAAATGCAGATTGCACGCACGCCGATCGCCCAGGAGACCTCGACACCACGGGCAACACCTGATCGCAATATCTCTTTTACTCGTATCAACGGTATGGCCTCCAAGCTTCCTCCTCCCACACCCCCGCCATCCATGCCACCGCCACCAGCGCCGAAAACTCAGGAATCCCAGTTCAGTTTATCTACTCAATCTTCCACTACGTCTTCGAAAGACTCTACCGACTCTTCTGCTACGTCAGTCGCCTCTGTACTTGCACCAAACGGCCCTCAAGTGGACTCCAAGGCCATCGCTGCCAAACTCGAGGACCAAGCGAAGTATATCGATGAACAGGAGGTGATGATCAAAACACTCAACAAACAGCTATCTCACTGTGAGAGTGATTTGGCTACTCACATGGATCTCGTGAGTACACTAGAGACATCCCTGAGCGACTCTGAGAAGAATCGTATGTGTTCTTTCCTGCTTACCGTAATGTTTGAACTAACCATTTATATCCGTCTCGCAGTCCGCAAAGCGCGCATGCAAGCAACGGAGCTTGCGAGGGAGCGAGACTTGCTCAATTCCCAAAATGAGGGCCTTCGTAACGAGTTACAGGAAGCGCGCCGTGAGGTTGTTACTGTTCGGAAATCGATTGTGGAAGAGAAACAATCCCTCGAATCGCGTCTTGACGAAGAACGACGTGCGAAGGAACGTGCTCGCGCGCAGCTCGACTCTCGGATGGAGGAATTACAAAAACGGAAATCGAAGTTTGCCTGTCTATAGCGTGCCTATCAAGTCTGCATCCATATTTTTTCGGCCTGTGAGCTGTTGCGACCCTGGTCGGACCTCTATGCCTATCCTTTTTGCACCATGCTTATTATACCAGTTTTCGCGAGCTGCGAGATCAGTTAGCGTTTGTCTCTTGTCTCTTGATACCCCTTGGCTGTGGAGCTAGTTTATCGCGTCTACTATGGGTATCCCTGGTATGTTTGTCCGTACTGGCTACTTCCCTGATATAATACAGTACAGTTCGGATCTTTGCTAGTTCGTATTTCGGTTATGATCCGCTTGAAAGGTGCCGTTACCGTGGCGTTCACGTCGGTCGCTGTTCGCGAGTCCCATGTACAACGTGCCCTCAGACATCCAGCATGGGAACCTGGTAAAAGAAAACTACTCCACGCTGTCTGTACGATACCAGTCCTTCCAAGATGTTTATGAATGTACAAGAAGCAATGTGTTTGAAGATGGTTTTGTTATGAATGTTGACAATGGTTTGAGGAATAATTTGAGTCTTCCCCGCGGCCGTATTCCCCGCAAAATTTGAGTGGAGAAATGTCGTAAGTGGTGTCTTGGTCGGACCGGCTTATTATGTAGCATACCAAGCCTGGGCTAAGGCGGCGACTTTAAATTCCATTTCTCAACCAAACTTTGCCTCCTCCCACCCTCCGTCTCCCACATCGTTATGTTCTTCAGCTTTTTTGCTCGTACTGTCCCCGCCGTTCAGCGGTCAACTGTCCTCACCCGCACTGTTCAATCTTGTGTGAGATTCCAGAGTACAGCGCCAACAAAACCGAAACGTGTTCCTCGTGTTCTTCCTTCATTCTCTCTTGAGGGAAAGGTGAGTTTTTCAGTTCGTCTTTTGGTTCGATTGAGCTGTCTAACTATTTTTCAGGTCTGTCTAGTCACTGGTGCTGCCAGAGGTCTAGGTAATGAATTCTGTCGAGCATTCATACAATCGTTCGTCTCTCTGAACTGCTTAATTTTACCGTGATGAAGGCCTGATTCGTTTTGGATTGTAGGGGATGCACGGAACTGGCTATTGTTGATCTGAAGGAGAGTGAGGCGCAAGCTGCTGCTGCTGAACTAGTCTCAAACGCATGCGGTGCGTAGTTAGCTGTGCGCTGACGACACTACTGAAGAGCATCAAGTTAACAGCGACATGACCCCGGAAGACTTCAACGTGATTGGCGTAGGATGCGACGTGTCATCAGAGTTATCTGTTCAGCGCGCATTTGAGCAAGTCATGGATACGTACGGGCGATTGGATTCGGTGGTTGCATCTGCAGGTAAATCCCTTTGCTTTCCGCAGCACTTATCAAGAACGTGAAATGACATGATGTGACGCGCAGGGATTGTGGAGAACTATTCTGCATTTGAGTAAGTTCCGTTCGACGTGCGTTGGAGCGCTCCTTGGAGCTGACGACCGCATCATAGTTACCCATTCGACCGAATAAAGCGCTTGTATGACATCAACGTTCATGGGGCCTTCTTTACTGCGCGAGAAGCCGCTCGGAACATGATTCCGCAAGGTGGGGGCTCCATCGTCCTTGTTGCTAGCATGAGTGCATCGGTATGTTAATTTGTGGAGACGCTCCTCTTTTCGAAATGCCTCTGACGCTGTGTTTGTGCAGATTATCAACATCCCGCAGGTGAGTTATTGATGCCGAGGTAAATTCATTAAGAGGATCTGACCCTGCATCGCCTCGGGGATAGCCGCAAACACCTTACAATGCTTCGAAAGCGGGTGCGTCCGCAATCTATCCTCCCTGGAAATCGGATGGGTCACTGACACGATAACGTTCTGATAGCGGTCCGTCACATGGCGTCAAGTTTGGGAGTTGAGTGGGCAAAGAAGGGTGTGCGAGTTAATACGCTGAGGTTCGTCTTATGTTTCCCGTGGTTAGCTGTGGGCTGATACGTGTCATGAAGTCCTGGCTATATGTTGACGAAGCTTACCAAAACGATCCTCGCCCATGACCAAGATCTGAAGGTTAGTACACGCTGGTAAACTTGTTCGATTGAAAGCTGATGGTGGTGCAGAAAACCTGGGAGAGCCTGACGCCTATGGGCAAGGTGAGCTCAGTCTAGTTGATTTAGACGCGCTATTGACTGGGAGAACAACTAGATGGGTGAACCAGAGGACTTGGCCGGTGCCATTGTCTTTTTGGCAAGTGATGCATCTAAATTCATGACTGGGGCTGAAGTTCGCGTGGATGGAGGCTACTGCGTTATTTAAGCGATTCGTTCTTATTCTTGGATTCTGTCTGCCATGCCAAATGTTGGGAGTAGCATCACATAGAGTTTTTCATTAGAGTAATTTCAGCTATTTATAATACATGGTATCCCGTTTCCGAGGATAGCTTTGTGGGTCGCGGTCAAGCTTATTGTGAAACTGAGAAGTCAGTATTCTGGATGCTTCTACGCTCAAGACCCTACGTACGAGAACGATGAAGAAAGTTAAAGAACGAGTGCGCGATAACCTAAACCGGCGGTATCGGTTATGCTCATGACATCATACGTATTGGGTATTTAGACTTTCAAATTCCTGGCTTTTTACCCTACCTCAATCATGTCTCAACCCTCGAATGGCACCAATAGGCCTGCCTCCTTGTCTAGATCCCAAGATTCCGCACCCTCGTTGTCACCCAATGTCTCTGGCAATTCCACTCCCAATTCCATACCGTCCACTTCCAATTCCATGCCATCTACCTTTGAATTCACCAAGCGGAAACGCTGGGCAGATCTTCTGATACACGAATTGTCAGAGGCGATTATTTTTGTGCTCTCCAACGAGTGCAAGGTCTTATTTTGCTCAAGGGCCGTCTCAGAATTACTGGGTTGGCGAGATACAGAACTCATCGACAAGGATCTCGTCGACTTGGTCAATGGTAAGCATCTTTGCTGTGTCACCCGCGTGGGCTCATTTGTCATTCATTTTTCAGGCGAAGATAAGCATGCCTTCCGTGCGTCGTTTGAGCATTCACTACGCTCGCGCGTGGAAATGTTGTCCTATGTTCGGTTCAAGCATCAAAACGAGTATCCCTCTCCTGCCAAAGAGGTTCTCTTCGAAGTCAAGGGTTACCCACACTACATTGATGATGAACAATACGCGCGCTGCTTTTTCGCAGTGGCAAAACCATATCCGAGTCGGAACACAGCAATGTAAGTGCATAAGCATGAATACATAAGTTAATTTTGGCGCGGTTTCTCACTCGGTTCTGTCCGATGGAACTTGCTTGCACCAACTAGGTTAAACACATTCCTCGAGCTCAAGATTGAAAATGAACGGTTGCAACAGCGCCTCGCAGACCTCAGGGTCCGAATGCCCCCACCTTCTATTGCCCATACTGGTCAACCGATGACTTCCATGTATTCTACGCCTTCCAGTTCTCGTTCGACGGGGACCCACCGCCCTGTTACCGACTTGCCCCCCACGTGTTATGCCACCCATCAAACCAGCACCTCATATGATGATTTGGTAACACAAACAAACCATCATCAACCACGAGGCTTTACTGATCCTTCCAACATGCTCACATACGGTAGCTACATTCTCACCGGTCAACAAGCGCAACAGCCAACAGAAGATAATTATGGCGATGATGCTGCCCGAAGGAAAAAGGTGTGTGTCGCTATCGAACGGGTCTATTCGGCTAAACATGTGTTCTTATCGGCGACCCAGATCCGCAAGATGCACGCCGCTGAGCAGTACGTTTGCGTTACATGCGGGCGTACGGATTCCCCAGAATGGCGCAAGGTCTGTCGCTTGTATATTTCATCCTCTGTAGTTGACTTGGGCCGATATCTTCTCAGGGCCCCCAAGGGCCAAAAACCCTTTGCAATGCCTGTGGCTTACGATGGGCAAAACAAGTACGCACCAAACAGGACGAGGAACAGCCTAGCGCCGGACCTAGCACCTGAATTCTGTTCCGTGTCGTTCGGCATGCCGCACCTGCCAGCATACCGCCTGTCACGAATTCCCAGTTGACGTTGAGGTCTAGGCTGTATGGTGGCGTGCGGCTATCTTATAATTGACTCAGATGCCTGCCGCTGAGTTGTTTTGGACCACTTTAGGGTATACGATTCCACCAATTTTCTTGCATAGAACACTTTACATACACGGACACGCACTATGTATCTTAGACACTGACATGATTGTACCACTTTTTGGATAAGGCTGTTGCGTAAGGCTGTGTTTGAACCTACTTGGCCTTGACTTGGCCCGCCGCGATGGACCGCGATCCTGTCGGCCGATAATATTGGAGGTCCGCGAATCTAGGTTACAACAAACATGGGAATTTGTTCATCTGACAATGTGACTTGCCTTCTAAGTTCTAACTAACACGGTGATGAACGTTAACAGTCAGCATGCAGGTATGTACGTGTAACGCCCATATAGATGGATCCATCCGTCAGTACCCACTGGGCCACATTTTGACTGCTGATGCTTTGAATTCCCACCCATTGTGATGTCGCCAGTGGCACGCACTAGGTCAATTTTTCCAACAGTCTCTTTCCAACGACTCATTCACTCATCCCCCTCTCAGGCAAACTCGGTGAAGACAAAGGCCCTATCCACCCCGGCTCAACATCCAGCTTGAAGACCTCCAATGACTCGTCTTTGAGATGGGCACCCAACGTTACTAACGCACGACGATCAACTATTCTGTGACAGAGAAGAGAGGTATCGGATATTAAGGTGTTGGGGTCGCATTCCGCGTGGACCATTCCTAGCGATCGGAGACACGATGCGTCCTTCCCACACTGGGCTTGGTGGGATATCTTGTATTTGTATCAATAATCACGCAATCTCCTATCTGATGTGTTTGTGTTGATAGATTTTGTTGATCAAATGTTCGAGTAACGATGATCGATGGCAATGGCTGCTAGCAGCATCTGGGGAAACGACAAGTCTGTACGAAGAAAACTCCACAACCATGGACAACCAAAGATGAAATTACTACTCAAGTTTTGATGCAGCACGTCGCGTTCAATGTTGTTGAGAAATGACTTTTTACTTTCTTCTAGGAAGTTCCTGAGTTTTGGAGGATCGATAATCTAACTACTTGAGTTTCCCCATAGTCCGGGTGGACTCCATGTCGTGCTATTGTCTGTTGGCAGAATCTGCGACCCCTTTGTATGACCTGCTTTGCCAGGGTAACAAGTTGTGGTCCACAGCATGAAAAGGAAAGGTATGCATCATTCGCTTTATTTGCTTGTTGCTTGAAGCGGTAGCTCAACGATTTAAATACCAGCACTTGTGTCTGTTCGCTATTCTTCACTACTCTCTTTCACATACCAGTCTTTGCTATCTAACTTGTGCGCTGCGAGCTACTGTTATACAATTTTGCCACTTACTAAGTCCAACCACGCGCGCTAGGGTCTACAGCCACCGAAGTATCTTCCATCCGTCAAAATGAACAACGATGCAGCTCGGTTTGGTCTACTCACCTTGAGTTCCTCCATTTTGTCTTCCACGGGTAGCACACCTTTTGTTCCGAATGGCACCTTCGCCGCGTCGAGCTCGACAAATACACTTCAAGGCCCTGCGTCCCAATACGGGACCCTTACTTTTGGTACTCCTGCTGAGCAGGAGGAGGCCTTGCGTCCTAGGAGGGATCTGCGCAAGCAGAGGGGCCGTTTGAAGGCATCGAGAGCGCTTCAACAAGAAGCGTTTCAGCGGGTGCAATCCTACCTTCAAAATCAAGAAGACCGAAAGGCGTACCCTCCAGGCGTGTATGCATTGCCGAACCTGGCTGAGCCTGGGCCGTCTAATGTCATGTACGGAATGGTGAATGTGAAGTTCGGTGCTGGATATGAACCTCTAGGTATGCAGGCTCAGGTAGTGAATGTTGATGTTCCTCCTCCTGTGAGTCCTGCCCCCTACGTCCCTCAGAGCACCATATATCCATTGTCGATGTGCGGTCACAACCCCGCTCAGCAACATTATGGTGAGTATCCGGGCCATCGGGCTATTAGTGTAGCGTCTGATTATGATCCTCCAGTGCAGGCCGCTGCTGCACCTCCCGCTTCACCCACGCAAGAGCATGCGTCCCAACTGCCTGACAGTGCACTTACCCCCTCCTACCCTCTCTGACAAGCCCCACTCAGTCTTACCAGGCACCAATGCCGCCAGTACCATCTGTAAACCCAGCTGAGGGATCTCGACGTGGGAGGCTAGCAGGAAGGTGGTGGATGATGATGACACGATACAAACAAGGCAGAAGCGCCTTTGTCTTCAAGGTATTCCGGATGGATCTCTGCCCCTGATGCAATCGCAGCCATGCTTCCCATTCCCAAATTCGACGCTCGACGTGCCTTGTGTTGATTGGGACATGAATGTAGATGCATAACCAATCTAATCATATGTCAATTTAGCGTATGGAAGATAGTATTCAACAAAACGACAGCATAATGAGCATGCGCATTGCCTAGACATTGTAGAATTATTGTGTTACGAGTGCTTGGTTAACCAAGTGACTGTTTTAGACCGTACCGCAAAGCAATATTGAAAGTCGACCCCCTTCTCATCCTATCACGTGCCCGTATCGAGCTACTCAACCCTTCTTCTCCTCTGACTCCATCTGCAGAGTAGACTGCTCGTCCTCTGCGCTTAAACCGCTGTCAATTCTATCTAAACTAGTTACGACACCATGTCTGCGCCAGAAGTATATTCAATCGCCAAAACTCCAGTGACGTGCCACGCATTCAACGCAGACCGCAGCCGTGCGTCCTACTTCGATATCTCCTTTGAATGCTAACCTTCAACACAGAGGTTGCTATAAGCTTGAACGACAACAACGTTCAGGTTTATTCAAAGCAGGGCAAGGAGTGGATTTTATCCGAGACGCTCTCTGAGGTGTGTGATGATCGGTACACATTACTAGTCCGTCAACGCATTGACTACTAATTATTTAGCACGATAAACTTATCACCTCTATCGATTGGGCCCCGAACTCTAACCGCATCGTCACCGCCTCACAAGATCGCAATGCATACGTCTGGTCTCTCTCTCCCGATCCGCTTACTGGAAAGTTGGTGTGGAAGCCTACCTTGGTACTTCTTCGTATCAACAGAGCCGCTACCTTTGTCCGTTGGAGCCCCAATGAAGACAAATTTGCAGTCGCCAGTGGTGCAAGGTACGTATTCTCTTCCTTTCGAGATGATGTCATTTCATCAAATATATACAGGGCGATTGCTATTTGTTCATTTGATCCCGAGAACAATTGGTGGGTGGCGAGGCAGCTCAAGAAACCAATCAGATCGACTGTCCTGTCTGTCGACTGGCATCCGAACAACGTCTTGCTCGCTGCAGGGAGCGCCGATATGAAGGCACGCGTGTTCTCCGCTTACATCAAAGACGTTGACAAGAGGTAATGGCAGGTTGTGGATTCCAGTCATATTGCTTACCTTTGATTTGTAGGCCCTCGCCTACCATCTGGGGCGAGAAGCTTCCTTTCAACACCATCTGCGGAGAATACAGCAGCCCTGCAGGCGGATGGGTTCATGCAGTCGGATTTTCTCCTTCAGGAGATGTCCTAGCTTTTGCCAGTAAGTCACAGCATATTCGCATTGCCAGCGGGAAGACCCATAATTTTCACAGGTCATGATAGCTCTATCAGCATCGTTTACCCTGGTGGTCCCATGGTTTACAATATTCGCATTAGTTCTTTGCCATACGTGACTTTGACCTGGACTTCCGAAGATGCTCTGGTTGCGGCTGGCCACGATTGTCAGCCTGTTGTTTTCTCCGGCTCGGAGCAGGGTTGGGCCCTTGTCGGCACTTTAGATGACACCACCGCTTCCACTGCATCCAAGGCTCCTGGTGCAAGGACTGGGACTGTTGGGAGGTTGAACAGTGCAGCATTCAACACGTTCAGGAACGCAGATACGCGTGGACATACTGGAGGAGATGCTGCTTCTGACACGGAACTGCTCACTGTGCATCAGAACACGATCACCAGCGTCAGGCCGTATGTGTATAACAGTGAGGGGGTCGTTAGTATGGTGAGCACTACTGGAGTGGATGGAAAGCTTGTCATTTGGGATGTCAATGCTGTATCGGCCCTTACTGGAAAGATGGGCGGCTTGAGGGTTTGAAGCCATGTATAAATTGTTGTACAATTAATCGCACAGTGAATGGTGTGGTATATAGTGGCGTGCACGAATCGAGTTTCTATTCTCTGGATGAGTATCATCTTCGTGGATCAGCCGTCGCGTGCTCGTATCCACCCTCAATCTCTTGGACTGGCTGCTCATTGATAACGCCCCAGACTGATGCTTTGAACTGTACCATCTAGATCAGCCTGAGATTGTAGAAGTGAAGAGGTATCAGCACACCAATGTCAACACCAAGCCCATTTTTCTCTCCAATACTCTTAAACGCGCAATAAGATTCTCATCTGGTCCCTCGGATAGCCGTCTCGTAGTGACGGTCAACTGCCACACAGATCAGGATCATGCTCATTTCACTCGAATATGCGACAGTATGAGACCCACATCTTTGACGTGTTGCGATAATTTGGCGTACTCCCATAAAACATTCGCCTCTAGCACGGTCAGACTAGCGTGCGATTCGTACGGGTTCGCATCGAATATGCCCACGGTCCCAGACATGATTGTGAAACCCACAAAAGATTGGTCGGAACTCCGTATTACCAGATGCTAGACCTTGCGAGACCCGCTCACAACTAAATCTTCAAGCTCGCGTTTGTCTCGGTGCTTGTTTGTGCGGTGCAGCGGTCAAGTTCCTTTTTGGACTCTCTGCCGGCGGGGAAACAAGATCATTGCCTCCGAATTGATACCGCGTGATACCATAAACGAGTATGTTTTCCAAACAACTCCTGTGCTGACTTGCCACCAGTGGGTAATATAATACATGACCCCGACGCACAGTTTTCCAGTTCGTTAACGTGCAAATTAATGTCTCTTTATTTTTTGATTCGCTGAGCTCGTATACTCGCTGCATGCCGAGTTACTAAGCCAGTCAAACGTTGAAGACATTGATAGGAAGCCGCCCCGCAAGCCATCGAGGAATAATTCCTTGTAACGCGGACGATGAAGGGCAGCAAGTACTGTGCTGTGAATGGTGTTTTGTAATGAAATAAAACTCAAACCTGATGACGAGACTAGTGGAGGAGAACGCAAGTTCTAGCGATGTGACCACAGTATGATCACTTCCTGCAGTTCTTCGATCTATGAAATTTGCTCAAGGTTCTAAATCTACTGAGAGCACTACTTGCTGGGGCGCAGGTATCCTGATTCATTCTATTTTGTGTGACATTGGGATGTTGTGGTACTCGTAAAAGCCGTCCACCGCTTCCCCAATTAATGTAAGGACTGACGGATGGATCGTAAAGGAGTTCGTCCTTGTCCTTGACTATTGACGTGAGATAAAACTGGGGATGCCACAGGATAAAAGCCTCTGCAAACTGCTGACCTCGAGTCAACTTGGGCCACGTATGCAGCATTTCTGCATCGCCAGTAACCGTCAAGTGGAGGCGCATCTACTATATAGCTGACTCAAACACTTACCTGTGTCACAAATGCAGGAAAAAATGCTTGTCTTGCAGGCGTTGTGGATTATCTTCTGTAGCTGAGGATGTTGTTGTACAGTGTTGAGCGGTGTCTTGAACGAGAACATGTTGCCATCAAGCACATTTTTTAAAGTCACCGCTTTCGAGTACACCTCTGCTCTCAATTAGAGCAGAAAAGAGGACCCTGGCATAATCCTTTAAGAGACTCGAATTCTGATCCGAATTTCAAATTGTCTGGATACTAGGGTGAACTGCATTGCGTATAGTTTGATCAAGCTCATCACGTTGTGTCTGTGTGACGGTAGGGGTACCACACGAAGATCCTGTGATCCTACAGATTGTCCTGGCTGCCATGCCATGGGGCCGAGCTTGTCGATTATTAGCGGGACTCAGGTGGTTTTAGGATCTGAAGGGAGGACGGAAAACCTTGATTCCAAACATGAGGCGGCCTCGTCGTTACATAATCTCCAAAACATTGATGAGTTTCAAGACACAGGCCGAGTGACTGGAGAATATGTTTTACTCCCAAAATTCCTTTTTGAACGACTAAAACATCCTCCGGCGGTGAGATTTCATACCTATTGATGCCGAGTAAACCTTGAGTTGCCGCCCGCATACCCGCTGCTATTCTTGCGGCCGTGCGGCACAAGAGATAACCCCTGAGGCCTGGATGACACTATCATCATCATGTAGTCAAGGCACAATCAATTTGCTTATAAGACCCGACACGAAAACTTACCAGTTCGACAGGAGGATAGGCCGTCGACTCGGACATAAGTCGCACTGTTAATATAAAGTCAAAAGTGTGGTTACCATAATTGCTTACAGTTCTCAAAGTCTAACTAGGAGGTAGGAGGGCGATTAGACGAATCGTGTACGGTCGTCATAAATTCGGAGCAATCATGTACTCACCCTTGTTCTAAAGAAGCAACGAAATCACAACTCTGGCCTGAGCTTCGAGGAATACTGCTCTCCTCAGAAGCGAGTAGCTTGCTGCTCAGCACGCGACGCCAATTCGTTTACCCGCCAGTTGGAAGATTTGCTAATGAGTATTAGCTTGATGTAAAACACCTGCTCTTGTTCATGCGGGCTGACGTTTTAAGCGCACGCGATCGTAGTACGCGATCCTGCGCGATCATGTCTGTTCACGAAAAACATTTTCATCCGATACTTCCGAATTTTTAATTGTTTCTCACGGTCGAAAACTGGCTCAAAGTTGCCTTATTTGGATATCCCTCCTTGGACGCAACAATATCAGCATGCTCCCCTAGTAAACAATAGTCATGGGATAGCCCGATCCCTTAAAACAGGGCATCGTCTCTTGATTTACTCCGACCTTTTCCAACATCATCACACATGCATTCATCACCCGTAACTTCATCACGTCCATTCGCACCAAGACCTTTCCCTCCTCCGTCCCTCACTGATGTCCCTCATGAATATATAGTCGACCAGCTGAGGAGTCTCGCAGTCTCACTACTGGGATAGACCACAGACCGCAGATTGTACCATAAGTATGTTTTAATGTTTTATTTATGGAACGTTCTCATCTCTTCGGCAGTCGTACCGGTTCCGCATCATCGACCACGTCTAGCACATGATTCCCCAGTCACTTCGTCAGACTCTTCACCAGAGTCCTCACCAAGGATTCAGGTGGACACTGGAAGACGGGGATCAGAACCTACTATCCATGCTGTGCCTCGAATAAAATTAAGAGTGAGTCATGCTGTTCATCAAAGACGCATAGTCCTTATTGTTTTCCGTTCGTAGTTGCATATGGACTACCTCTCTTCGCATTCGACGTTACTACGAGGTCTCTTCAGCGGTGCATCACCCAATGATCTCATTCACACTAGCACCACTCAACCCCGACATTCTTCCCTGCATGTCCCAGAAAGCCGTCTTCCTTGTCTTCTCCCTTCTCTGCCGTCACACCCCACTCTCTTTCTCCCGGTGCCTGATCCATCTTCCATACATCTCATTTTTCACTGGATGTACTTTGGGCAGACAGCACTCATGGAAGACTGTCTAAATCGGGGTGTCGTCCACTGGGAGGGGATTGCGCGCAATGTGGAGTACTTGGGACTTCCCACAGACATCAAAGTGTTCCTGGGACGGTGGTACAGGAATTGGCTTCTTCCGGCACACAGCCGCCCCGGCTGTGAACCCCGTCCGCCCACAGATGATGACGATTCTGACATTGAGCTGGAACTCGATGATGATGATGATGACGATGACGATGAGACAGATGACGATGATTTCTCAATGGTTAGCTCATACACGGAGGATGTAGATGCTATCGCAGAGTTCGAACGAGGCCGCACACGGGCAATTCGCCCTTGACGCGCTTATGCGGCAAGTTACAGATGTGTGGTGCATGACAGGCATTTGACATCTTTACGAATAGTTCACTGTATTTCATAATGGTTTGTTGCTCATGGCAATGTTCTTTGGTCTATCTTTATTCATTCTGATCTGTTTACCGCATCCCCATTATGCATGATACCCCCATTTTTTTGACTAAGTTTGAGAATTTCACTGCGTGGCGCCCCGCACCGGCGCTATCCTAAAGTATTTTGCGCCACGGCACAGCAGTTACGTTCGCATCCGCAGTGCTGATTATGACATAGTACATTTAATTGTGTCAGGATGTGTGTATGACAAAATCAAGACAAAGAGCCGCTTCTCGTAATCCAAAGCTTCCATACAATTGTGCTAATCAAATCCTACATAGCACCAGACCTCTGTAATTGTGTCAGATACCAGAAGGGAAGGCATTCAAGACAAAAAGTTAAGACATAGCTTCTCGACTCGGAGCTTCCACGCAATTGTTCTCCAAACCTTCGTGAGCATCAATCTCACGCAGGCAAGTAAAACGTGTAATAGGTGATAGGGTAAACGGAAGCGAACATCCCCACATCAGAATGGACGATCTGGCACGCCTGTGCATCCTCGGAAGACAAAAGACGAGCGGTCCCCTGAAGGATAAGAACGTGACTAACCCCACTTGAACTCCATTGATCTTGATCGGGAAAGAGAGAAGAGCGGTTTGACAGCGGAACCAAACAAAGGCGAGCCTTCCCAGAATGGGTTTCACAAAGCTGCGCAATGCACATGCTAGACTCAGATCTGTGTTTTAACTCGAGCCTTTCCATTCAGCGACAATCAGGGTTGTGTAATGCAATGCAGGTGAGTCATCATCCGGCGAATAAGTGATAACGAAAGTCGAAACACGGCAGGCATTTGAGACATCCCGGTGCTTGTTTTTTTGGGTACTAGTAGATGGTCCGACTCGGACTCTCGCTCGCGGTACACAAATGGTATAGAAACTTTGATACGATGTAATCATTTCTTCTAAGCTTAACTGCGTTTGGATGTGCGGAGGCACTCCAGAAATTAAAGGGACTTACCAGACAGTACGTTCCGAATTTCCATTAGTCAAACATAATATAGTCATTTCTATTCTAATTTCTCGAGAAAGATATACCAAGTAGCAGCCGAACAGCATTTTATTCCAACCGATGCCGTCGAACCATGAGTGTTAATGAACGGAAGTATTAACACCCAAATGATGCTCGGCTGAAGGCCAAGAAACGATTCGAGGGAGGCGTCCGCGCGGATGCCTTTGTATGCTACTTGTACCTGCCAGAGGCAATTCTCCTAAAAATTCGAGTTTTTCCCCCTGCCACAAAACGGTTGACAATGTAGAGGGTCTATTGAAAAAAAAGGTACTGGGTGATCCTTCGTGATCCTTTCGTGGTCATTTCATATGATGCGATGCCTCTCGTTCACATATGTGTTGTCATATGAACAAGACCTCAGGGGCCATACGAGGCGGGGTTCCAATAATCAGCCATCATCAGCTGGACGTGCACGTCCAAAATCTGCCACTGTCAGCTTCCCATCAAGTTTAACGAGGATTTTTTGCTGGCCTGAGTGAGGCCCCGGTGAAAAATTCCCTCCACAAAGACGAAAAAGAGGTTAGCAAAATAAAAACGGGCAGCCTCAGCACCGAGGGGGCCGCGCGTTTCGATAACATGCTGGAAACAACATGTAAACTCGAGCATGAGGCCAAGGGCCAACTAGTCTAGAAGGCATCTATGACAACATTCATCCAGGACCATCCAGACGTGTGCATTCTCTCGGCATCGTAGGGTCATTCTAGCTGAAAGACTGTTGTTAGAAATGTGACTAGGCCCAGTGAAATATACATGACCAATTGATTAGTCGTAGTACTGTAGTCGGACCTTGAGAGAATGAAGACAGTCATTCCTCATGAATCAGTTTCGTCCTGGAAAGGACTTTGAGAGAAAATAACGACCCTGTGGCGCTCCAAGTCGGAACTATGTGATATATGAATATATTGAAGACCCTATAGGGTCAGTGCTGGCCCTGGGCAATGGTCTAATGTATCGGATGGCAGTGGCAGGACGTCGCGAGTCTAGCTATAATCGCCCGGTAATCTGTGATTTCGATATGTGGCTATGGATACAACGTCAGTGAATTTGTCTGGAGCCCCAGAAAGCACGTACTGCCAATAGTAGATGTGGCAGTGCGAAGTACCAGTAAATCCTTTGAGGATTTTCTTACGAACATGTATACCTTTTGGAGTCTGAGCAGGATATATTTTTGGTTTGTGAGCTTTCTGATGGTTTGCCAGTTGAAGTGGGGGTCGGGTACCGCACGCGATAACTCATAAATTGAAATTTTATGATTCTGAAGTTTGCTAGCCACATGACAACGGAGGGGGAAGTGGTTGACCACAAGTCCAGATCTGAACAGTCAGGCCAACGCAAGGCCGTAGATCTATCATATGTAAGGACGAAATAGTTAGTTCCGCGGCTTCACCTGAGCTTCCAGTACTTACATATACAAGCGACGTTATGCCTCCAATGTATGTACTCAAAGGACGAGATAACATCATATAGATCATCGTAAAGATTAATGATGACCGTCGGTATACTCAGGAGATGTGCGACAGACAAAGAGCCATAAGCAACCGGCGTATTTTAATGTTGCATGAGCATCAGTGCTCGAAGTTATGGATGAGGGAGTGGTAGAGGGAGCAGCCTGTGGCTGTGTTTGCGAAGATGACTGGGCCTGAGGCACGCCGTTGGATTGCTGTGTGGTATTGCTCTTGGGAGGGCATGAGGTATTTTTCGGAATTGACCTTTGCTTGCCTCTCGCTGAAGCGTTTCTCTATGTGACACGAAGTGTTCGAACGTGGGAAAAGAGGAAAATAAAGCCAGGCGGAATTGAACATTGGAGAAAGAAGAGAGGAACGTGCGCGTTTGCCCTTGGCATAAGGGACGTCAACTACTGATGAGGGACGCTCATCATTTAATATCGCAGTGACATCCCAGGTGTGTGCGTTTTCCATCTGGCGGAAAGGACATGCAGGACACTGTGAGTGGATGTTGGAGAAGCGAACCGATGGCAGTGGCTGTTTTCGAGGTTCCATAATCGTGCTATGGTGTCGTATAATGTACTTGCGAGGATGCGGCCATTCGGATATATCGCAATGCCATAGACAACGCTGGTATCTCTAGCGGTGCAATCATCGCACTCCTAGAGCACACCTGCGTCGTCTACTGCGATCTGTTTCCAAGTTGTAGTACTCCATGTCCTAATCGAGTGATCATGATCGGCTGACCCGGAGACAAATTTTAGAGTTTTTCCAGTCCGACCAAGCCAAGCAAAACACCCAACAAGTTCAATCCCAGATTTTGACTGCATGATCTAGGAGTCGAGGGCCCGTCATATCCACCAGCCACAAACGTGGTTATGTCTGACGAGTAGACGACTATGAATACGCATCTATGCCCAGTCTCGATTGGACCAAGAATTGTCCCTCCGTTTTCTACCGCCGTGTCAGCTTTTATCCAACAAAGTCCAAATCATCACTTACGACGATATCTTTCACAGCAGGCCTCGACGTTTTGACACCAAAACACGACGACTTGGAGCGTCGAGGTTAATTCAGAATCGAGTACACTGTGGAAGTTCAAACTAGTACGTTCACAAGTCACCGTGACATTCTCGTGATTACTTCACAGCTTGTATGCAGTTAAAGCGCCCATCCCTCATTTTGTGACCATGACTCGTAGTCGCATCAGTCACAAATCAATTGCCATTTGCCAATGCTCGACATATGCTGATCTGTAATGGCAATCTGTATCAACAAAGTATCAAGCAACTATAAATTATTGACGAGGTAGCTATTTATGTAATGGAGTTTATTATCCACACTCAAGTATCACCACGTCACAAGTTGCATCGTCTCCCTTTAGATCTATTCTCCCTCGGCTTGATAGCTGCTCCTCAACTTTCTTACCAGTTTCCACATCAACCTGATCCAACATCTCGTTCTCCATCAACTCATCGTCTAGAGACTCCTCGTTTGTCTCATCCAAGAGTAACGACCCCTCCATCCCATCGCGTGAATCAGGGCTTCGATAGAAGCTGTCCATCGCAACCCGAGAAGAAAATGTCCACGACACCGAGGCGCGAGCAAGCAACATTTGCAGGCGTGTATATTGCACGACGAGGCGAGTGTGCAATATCATAACTTTCCGTATCGGGAGAATGTGCAGCGCTCGCTCGTTCGTCCCCCACATCTGCAGGGGGGGGGGGCTATATTTTGGCTTGGATTTCCGTTTTGTCTGGGGATAAATATTTCGTACTGATCAAGGAGCTTTGAGAAGTGCTCTTGCTGACTGGAGGCCCTCACACCGATTATCTTCAATGTGTGCGCTCGACCGCTGGTTGAACTCTACAACTTCGACCTCACCTTTGGCCTGCGATCAAGTCCGGCCGCCAGCGAGAGTAGACCGATAACGCGTGAAAGAATATGTCTACCTGTGATTGGGACCAATAAGAGAGTGAGGAACTCCAGATCGTTGGCTTTGATTCACGTGGTGGGCAGTTCAGAGCCCTCTTCGACCTGTTCAGGAGAAGAGATAATATCATCTTGGTTGGTGTGTGGAGGGGGCGTAAACTTGGTTGAAGGAACGGCATGGGGGTGTCATCAAAAGGGATAAGCCCAGCAAGGTGGGTTCTGGTATCTTGTGACTGCGTATGAAGGTAATTCATAGATGTCAGCACGTAAGACCAGTCTATTGAAATTCCGATGGAGCTCTTCATCCTCTGCGTCTGATTCTAGGCATTGAAGAACTGCACTGCAGAACAGACGTATCTGTTTATGTTGGTGGCGTCGCTAAACTGTAGAAACTGCTCGGAGGTTGCACACAAGCATCCTACATAAGTGACTAGAGATACAAGTCAGAACGATGGTAGAGAAGTGGGCAGAAACTATTGTTACGTGAGTTAGCAGATCAGAGAATGAGATATATACGGGGCCGTATACAACCCGAATAATAATGAATTTGAGATCCTTTCAACAAAGTACTATCACGACTAGTGCATCATCGAAGAAACACTATCTTTTCCTCCGGCCGTGAAGCATTCCAGGAGACTTCATGAATGACGCCCAACCCAACACGTTGCATCAAGCCCTCATTCTGACTGATCGCCATCACATGTAAGACACATTCATGGTAATACCCAAGACTCTGTTCGTCGCATACGCGGCGCGAGGCGGTACGGGAAAGAACGACGAATTCGAGAGACGGCGGCGGGGTAGGGTCCAATGGCAGGACCGCAGTGCCAACCCAAATGGGAGGGGAGGATGTGGAAAGAATATCGAAGAGACCGTGGTGGAAACATGCATTTGATTCATCGTTTTCTTCGCTACCTCGCCGTGCAATGCTAAAGTGGCTAGAAGTCGTGCGGAAAATGAGGGTGCCTGGTGCTAGCGGTCGATCCATATCTAGTATCAACTCCATTGGGTCTAAGATCCCTGATGGAGGGGAATATGCCAGCTTCTCCTCCTCTGTCATGGGATTCGAAACGATCCGGGAAATCTGGTGAACATCAAGCTGTACCGTAGCACCACTATGGTCCACAATGTACCAAGAATTAACAAACGTTTCTACTACTGACGGTTCGCCACTATCGTTGACGATACCTAGATACCGATGCTCTGACATATAGTCAACAGCGCCACGCCACGCAGCCCATGTCCAAGAGGGCAAAGGTAAACTGCTTCCATCAGGGAGCGAACGACGAGCGCGAGGTGTGTGTGGATTGTGTTGCCAGAGAAGCGCGCGATGCAAGTCTGTCAATATCATTCCACAGTAAAAGACTCTGGCGGGGTCACCGAGCCTAAAGCCTATCGCCAGAGCATTTGTCACTCCAGTGAGAGCATCGATAACATCTGATTCCACGGTGAGATTGCGTCGTGTACACTCTTTGACGGCCCCCATATAAGTTCCAAAGAAGTCCGCTTGAGGGAAGTATTCTCCGCGCGAATTCCGAAGAAAGTTATTGGAGAACTGCTGACCTTCGCTTTCAGCGGCGATGTCTTCGCAGAAGATATCACCCCGGCACTCAAAGTAGACTTGTTGCTCGGTGAAGTATATCCGTCGGCGGGAGAGTGCACTCTCTTGATAGGTCCAACAACGCGTATTCCATACGGACAGAGCAAGAGCCTCCCGAAGTCTTGGAGGTCCCACACAGAGATGAAGGCCTTGAACAACCTCAATATGCTGCTGTAGTGTTCTAGTTCGTGGACGGCATCCTGGGAGAGGGTCTCGAGCCGACGCGCCGCCAGCGGCCATTATCGTGAGATAAGAAAGACCGTAAACCAAATCCATAGATTGTATCTGAGTGGTTTTGTCCTGCGAACAATTCTGAATAATGCATATAGCATCGATCCATAGGTAACGGAGACCGAGTTGTCGAACGAATATAATAGAATCAGTTATGGTCTCTGGAAAGGCTGCCGTATTCAACCCGCCAGGAGTAGAACGCTCCGCTATATTAGCTGTCGTCGTCCGATACTCTGTGCTGACGGCTCCCCATACGTAACTGAGGGCCACATAACGACAGCCAGAAGGTGCAGGAACCAGGGCCATCGACACCACGTCCACCAATCTCACATATTCCGGCAAGTTCTTGTCCTCTCCGTGGTCTATTCTCCACACATTATGACATTCATCCCCATGGCTCTCCTGGCACAGCTTAATCCACTTCTTTACCAGATCAATATCCACAGTGTTCTTCACCCTGCGACTATGAAGATCGGTTGGTCTCCCGAACTTGAAAGCGTCTTCTTGCATGAGGTATATGGTAAGCGAACGTGCTGTCGCCCTTTGAAGCAGGATATCTCTCCCAAAAGTCCCCTAGGCCCTCCATATTGACGTGGAGGCGAAAGCAACGAAATTTGGGTCGGGGATAGAAGGGCCCCCGAAGACAACCACATGACATTGAAAACAGCCGACATTGAATTCCTGAGAGATCAACGTCAGGGAACTTGTCTAACATCCATGTTCGACGGACGTGAAAGGATATGAGGCGGCAAAAATTGCATTGGTACGATTTTTGTAAGATGGATGATAGTGAATCGAGCGGAACCTCTTCTGTCTCTGAGATGCCATCAAAGAAGATCCGGTAAAAATCCAATTTTTCACAGACGGAACATAGTAATGCGTCGCTGTCTAACGTGACAGTATGAGCTCTCTGTTCATCCTCTTCAGTCAGTCTACAGCGCTGGGTAAGCAGGGACCCAAATGAGTTCCTCACCTGAAGTTCAGTTCGTATTTGGTCTGGGTTTAGGATAAGGGCGGATTCGGAGGTCCCACGGGGTGAGGCATTTGCCTTCAGTTTGCGTGTCAGGACGACCAATAGCCAGATAACCAAAACTCCAAGAGCAACCCCTCCAATAATTCCAACAAGGGTCGAAACATATTTGGAGACCGGACTGGGAGTGTCAAGAGCACCAAAGGGTGGTACTGTAAGCCCTTCGTGGTTACCTGAGAAGTGCTTGAACGATGGATATGTGCAAAAAAACCATCATGAAAGCAGGATACCCACCTGACTGAGTTGCACTATAGAAGGTCATGCGAGTTGCGATGAGACTCCTCACGGTTGCAGCAGGGCGAAGGGACGTTGCTATATAGTACACAAGGCTGTGAAAATCATAAGCGCCAATACAAACGTGTTGCAGTCATGGTCCAACGCCAAGGCCAATAGATAGCCGACGAGTTCAAGGACATGCAGTATTTCCATTTTACTTCCTTCACATGACACGTGATAGCAGACACGCGAAAGTATAATTATGTTCCGCCTCGGACGACTAGCGTTGATATACTTGTAGAACCCCGTCACTTCTCCAACTTGCTTGTCTCAGAATCTGAAGCTCTTTCCATTATGTTAGCCTTAACGTCTGGTAGGCTTATTACAGCACGCAACTTGCGCCGCTATCTCCGACCTGTAATCACCAATCAAAGGTCGCGCCAAATCTCAACGTACAATGTTGATATAGCAGGGCTCACGGAAGAGCAAGCTGAGGTGTGTCAATGAAATCATCGCCCTCAACTACAGCTCAGCAGTATAACTCAGTTCCGCAATGCAGTAGCCGAATTTGCCGAACGGGAGCTTGCCCCGCGTGCTGCACAAATCGACAAGAGCAACAACTTCCCTTCAGTGAGTAGATTAAACAAATGGATTTGACCTTCTCGTACTCAAGCGTATTGTCAGGACGTTTGGGAAAAGCTTGGTGACATGGGTTTGCTTGGTATCACCGTTTCGTCAAAGTATGGTGGCTTGGACCTTGGATACTTCCATCACACTTTGGCAATGGAAGAACTTTCCCGTGCTTCTGGCTCTGTTGCACTGTCATATGGCGCGCATTCGAACCTTTGTGTAAACCAAATTCATCGCCATGGCACAGAGGCTCAAAAGCAGAAATACCTTCCTGACTTGATCGCTGGGAAGAAAGTAGGCAGTTTGGCTATGAGCGAGCCTGGGAGCGGGCAAGTTGACTGACTTACAGTGCATGAAGATGACAACTTACAGTGAACTAGGAGTGACGTTGTTAGCATGAGTTTGAGGGCTGATAAAATAGACGGTGGTTGGAAGCTGAATGGGAACAAGTTCTGGTAATAATTAATCGTGTCATGCGTGTATTGTTCTAATAGTCCCGCAGGATTACCAATGGACCAACAGCATCAACACTGGTCGTTTACGCCAAAACCGCTCCTGAGAGAGGCTCCAAGGGCATCACCGCGTTCATCATAGAGAACACGTTCAAAGGCTTTTCCACACATCAGAAGCTCGATAAATTCGGCATGAGAGGCAGTGATACTTGCGAGCTTGTCTTCGATAACTGCAAAGTCCCAGAAGGTTTGTTTTTCTTATGGCACGTAACGGTGGATAAATCATCAATTTTTGCTGCTCCTAAGAAAATGTCCTCGGCCAGGTTAACAAAGGCGCGGGGGTCTTAATGTCCGGGCTTGACCTTGAACGTCTTGTCCTGAGTGGCGGTCCCTTGGGGTGGGGTTATTTCACCGAACGCTTAGGACCATATGCTCAAATATTATTTCCTGAAGTTTGGCGCAAGCTGCATTCGATTATGCAGTAGAATATGTCCACGATCGCAAGCAGTTTGGACAACCTGTGGGAACATTCCAATTGATGCAGGGCAGGTTGACCAAGCTCCACGGTCGACACAACGACTGATGAAGATTTTACAGGCAAGATTGCGGATATGTATACGAGTCTTAATGCAAGCCGCGCGTATGTGTATGCTGTTGCAAAAGCTTGTGACCGCGGCCGGATCAGTCGTCGAGTAAGTAGCACTGAATCCAAACGCTGCTGGTTCCTGATTTTACAACGCTAGGACTGCGCTGGTGCCATCCTCTACTCTACCGAGAAAGCCATAGAGGTTGCGCTTGAAGGCATGCAATGCCTTGGCGGTAACGGATACATCAATGGTACGAGTTATCTATAATTTCATGATAACTGCTACTCACATCTAAACTAGATTATCCTATGGGTCGCATTTTACGTGATTCTAAGTTGTATGCAGTTGGCGCCGGGACGCAAGAGATAAGGAGGATGCTGATAGGACGGGAGTTCAATGAGCAGTTCAAATCGTCGTGATACCTCAGTGCTATTCCAGGCTGCTTTTGGACAGTAGTTCAAAGCCTCCCTAGGCCGAACAATACCGTGTATAAGTAGTCATGACAGTGCATTATGAAGATTTCTCGGATGAAGGATAGCTCTGAATCTGACGTCATGACAGCATTGTATCGCATTGAATTTGTATGTATTCCAGCTTGTAATGGGCAGGGGAGGGTTCCAGTGAGGCAGAACTTGATCAAAGGCGCTACGGCGGGTTAACTCCGACTGAATCCATGTATTCTAATGTAATGAGAAAAAGCTGAGCTCAGTCTGTGGTAGTTGCTTCGGGGATGCCTGCGGTGAAAAGCATAAGCATGCATGTGTCGATCGTACAATCAGGTACAGCAGGAAATGGTTTGAACGTCCCCTTGGCAATTTGCTTTGGTCGAGGTCAATTGCATTGGATTTCTCCATGTTCGAACGGTTACATTTCATGGGCAATACTATCTAAGTATTGATACATATTACATAGGGTATACCCCTGATTGGTATAGGTACCCGTACCTATCTCAAAATAATCATGATAAATGACGAATAAATGATGCAACACTGGTGCTATGAGACTATGAGATGCGATAAGTGAAGTGGATATAAACAAAAACGACGAAATAAAATGTTCATGTGAAGAGATATAAAGTCCATGCGCTTGATATAGGGGCCAGGGGGGCATCCATCGCTTTCTCAGCCAGGAGATGGTGGAGCGGAGAACAGGTATAAAGAAAACAATGCATCCTCAGATTGGATAGGAGACAAGGGAGCGGAAAACATATTTGTGGATGCATAATTTGCATCCTCAGATTGGATAAGAGACAATGGAGGGAAAACATATTTGTGGATGCATAATTTGCATCCTGAGGCGGGGAAGGAGACGATTTGGATGAGGACAGGCCTTCGGATGAATCATTTATATCCTCGGGCGGGGAAGGAGACGATCAGGATGAGAACGGGCCTTCGGATGAATCATTTACATCCTCAGGCGGAGAAGGAGACGATCGGGAGGAGAAGAGGCCGTCGAATGAATCATCTTCATCCTCGGACGGGGAAGGAGACGATGACGCAGCGGTCTGCCCAAACATCGAAAATGAAAAATCACCCGCAATAATCGGTAAAGCATCGCCAGACGATGGTCGTACAGATGCGAATGGGAGTGGAGTAGAAGTCTGCTCCGAGGTCGAAGAATGACCCTGGATGGCATGTAAGGAATGTGTGACAGCCGGCTGTTGCTGCACAGAAATCTGTTCAACTGGAGCCTGCAGCTCGGGGAGAGATGGAACTGTCTGTGGGAGCACAGGCAAGGATGGGACATGCTGGATCATGGGTTCAGTTCGTGCGGCCTGCGCACCGGATGGTTGTGTCATCGAACTCGGTTCAGATGCTCTGAAGGTGAATTGTTGCTGAGGCATCGCGAAGGGGGCTGCAGCTCCGAACGTGTTGTTCCAAGCGGCCTGAACAATACCCGGTGCAGCCATGGGCAAGGGCAGGGATTGATTGGTAACATAGTTCGATGCAGAGCCTGAGGAGGATGGTCCAGCTGCGAATGTGTTGTTCCAAAGCGTTTGAAAGCTTTCTTGAGCACTTTGTAGAGCCTTCGCCTTATTTCTGGTGCACTGGTCAGTGGGTCCATGTCTTTTCAACGCATCTGGGCGTTTAAAACTATAAGAATCAACATCTCAGCCCCATGGTCACATTTGAAATAAGAGGAGTACTCACGAGAAGCCACACCCTGGGCATACATTCGCCGTAAGACTTCCTTCAGAGTCTTTCTGATGCGACACCGTCGCCGTTATATGTTTATGAACGCTGTTCTCCAGCATCGGTTTGACATGTGCACATGCCTGCTTAAGACATTTCCACCTGGGTTTACCATCTTCGCCAGGTGGCGCGGGTTCCTGATAAACCGTCAGTGGGATGGCGAGAACCAGATAGATAAATTTGACTCACAAAATCAGGATCGCCCTGAGGACGATGACGCTTTTGTCTCGATTGCGTAGTGGTATCATTATCTACGGCCTTCCTTTTTGAAGGCCGCGTAGAACTCCCCTCCGCTGGGCCTACGGATGGTACTTGCGGCATTGCTTGTTGAGGCTGTTGTTGCTGGTATGGTGGCCCAGCAAAGGGAGCGGGAGGGAGCCAGTGTGCAGGCGGCGCCTGCTGCACTTCCTGATTAAGGGAAGGAACACGGAGATTCACGTCCCCGGGGGTTCGGAATACATGCTCTTGCGTAGCTGGAGGGGGAGGTGCGACATTTTGCAGCACCTGTTGCTGCTGGAGATGAGGGACTTGAACTGCTCCTGCAGGTGGGGCATGCATTCGGTGGCCCTGATAAGGTGCTGCGAAAGGTGCTACATTTTGAGCGTGAGGGGGAGGTGCAGCGTTGGGTAGCACTTGTTGCTGCTGAAGATGCGTGGCTTGAACTGCAGGAGCAGGGGGAGCATGCATTTGGGGGCCTTGATGAGGCGCTGCATAAGGTGCTGCACCTTGAGCGCGAGGTCCGGAGTAGCCACCGTAATAATTTTGTACGGGCAAATGGTGGCCGTACGCTGGCCACTGATAGGCACCCTGAGGAACTTTGGGTATGGGAGGTGGAGCAGTATTCCAGGTCTGAGCCGGCATTCCTGGAGGTCTAATACCTAACCCCGCATTCTCATTGGCAATAGCATTGAGTGCATTAAGAGACGGCCCAGTGGTAGTCTGGGCAGGTAAATGGTAGGCCTTTGGATAATGCGGGGGCTGTGGCTGTGGCTGGGCCGGTCGATTGAATACGGTTTGAGACACTTGCTGCAATGGGAGAGGTGGTTGGCCTTGAAGCTGGGGCTGCGCCCCTTCAGCCGACGCCACGAAAGTGCCATTCGAGATGAAAGGTGTATTGTACGTGGAAGATGAAGATGGGGTTGGTAGACCACGATGGGCTCCGTTGTTGTTCATATTCATGGATGGAGAATGTTTCAGTAGCAGGTAGGCCCTAGCGCGTGGTCAGACCTGGTAAGTAACAGAAGGGAGGTAAGGTAGATAAGAGTAACTTACAGTACACAAGTTAGATAGCGAAAGTTGCTATGTGAGAGAGTAGTGAAGAAGGGCGAAGAGACACAAGTGCTAGGAATTTAAATCGTTGAGCAACGCTTCAAGCAATAAGTAAGCTGAGGCCATACCTTCCTTTTTCATGCTGTGGACCATAACGCGTCGCCCCCGCAAAGCAGGCTACACAAAGGGATAGATCCACAGACTATGGATTTTTCCAACGGACAATACCACAACGCGCAGTGTAACTGAATATTTCCCCGCATGGCTGTAGGAAATTGAGTTAGTTTAGATTGTCATCCTCCGGAGCTCCAAATATTGGGAGAAGTATGCAACAACTCATTTCTCAACAACGTCGGACGCGACGCGCTGCATCGGAATTTCAGATTTACTTTCGTCTTTGGCTGTGTCTTTTCATGGAATTTTCTTCGTGCATAGGGACGCGTCATTTTCCCCAGATGCTGCTGGCAGCCATTGACATCGAACATTGTATACTCGATAAATTGATTGATAAAACCTATCAACACCAACACATCAGACAGGGGTCCCATGCTTAACGATACGAATAAGAGATATCACGTCTAACAATGTGGCACGTGACAGGGCACGTGTCTCCGATTGCCAGTCCACAACGGTTTATATTCACCTCTTCACTGTTACCAAATAGTTAATCATCATTGGGCGTTTAACAAACAGATCCACTCACTGCCACTAGATCAGATCATTCATATTACATCATATCACATCCACATTAGTTTACGATACTTGCAACTCAGAGAAGGGTTTCGCCTGTGGAACAAACAGATAATGAGCGTCATCAATCATCCACGTTGTAGCCCATGTGGATGCCCGGAAGTGCATGTGTCCCCATTCAGGAACAGTGGACACAGCGAACGTAGCAGTGGATGGACGACCTACCCAAAGCAGAGCGGACTAATGAGCACCCCACCGTAACGGTCTGGCGTACGCTCTCAGCGTCTGCAAGCGCGGGGTTAACCTCCTGCGTGTGGTAGACCAAGTCAGATCACATCAATGTGAGCAAAGATGTAGGTAAGACACATACCATCAAGTCAAGCGCGACGAGTAACCCAGTCTCATGAATCGCCTCGCAGATGTAGTGTCCTTCACGGAAAGTGAGCCCACCGCGCACCTGCAGGATTTCGGTTAGTTCTGCTCATTAACCTGGCATTTGGAATTAATTTGTTTGGGTATACAATATCTGCTCGCTGTAGGCTTAGACATTCCTGCCACAGATCAAAGCGCCCATGTTTCTAAGACACAGGACATGCGCACTACAAAGCGTCTGCACAAGCCAACATACGCTTATTTCATAGGTGGCGTGTTTTCTAAGCCCCCTTCACCCTTCAGGGTCAGGATGCATAGAGAATTATGGGCATTTCGTACACATTCCCGCACCCCCAACAAGCAGAAGTTTTTTTTTTAGCACGCACTAAGTCACGAAGCGCCCATCTCGCACGGTTGACTTTATCCCACTCCAAAACTACGTGCCAAGATACTGAAATACTCACCGGTGTCCCCGTGCTAGGCGCAACGCTCGGGTCGAGCGCATCGACATCAAAGCTCAGGTGAATAGGACGGTCTCTTTGCGGGTTGACATGGTCGAGCGCCATTTCGACCACCTTGCCAATGCCATAGCTAGGTGAAGTGCAATCAACGTGAGCGCCCTTCCCTCCACCAAGACTCAAACTTACCGATCAACCTCGTGCATGCTAAACGCCTTGATGTGGTGTTTCTTCAAGATCTCCTTCTCGCCCTTGTCCACGTCCCGCAAACCGATGTAGACGAGACGCTCAGCAGGGAGGTGAGAGACCCAGTCGAACTTCGCAAGGACTGAATCTGGGGATGGAGCAGGAGGGTTAAGCTTGAGGAGAAAAGAGAGGGGCATGCCGTGGATGTTTCCGCTGTCGGTAGAGTGGATCGTGTTGATATCTGCGTGAGCGTCTATCCAGATGACACAAGCTTGGTCGTATGCTCTGTGGGTGGAATATCACCACAGTGAAAGCAACTCATCTAAACGGAGATGCTCACCTCAGGGTGCCTGAGATAGTGCCCATGGCTAAGGAATGGTCTCCACCAAGGGTGACGGGGAGGTGTCCCATCTCTGCATGAGCCTGTACGACAGATGCAACACTCTCGCAGACCTGTGCAACGAACAAAGGGCTTCTCAACCTCGCGATGGATGCATTTAATGTGTCAACAGCGGCATCATCGGTGGCATTAACTTGAATGCCATTGGATGGAGGAGAAATATCCTCAAATTGGTGGTGCCCATCAAAAACGACTCGCCAACCAAGTTCTTCAACCTGGTTGATAAGCCCTGCCTGGACGAGATGGATAGGACCTTTATCTACGCCAAGCTTTGGCTGAGAGAAAGGGGAGTGAGTAGGTGATTTAAAAGATACTATTGAGAGAACTGACCTGACCACCACTATAGCCGATGCCGTAAAATTACCCATCACGCGAGTGCAGCCGGCATTGGAATGCTCACCTAAACGGACATCCTACGACCTGAGAAGATGAGAAGTCAGTACGGTGAAGACATTCCGATAGAACGCACGTACAGCAACTGTCTTTGGGCTCGGCAGGAATTTGTTAGAAGGCGTTGACGACATCATAAACGCTAACGGTGAGTAGAAAGTCAAAGCGTCAGTAGTGAAAGCGGGTACTAAGGTGGGTGTATGGGACTGACGAGGGAATCTTTTTCGAGGTTAATGATATCTGGGTGAAACGAGGAAGAAAATTGTATATAGTCTAGACTGATCACAAGGCCAGCCTCGCTAGCAAGATCCGACGCGCATGGCGGTATTTTCCGGGTCGGCGTTGTTCGTTGTCGGACGTGTTGATCAGTGACCAGTCAAACATAATCAACGATCAGGGTTCAATGAACGAGCAGTACTGTGATTGCTGTATAAATGCGCTACACTCTGTCATACCTCCCAGGTTTCACAATATTAATGCAGATTTTAACGCTCTTGTTATCATGATGATGGTCCACGATGCAGTTCTCGTTCAGGGTCGGAGCTGAGCTTGAATATCTGAATCATTGTTGATGATGCCTAGGCCTCACGACCGCAGGTAGGCTGCACGCAAAATTCAATCGCGATTAGACTGGTGAACATAGATTTCTCATCTTCACTCGTGTCCGAGTACAGCTCTTATCTCATTTTGCCCTGCAGCATCAAATCTCAGCGAGAATTTGGCTCCACCGGCAGTAGCCGGCAACTGGAAACGTGTTCAACGGGAGCGATCATAGTTGTAATCTGCAACACGGTCAGTGCAACCGGGGCAAAAAAATGCAAGGTGGGAGCGGTCATGATGCGCTGGCTGGATAAATAGTAGGCGAAACCAGTACTGGTCCCTTCCTGGCTGTGCATAGGCACTGGCACTGCCCGGTTCGGGCCTCTGACATTGACAGCAGCGAACAACTTGAATTCTACCTGACTTGTTGGCGAGAGGGTTATTATTGGAGTTGGCACAGGATATCAAGAAATTTATGTAAAGTCGTGATCTTTCTGTGATCCTGTTGATATTGGCATGCCAGCAGAACCCAAAATGGGTGAGGAGCAGTGTTGGAGCTGCCGCTGCAGTGGATGGTATAAATATATTGAACCTGAACTTCACTGGAGTCCTAGCTAGACAATATTTCTACTATTGGTTCCCTTATCAGTTGCCCTCTGCCCATTCTCTGTGTCTCTTTCTATCACGCCAATCAGCTGCAGCATGTCCAGATCCTCAACTAGACCCAACAGTGCCTACCCTTCACGTAGCGGCACTCCATCCTTAAGAGACGTCGTAAGTTCATTTAGTTTCATTCTTCCTTTCCCTATCTCTAACCAGTTCATCCATGCACGTTCACCTCCACCTTCCCCATCTCCCTTCTTCGAAATCTATCTCTAATCAGGTCCACGGCGTCATGAAAATCTTTCATCACGAGAAAGAATCCGAAGCTCATCAAGTACGTATATATCCCCAAGACTTTACATCATCATCACCTAATCCTTTCTTAGATATTTCGTCAACAAGTTGGACATCAGCCCAAGGCCGCCCTAGGCCTTCCTCAGACTATCAACCCTGTATGTTTTTTGCTTCCTCCACACCACGTGACTTGACGCGTCATTTAGGATGAGGAGACCGTCCCTGGTATCGAGCACCCTGGCAGTACGGGTGTTATTTACTGTTCAGATCGTGCCATAGCGAATGGCTTCAACTATGCTAATTCCCATGAATGGGCAAACTTGGGCCAGGGTGCCCCGGAGGTAGGCCCTATCCCAAATGCCCCACCCCGCCCACAGAATATTCCCTTGCCTGTGGATTCTTTGGAATATGCCCCCACAACGGGTGTTAAAGGTCAATATTTTGTGATCCGTGAACGCGATAAGCGCTAAACGCATCATACAACCAGCCCTTCGTGAAGCAGTAGCGAACCTTTACAACGATAATTATCGTAAAGGCAAAGCAAGTCAGTATACATATGAAAATGTCTGCATTGTACCCGGTGGACGTGCGGGGCTCTCTCGTGTCGCGGCTGTCATTGGGGACGTTTATTGTGTACGGGTCTTTTCTCTGGCTTCTTTGTTTGCTCACTAAACTGCGCACATATAGTCATACCAGGTTCCAGATTATACCGCCTACGATCAAGTTCTGAGTGCATTTAAGCGACTCGTACCTGTTCCCACCGCGTGCGTATTTTTATCCTCCCTTGCCTATATCAAACTGATCAAATCCTTGGATTAATTCAGATTGGATCCCAAGGTACTCCATTCCCCATAAAACGTGTACCATGACTTACTGAATGGACTCCGTTGCATAGAATAAATACCGTCTTGATATCGAACAAACCAAGGTTTGTCCCCGACAAAACTTAAACAAACACATCCTGATTGATCATGCGAACAGAAAGATATCCTCACTCAAGGCCTCGCTGTCGTCATTGCTTCGAACCCGAGGAATCCGACAGGGCAAGTAATTGCGTACGTGTTCTCCCTATCTTTCTCCACTTTTCATAGCTGATACTTTAATTAAAGTGGCAAAGAGCTCAAAGAGCTCGTTTCGCTCAGCCGGGAGAACACAACGATCATTCTTGATGAGGTATGTGCCTTCCCATTAGCCACCTTTCACCCAACGCTGACGCTTAAAATCTCGCAGTTCTACTCCTGGTACATATACTTCGACAGTGAGAAAGACATTGGAAAGAGTGTCTCTTCTGCCGAGTATGTCGAGGATGTAAATAGTGATTCTGTAGTTATCATTGACGGGTTGACCAAGGTGCGTTTTGACATACCTTCACTGTGCCTTCTTCCTTAATCTTAATCCGTGTACTACGGTAGAACTGGCGCCTCCCAGGTTGGCGTGTCTGCTGGGTCATCGGGCCCAAGAACCTCATCACCGCACTTTCGCAATCGGGTTCATTCCTTGATGGGGGTGCGAATCATCCGTGAGCGCCTTTCTGTTCCCTCATTTCCCTGACGTTCATTGAACCCTTGTGCAGCATGCAGCTTGCAGCCCTCCCACTCCTTGAGCCAGAGCGTGTCAAGTTAGAGAAGGTGGGCTAATTATCAGACATAGCAAAGAAACAAGCTGACGTGAAACGTGAAATAGACGGCCCTCCAAAGACACTTCAAAGCCAAGCGGGACCACGTACTGAAGCGCTTGCACGCACTCCATTTGGACGTAGACGTTCCTCCACAAGCGACGTTTTACATTTGGTTGAACTTGGAGAAGTTGCCCCCTCCGCTCAACAATGGTTTGGTGAGTAACTGTTATTTATGGTCCTCGCCTCCCCTGTCTTTGGACCATGGGAAACCAAGCAAGGAGGGAAAGAACGAATGTTGATTCTTTATACGTCAGACCTTCTTTGAAGAGCTCCTGAAAGAGCAAACGATCGTGATTCCGGGTATCTTCTTCGACATCAACCCGGCGCACCGTAGGAATCTGTTCAACAGCCCGTGTCATCACTACGTGCGGTTGTCGTTTGGGCCGCCTATCGCGGATTTAGACAAGGGTGAGTTCGCTGTTACTTTGATATCGCACTTGGTTCTTCTGTTCTCCCGTCTGAGGGTGTCTGTATTCTTGTTGTTTTCATCCTTCTGCATACTGTATTATCCATGGATACTGACATCAGCTTGGCACACAGGTATCGACGCCATCGGTAGGGTGGTTGCTGCTGCAAGACTGGGGGGCACGAGGAAGATGGGACACAGCTATAAGAAAAGCTTAGAGAGCAGCTCTGGAATCAACGTCTAAACCGCGATAGACTGTCCCCCCCTCCCCCTGGTGATCGTACGCCGCTGGTATTAGAATGGTTAGAGATAACTGAGAATGGAATGGCAAAAGGTTTGGACAGTATATTTAATCATGAAGCATGTCGATTTGTTTGTACCATTCTCAGTGGGCTAGTTGTGTGTGTAGCGTCAAGCAATCATTCACTGTTTAGACTTGTATAGATGTATAGGAACGTAGTCCAGAAAACGATATGTGTTATGGGCTTAGAGATGTTGGGGAATGGCAAAGTTGAGTAGAAAATTGGGGTGACGAAGGTGCTATCATGGACAACACACGGATTCTTCAGCCGTATTTGAGTGATGAGAACTAAGTTGATTTTCCACAGGCCGGCACCGTTGCGGATACTATCCGCGATCAACAGACGGCCTTGCAAAGCACTTGTACAGTGCAGTATGCACGCTGAGTAGGTCGCAGCGCAGCCGACATTCGACACGAAAATTGGTTTGATTACAGGTGTCATCTTTGATCAAGCTATCGCAATTTGCACTCCAGTAGACTTCGATCGATCTAGTGTGGTTTTCACGAGCGGGCACATCCCGATGCTCAGCATGCTATGGAACAGCCGGACTTGGAATAGGCAGGCATGAAGGCAATAAGAAAGGGAGTGATAAATCACAGTTACTAACGCTCGCATCGATGGGATACAGGGACAAGACAATTTGCTATAGCGATGCATTGATCCGTCTGAACAAGTAGTCTTGTTTTCGTACTCGCCTGCGTTGTGTTGTTTGACCTTGTGCCACTTCTCATGTAGATATAGACGTGCAGGGATGCTGGCTCAATGCTAGTCAGATCAAGAAAATAATAAAACAATACCTGAATGTATGATGAAGATGGCCAGGGTAGCATAAAGCACAAGATATCATAACCGCGGTTTCCAGTGCCCTACAAGCGTAGTCACAGTGAACGCTGACAAGTGAAGATTACATCGACGGATCGAAAGACGCGAACGCGGCCTTGAATGCCTTTACATCTGCTTTATCCTCCTCCTCGGGAAGCATACATGCCTTCCAGTCCACCCTATCAGGGATGCCTAGTATGTCGGTTAGGACTTGCCTGTGAACAATACGAAAATTCCATCAGCAATTGCAAAAATACAAGAGCATAATCCACGCAAACAACAACGGCAGAACTAAGCAACAGAAACAGAGACAAGAACAAGCAACGCGTGGGTCCAACTCCGTTCCCGCGGCAAAAAAAAATACCAAAGACAAGAGGACAAGGAAACTACCACAGCCCACTCACCTGCCAAACTGCACCCCAAACGGCGCATGTTCCTCGATTAAATGGACCAACGTCCTCCCATCAGGCAGATCCACTCTGAAATAACTCCTGCCCCTCCTGCCCTGTAGCCCTGAACTTTGACAATCTTCCAACGTGCCATTGAAATCGATTCCCTGAGACTTAAATGCCTGTTCCACCTTCCCCACGAGTGAAGTAGGCACAGGGACAGCTTGTACATGTGCATGCCCCCCCTTTGTACTCAGACGTCCGACTTCGAAGAATACGGCACTCGCGTTGTGGGCGGCATAGAGGGCACGGAGAGAAGACTTGTATCTATGGGGTAGTTGTCAGCTTCCAGAGTCAGTAGAAAAGAAAATAGAAAACCGAACACGTACTTATCAGTCTCCTCTAGAATCGGAGGCGCGATATCAGCAGGAATGGTGTTGTACGTTGGGTGGTGGGAAATAGGTACGATGAGGACGTGGCCTCCACCTGGGACAGTACTAATACTACTATTATTTCCAACGGCATTGGATTGTGTAGGAATGATTTGACCCTTTGGAAGCGTCACGTAGCATTCACTCCCGATGGAGACTATGAGATGTTTTCTACGTGAGAGGGGATTAACGGGAAACAAAGAGGTAAGGGAAGAGAGCATACGCGAGGTTGGGATTGGACAGGCAGAACCAGCATTCGTCAGCTGTAGGCCATAAGTACCACAAATCACATTTCAAACGATTATGCTCACGGCCGATCTCCTTGACTTGATCTCTCTTCCCTCTCCTCTCCCCACCACGCTGCCCTGCATTAGCAACCGGGCAATCCTCAATGTAATGCTCCTCGCTCGCACACGCACGGCACACATATCCTGGGCGTGGTTTTCGCCCACCTGTGTCGCCCACAGCATGGCGCGTAGGGCAGTCACGGACAAGATGCCCAGGCGTATTACATATACGGCACACGTATCCTTCAGGAGGTTTCTGGCGTTCAGGGCAAGAGGTGATAAAGTGCTGTTTGCAGGAGGTTAGCGCGGGTTGTGGTGAGAGAGGAGAAAGGAACCTCGGTAGATTCACACCTCCGACATTTGTACCCTGGCGGCGGCTTGCCTTCCTCACCTTGCGGTGCGTCTACTTTGATTAGATGAAGTGCGCAGTGCGCAGAGTGAGGCTGAGTACTCACTTGTTCGTGGACGCTTGCCGGGCTGGGGGACGTTTCCCCATATGAAATTCTCTCCTGATTCGAAAGTTTCAAGTGTCCGTTTTGAGGGCCGGGGAGCTAATTCAGTGAAAGGGTTTTTGGTGGCGTTTGGGGGGCGGGCAGGAGCGGGGTTTGACGGGGAAGGTGGGATGATTGAAAATGCGTAAAACCACTGTTTACGAACACAGTTGAATTTATTTCAATGGGTTGATGTCATGACGGAAGTTCCAACGTACCCTGGGCTTCTTACCACCCGTAGCTTCAGCACCAAATGCGCCAAGACTTACGAACCTCGAAACCCTTCCTGCCTCATCATCCCACACGAAGGGCTCCCGCTCCCAAAACTGTGGTGGCCGGCCACCCAGCGCAGCAAAATGATATCTGGGTTTGACCTTCCTAATTACCTCATCTAGTGGTATGGCGCCCCCAGATGAGAACTCTGGAGAAGGTGAAGGTGCTGAGGAGTGCTGTGTGATGCATGCAGGCCAGTCGTTTGTGATGAGGACGTCGACAAGCTGTGAGGAAGAAGAAGTGTTAAGGATGGAGGTAAGGGAAGTGTAGGTTTGGTTCTTGAACTGGGATTTTGAGGATGATTTAACGAGAGTGTTGGAGAGGAGGCGTTCGACGGTGTGGGTGGAGAAGAAGGGGGATGCGAACCCCTAGAATGTGATGCTTAGCGTTTACCATGAAAAAATTCGCACAAGCACGTACAGGGGGGGCTTCAGCGGTGCTATAGATGCCTGGGTTGTAGATGCCACCTAGACAAGCTATCCGAAGACCGTGAGCGGTCGTCATAATCCCTGATTTATCTAGCAACTCGGTCAATCTCATACCACAAAAAGTGTGATGTAAGACAAAACTCACTCAGTAAAAATACGTCCTTGCATAGCTCCCCGCTAGTCTTGGCGTATTTCTTTATCACAGAATCAGGTAGGGGGTTATCTCCTTGCATGATGTAACATTTCAAAGGGACTGAGAACGGAAGAGTTCAGTTGAAGTATAGCACTCATGAGATGTGATCTTGCCTTCAATATCACCGTTCAAAAGTTGCTCAGTTTCATCTGTTCCATCCCTCAATGTCCCTGGCTCTTTCAAGGGACCGAAGAAGTCGCCGATGCAGAGTACACAGTCAAATTTACCATGCTTCGCGTCGATGGCTTTAATTTTCACAAAAAGGTCGCGTATGGACCCTACGGCGGAACCTACCGTGAGTCTGTAGAAGCGAGCTCTGTCATTGGTTTTATAGGTCGTTCATGGTGGCTAAAAGCCTACATTTTTACGGGTGAAGCACTTGACGCTGTTGGTGCAGTGGAGGACTCCATGAAACTCTCCGTAGCACGTGATCGTCCTTGCACTGGAAAAAAGGGAATTACCACGTGGGCCAAACTTTACTTCCGCGACTCAATGCCCCTATGTCGTGCCAGTCTTTCACAGCGACAGAGCTCTGCCCGGTTCATGCTGAAACAAAAGTCCAAATCGCCGCCTCACTTACTCGTTGAACGCTGTTTACATTTCAAACTTATCATCGCCGCACGCGCGCGGTGCGCTCCTTGTATTCTTTCCCATCCAGTGCCCGAGGCTGTGATGATCCTCCTCCAAATTAAATTACTGTACCTGTTTCGGAGGTGTTGTTGGTTTCTTCTATAATCTAGCACAGCGCAAATGGAAACAGCCAGGAACAAAGTCGTTGCGGACCACCAATAGGTCCTCTGCTCGGTTGCGTGGCAGCCGCTACGCGCGGTTTGGCATAGCGCAAGGTCCGCGATCAACCTTTATTTTTGCCCGACCGTCTGTCATCTCGAGGAAGGCAGAGATCAGGTGAAACCATATGTCAGGAATTAGGGCCACCATCAGGGACCGTTTACTAATGGCAAGACAAGCCAAGACGCCGTTCCTGTGAACATGACTTAGGGATACTACTACCACGATGGGGACGCACGTCCCTGTGATTTTGATAGGCACGGGAATGTTCAGTTGTCTCGTGATCTTAGAGTCCAAAATTCCTTCAAAGTGGCAAGCGCGACACCTTGTTTTCTGGTTGACCCCTTGAATTCCTCGGAGAGACAAATCCGAGTCGGTGTCGCCACTTGCGGTGATTAACAACCATCTGTCGCAAGGTACTTAGCATAAGTCTCAGGTGTTGCTCACCGTCTACCCCCGCCTGTTACTCTCTCTTCGACTCCGAGCCATCGACCATTGCTAAAGGACAACCTTGAGGCAGCTCAACCGCCACAAGGGCCCATCTATTAAAGGATTCTGGGACTCGATGAGCTTACAGTTGCGAGGCACTTCCGTTGACAGCATGTAAGACCGGCCGCAATGCAAGTTCTGCCACTCAGGTTCTTCACTACATTCACATTCACTGACTGATGAAAGGGATTAAGTGATGTGTGGTCTAGACCTGTGCCCCGCGAGGTTTGTACGGCTTAAATCTGGAACTACATAGGCACAAACCAGAAGAAGGTCCAAGCAACTCGGTTGCATGTGCCGTTTACGTTTTGAGAACAAGGACCCTGGGTAAACGCCGGCAAAACAATACCAACAGAACTTGTTGAACGAGCGCTTGCAAGAAGTAACGTTGCCTATTCTATTCGCTTGGGCATTTGTTCCATACGGATGCAAATCTCACCTTACATCACAGATGCCCGCACACGTCTATATATTTTCTTGTTGTACCTTTGCCAACCGGTCGTTCCTTACCACCTCGCGTACTCGGTATACTTACTGAGCGTGTCTTTCACACCCGCGGTCTGTCGTCTCGCAGGAACGATAGTCAACCTGGATTCCGTATTTAAAGCGTCAGTTCATCAAAGTTGACTTCCCTCACCAGCAGTAGTGTCGGGGGATCTCTACGTCTGGGCCAATTTCCTTCGTTCGTTTTGTCCCTAGACTAGAAGCATGGTCTTGTTTTCAATCATCTGCATCTTTTCCTCACTGCTGCTCCCGTCACTATCGCATGCATCCCCTGTTTTGCGCGGGTTCTCGAGCTCGGGACTATCACTTCCGTCGCTAGACTCCAAAAGTTGGTTTTGTCATCTCGTCCACATGACACTGGCTCAAAAACTTTGCCTGCGAGAAGAGTCAACCGCAATATCTGTGAATACCCCCCTTGGCGTCGCGCAGGGTGTAGTCGATGTCTCTGGTGTTAACAGGTTTGCTGCGAAGTATGCTTCCGCAGGACGCTGGTCCCCTTCCGCTGTGGTGACTGCATGGGCACTCCCGTACGTTAATCACGTCACACCTAATTTACTCCCGATCACATATACACTGCACTGACAGAAATGGTTCTACGAATGTCTCAGCGTTGCCGCTTATGTGCCCGCAGCCATTTGTGGATAACTCCACGTTCACCGAGGATTGCCTATCGATGATTCTCTATGTTCCCACTACCCTACACGCCGGCAGCAGTGTACCAACTTTGATGTGGTATGTATAACGATCATTCTTTGGTGATGGCGACCGTCATATATATTGGCAGGATTCACGGAGGTTCTTTTATGGTCGGATCCGCCACGAATCCTGGTCTAGATGGATCCGCACTGGCACTTGCCACTGATTCGATCGTTGCGGTCATTCAGTACCGCCTGGGAGCTGTAAGTGCTTTCACTGTAAGTAATCCATATCAGCTCATATGGTTCATTTAAGCTTGGCTTCGTTGCTCCCAACAATCAGACCAACCTTGGTCTGGAAGATGCTGTAAATGCCCTCAAATTTTTGACGACTGTGCTTCCTAGCTTCGGCGGCGACCCGAGCAAGATCACTGTAGCCGGTCAAAGCAGTGGTGCGAATTTGATTCGCGCCCTACTTGCTGTGCCTTCTGCACAGTCACTATTTCAATCTGCGATTTTGCAGTCTGACCCTATGGTAAGTGGTGTATATGTCACTGGTAGGAATGCGAGCCTCATTGCCATGTCAGGACTATGGCTTCCTGTCATTATCTGATCAGGTCCAACTTCAACAATATTTCGTGTCAAATCTTGGCTGTACAGCAACCGATTCAACATGTCTAAATGCTTTAACTGCAGATAACATCGTCAATGGCGCCGGTCTTTGGCAATTCAACAGCTCTGTTTACGTTGTCCCAGCCGCAACTCAATCGGAGCCAATGCGTGTTGTGAACGACGGCACCTTTATCACCTCGACCTTAGACTCAACTTCGCCATTCCCCCGGGTTTCCAAGCCCGTTTTGCTCTCTAATGTTCTTGACGAGGGAGGCTATACGATTTACGGCTCATTTCCCGACCCCATTCCTGAAGCTGAGTACGTTGCTATTGTCAACGCCTCGTTCGGCGAGACACGGTATGAGACCCTCATGGGCTCGCAAAGCTATGCCGTCGGGACTACTCAAAATGATGACTATCGTCCTCAGCTCCAAGTGCTCGCCACAGATTCGGTTTGGCGATGTGCCGCATGGACTTTCGCGCGAAACTGGGTTTCTAATGGTGGCACTGCATACGTAGGATTGTACTCCGTCGGCGCTAGCTACCCCGGCAACTCCGCTGTCTCTTTCTGCACCGAGTCAGGCGTTGTTTGTCATCAAGATGATATCGAGATAGTGGTAAGCAAATACTTGCTATGTTCCATTCTTCACAACTCATGTTTTGTTCTAGTTTGGCACTGCTCTTAACCCCGACTCGGCTCAGTCAGCGCTGATTACTGAGATACAAGCCCGTTACAAGTCATTCCTGTATAACGGGAATCCAAACCCCGATGATTCATCATATGCCGAATGGCAGGCTGCTGGCACGTCAGACGTCAATGCCATCATGCTCGGCAGCACTGGCGACGCTCCTATTGGTGATTGCACCCCATCTTTCTGGGGTCAAAGTGTCGCGTACGATTATCAAGTATTCGATATCTAGAACACCCTTATGAAAGTTCATGATTTGATGTCGTCTCCCGGATACTGGATTCATCTCATTATTTTCATCTCCACGCTTAATGCTCTTCATGGGTCTCCAGGTGCATAATGAATTTCGGGTTCTGTTATGTTTATTCTTCTTTATTGCCCAAATTGCTCTATATTTGCTTCACATATCATACTCTGTAGCCCTTACTCTGCTGTTGTTCTCTCCGCTAAACGCCACTGTAGCCCAAATTGCTTTCTTCTCTGAATACACCAATCGCGTTGTTCTCGGTATCAGGAAATATGAATAATTGTATTGGAACTGACTGACTCCGAGTAGATGGTTGTGAGGGTATGTCGATATGAAGTTCTTAGAGTTTGGGTGTATGAACTTCGACCGGGCATTGAGTGGACAAGTCGAAGTTGCGCTGCAATGTCATCTTAGAAAATGACTATATGAACAATTAGACCAACGCAAGCCCATCAGAAACACGAGGAATACGATGCCGTACCGCGCCTTTCCGTTCTACCACCATGCGGTGCAGCCGACCCTTGGGACCACCTCTCAATTCATCGCCTTCGTAGATGAAAGCTTCATCTACTCCATCGTTAATACGGAACCACTTTGGATTGATCACCATCCGCCCGAATGCAGCTCTAGATAACATCTGAACTGCATTTATCTGGCTCTCTGTGCTGGACGATCCAGTAAGGATGGGGCGAAGCGTTTCCAGAATGTAGTACTGCGGTGGGAAAAAGCCGATTTTCCCAGTTCTGAACTCTTCTATAGCCGATTCTGGACGCAAAAATCGCGTTCGGATGACTTCTTGTCCCCCATCAGGAGTCGGAAGGTGTTCTTCTCTACCGGAATACAGCCCACCCGACGCAGAATCCTTGAGGAACGCGACAAAGAACTCCGTGCGGAATCGTCTGCTTAGATGTCAGATATGGTTAAAGGACAAGGGACAAGGATCCTGTTTACCTAGCTGATGACGGTGGTGTCACCCATGTAGTAAACGGCATCAGAGCGCCTACGTCGGCTCTTAGGTTGTTGTTTGTAAGAAACGTCGAGAATGTCGTTTGTCCTCCATGGACGGCTTTTCTAGCCTGAGTGAAGTCGATATCGAGTAATGTGCTTGGAGTATCCGACAAAGCCAGCAGCAATCCCGCCTCTTCAAAGGTTTCTCTGATAGCAGTCCATTCTAGGGACGTATCCTGCTTAGCTTCAAAATTTCCACCAGGAAAAACCTCCAATCCAGATGCCTTTGAACAACAACTATGAAAGAGTGATTCTGCTTACGTGTTGGCCAGCGAATGACCTGGCCTGTGGGTTGCGCTGAACAAGTAGTATTTCGTTTCGACTGTTGACCAGAATGAGGCTTGCTGAAAGACGAGGCTCTGTAGGCTTTGGACTTTCACTGTCCGCCATCTTGATTGGGGGGTCGGAGGAGAGACTCGGAACAGTGACTGAGAAACCTCTGCGCGAGAGCGATATGCCACCAGTGTATGTTCTGCTATGTACCCACACGTCAATAATCAATGTGAGTCACAACAAACCACTCACTCCAGCAGTTGATGTAGATGACTGGGTGTTCTGTACTTGGTCAGAAGTAGAGTGCAAGTCCTTAACATGGCTTCATCGAATGTCTTATCACATTGATATGTAGTCTAAATTGGTTCCGGTACCTGGTGCAGTGCTCAAGTTGGATCCGGATGACCAGGACAAATACTTCCGTATTTTAAGACTGCCTCAACCTACCAGACTTCGTCCTTGGGCTGGCCTACCACCTAGTACGAGCTTCCGCAGGCCACGCGATATTTAACTCAAAAATCGCGTTTTATCAACTTAGGCAGTGCAAGTATGGCCACCGTGCTAGAGGTACGCTTGGCCTAAGCTACTAGTGTTGTTAGTGGCACTTACTCGGATGTACAACTTGAAGGATGAAATAATTCCTGAAACAAAGATCCCACTTACCTTCAAATGGTCAGGACGCGAATATAAGGTAGATCTCCTTGGATCAGATAGGTAAGCTGCGGAACCGAATTGCTGCCAACCTAGGGTGGTCATCCACAGCATTGACTCCGGTTGTCCAGAGTGTACGACCTCAAGACTTCGCTGATGAGCTTGACAAAGGTTCCGCCAGAGAGGCAGAAAATTCTAGGTCTAGTGAAAGGAAAACTACCCCCAGATCAAGAGAAAATGTGAGCGTTCGCGATTTCCTGCAAGTTTTTTTCTCTGAACCACATATGATCGTAGTGCAGATCTACGAATCACAGGGAAATCATTCACACTTGTAGGAACCCCTGAAGGCGACGAGATCAAAGACCCTTCAAGTGAGCCCGCGATCTTTCAAACCTTCGGTGCCTGTACTAACATATGGTCAGAGTTGGAATTCCTTCCTGATGTTGTCAATGACCTTGATGTAGACTTCACTGACAACCCTGCTGCCGCTGCGGTATATAAAAATGACCAGCGAAACATTCGCAAAGTCAAAGAGGCAACCGAGAAACTTCATATTAACATCATTCATCCTCTGCGAGATGGAAAGCGTTTACTCGTGCTGGACATTGATTACAGTAAGCCAATCTTCTTGAGTGTTTCCACTTCCTGAAAGTAAATCTCATGCAGCTATTTTGGATACCAAACCACTAACGTCTGGCTCATTGCCACCTGCGGAATGTGCGAGGCCTGGCCTCCATGAATTTCTAGAGGCCATATACCCTTACTACGACATCTGTATCTGGTAAGATTCCTTCACCTCATGAGTGTAACATCTCATAGCCAATCATCAGGTCTCAAACTAGCTGGATATGGCTTGAGGCGAAGCTCGTAGAACTTGGCATGGTTGGATCTACTAGGAATTATCAGGTTTTATTTGTGCTTTCATGATGGCAAGTTACGGCTGACATCAACTCCAGATTTCATTTGGTACGACTGTAACCATCCAACTTTAACTCTCACTTAGCTGATTAAGACGTGCAGTCCTCGACAAAACTTGCATGTTCACTGTCTTTACAGAACGAAATGGTCAACCATATGCACACCATGTCAAGGCACTGCAAATTATCTGGAATCACTTTTCCCAGTTGTCAGTATATTCTGATATGGACACTCGAACATGCTTGACTTCCCTTTTTAGTTCAGCGAAGAACACTATTCACGTGGATGACCTGGTGAGAGGAAGGTGTGACCTATCTCTGTCGTCTCTGATTCCGTCGTAGAGCCGGAATTTTGCATTGAATCCCAACGAAGGACTAAAAATCCATGCCTTCAAGAATGCTCACACAGAGCAGGCTCAAGCTGACCGGGAGCTTCATAAATTAGCCCGGTATATGGTACATATTGCCGCTATAGAAGATTTCCGGACGTTGCGTCATAAGGCATGTGTCTTGTGTTTGTTGCTCGACTGTAAATTGCTTACTAGTCAACATTTTCAAAGACCTGGAAGCATGAGCTAAGGCGACTCACGCAATCATAACGAAGACGTACTCTATCTTACGGTGCTCATTCATACCAAGGCACCTCGATACACGAGTTAGGCCTACATAGTAGGGACAAGCTATATTGTATTGTAACTGTTGTTGTACATGATTTCTGTAATCGTAGCTATTTTGTAACAAAACCGTGCTATTTATGTGCAACTTTTTCGTAGTGCTAGTATTAACGTAATAACAAATTCTTCACCAGCCTCGGAGGTCGTTCCTATTCATTTCAGTGAACTAGTATCCTTCTGCACTGCAGTTCAGGAAATCATTTGCGGCGGCTTAGTACGTTACTATGCCCCTACCATGCGCGTCGCGTCGTTCATGTGAACTTATCCTAGGTTCAGCTTTACTCAGTACATGCTTGGAGTTGATCTACGATGGGATCGACTCCGCTGGGCTTATGAATTCGACGTCGCGATGCGAACTAAGAGCGCATCTGACTTGAGCGGCCTCAGCCGAGAGGAAAAGAAGAAAGCCCAGTGCTCCTTTGAACCAGGCGAAATCGCTCACGTCGATGGTGGCGGTGGAATCACGGCTGCCTTCTACGAATTTTTGGATCGTCACAAATTTCCACTGACGTCCATGGAACGGCGATATATGCGCGTTCTTATTAATAGCGCCCCCGATATTAGCAAATATTGCCTTGTCCTCCAACGTCTCAGTGCGGACACGTTCATTGTGTGCTACATCGCGTCTTTCGGCGGTGTTGTATACGGCACCGGTCTGTCTCCGGTAACTCGGTTTTTTTCTATGGCTATGGGCGATACACCTCCGTGGCCTCTCAATTCAAGGCCTCTGCACGTGATCCCAAGGTGGATTGGATCTGGCTTCATATTCGGTGTTCCTGTGGTCAGGAAAAATCTATCGAAGACAACTCATTCCCGTGCTTCTCTTGCCCACGGCGAGCTGCACAGGGTAAGATCTTTTGTTGCAGAAAGGCTCAAGGCATGTTCAGTCACCTGTTCAGTTTGACGGTGTGGAATGATGTATTTTCACAGCTCTTCCACCAAGTCCATAAAGTATTGCGCGCAAAAGACCGTGATTGGCATACAGTCCGCAAGAAAACTGGTCTCAAAATTGATAGCTATGTGGATCCCGTAACGCTGGACGTGGATCATCCAAGCGGGGTAGGCTCCAACCCTGCGATACTCAGTGAGGTGCCCGTCCCTGGCGACTTTACGGAATGTTCAAACTTCAAAAGCATGCTTCGGATGAAACGTGACATTAAAGGCAAGGTGAAATTAAACTCAGTCAGTATGAAGGATTGTGACACGAGTCTATTCTTAGGACCTTTTCTCCGCAAACGTCGTTTTCTGGAAGTTCCTCCAAGTAATCACTTAGCCTGGTTGCTACAATGGCAACGTCAAGATATTATGTCTTCACGATTCTGCCTCAAACGTCTCACACCTAGACTCAATTCATCTTATCCTACGCTCCGACACCTTCCACTCCCCTTTCGGTACGTGAGACCTTGAGGACTGTAGGTTAATTCGCACTGCAACGAACAGATCCCTGGGGGAGTCTACTCAGTCCAACTTAGTCGAGTTCACTTAATGTCAGGACTTTCCTGATTCTACATACGTAGCAGATATTAAAGGGATATGGTAGTCCTAGAAGCCTCAAGGTTGTTGTCCAGTCCCGCATTCGACTACACTGGGTACAGTATCACTCAGGATGTACGGGAACATACAGCGTCTGAGTATTGCATGATTATGATTACATTGTGGAGGTTGCGACAAAAACATCTACTGACATCAACATACTCCTGAGGTTGTAACACTATTCACGACAAGATCGAACGTCATCACTGAGGATGGCGGTACTAAATACATCTCTAAGCATGAATCCGTATAAACAGTTTTGTCACATACCAGGTTTCGCAGCAACAAGAGCAGGAAGAGAAGCATTCGAGGGTCGTAATATACCACTGACGGCGTCGAACTGCCAGTGGTTATTGTTCGCAACTTTAGACAAGGACGGCAGTTCAGCAAGAATAGTATGAAGTTAGCCATCGAGCTTACTTGCAAGCACCTCCTTTCGTCCCAGCCCAAGTAATTTCTGAGCTTCCGTAATATGGAGGCACGAGAATGCTCGCGAAACAAGGTTAAAGGTGTTCTTGCGGAACTCATCTGACGACAAAGTCGATACAATGAAACTCTGATTAAATCTGCACATACCAAGGAAGTCGTTAACTAGCAGACCAACGGTTTTTCCCAGCCTTGGATCAGGGAAGTCACTTTGCTGCGACATCTGGAACAGCTCTTGGGCCCGAGCGTAAGTATTTTCATATTTTCGTTCCAAAGCGGATGCTAAGAGTGCTGCGAGTGCATGCGACAGGGGATGCGAGGACACATTTTCAGGTAACCGTGCAAGGGCATGTTGAGCAGGTGTTCTGGAACAAGCGTCACAAAGGAGTACGATCAGGGGAGGGTCTTACATACAAATCATCCAGCACCATATAAGCTAGGACCAAGGGGGCAATTAAAAGCAGTCTTGAGTAACTTTTGTCATTTGAACCCTGTTACAGGATATTATCGAGATGCTGTGATGTGTATGAGGGGTATCTCAAGAAGTGCTCACGTTCAAGTCGTGATGTTCAGCGATATTAGTGATGCCAATGAAGTTCCTTTGCTCAGCCAGATCAGATAGCTGTGGAAAAACTTGATGGTATATATCTTGGACAGCGGGGAGTTGTGAGGGGGGTTCCACGCTGCCCGAGCTATTACTAGATGATGTGGTGGGATCCATGGATTCCGCCGAGGAAGCAATAATGGAATCTCGAGCTTCATCGCGAAGCTCTGTTGCGCTCATGGGAGGTGGTGTGGGTGGTGCTTGAGCCATATATCGAATACTAAGCTTTAACTTCGAGATTGATGTTAGCGCTCATTGCTGATGCCGAACTGAAGGTGTCTGATGTGCTGCTTACTAAGCAATCTGTAGGCTGTGAAACGCATTCGCAACCACAAGCTACATATTCTCCCGTAGGCAATAGTGCTACAAACATGGATGTGCTCGACGAAGAGGTCGAATCGATCTTATATATTGCAAGAGAAATATCAGGTAGGTCCAAGCTGTGCGAACCTCACCAGCAAGCATTTCATCAGCATACTTAGTCTACAAGATTCCCCATCTGAAGGCCAATGAGGGACATCGCGCTAACGACTGGGGGGACCTCGCGCAACCGTTATGGAAAGGCAGACTGCGCATCGTCGAGAAGTCGAGTGGTGCAGCACTGATGTTTGAAGATGCTCAGACAGGTAAGCATTGTCAGCTTCTCACCGCGTACAAGTGGGTGATTGACGCACTACAGGGGAATGTACGTTTCAACATGAACAATTAACGTTGTAGCATCCTGATGTAGAGTTAGTATTTGCCCGCGCACCTTATGACGCTCTTAAACCATGCGTGGAATCCGTCCTTGATTCATCCCGATATTTTGTAATCAGAGTGGAGGATAATGGCAAGAAGGCTTTTATTGGGATGGGATTCGCTGAACGAACAGATAGCTTTGATTTCAGTGAGCGCTCTCCTTCCAGTCTGCTTGCTATCTTAACATATGCTCTCAGACGTTGCATTGCAAGACTACACTAAGTGCGTCTAACAAACGCTGAAATTTCTCTCACTCACTTACAGTACGCCTATGCTTAGGCGTTTGAAAGCTGCTTTGAGCCCTCCTAGCCCTGATGAGGAAGCCCCTTCTCATATTCCGGTTGGTCCAAAGAAGGACTACTCTTTGAAGGAAGGCCAGACGTTTTCCATATCCATTCCGGGAAAAGCTAGTAAATCATTAACACCCGGGACGAGTTTGCTAGGTTCCTCCACCCAAAGCACTGGTAACTCAGGGGGAGGGGTACCGCTATTACCACCTCCACCTTCATCAGGACGGAAGAAATGATCATGTTAAACACCGAAGTATTTTGGCATTTTTTGCATCTACTGTTTCGCATGAAGACTGAATTCAAAAAAAATACCAAAACCATACACGCTCGAAATCAATGTTCAAATTTGGGCAGAAGTCTCTGGACTTCGTTAGCGCTGTACTCATCTGCGACATGCGTACCTGTGAACACATAATGACACGTGGGTTTCGGAGGTTGATCTGTATTCTTTACTTACCTTTTACTCACTTTCGGGCCTCGTCGGTAATGGACCCATGCCACACGGTCAAAGGTTCCGGTCATGAACTCGAGCAATACCCAAGCTGAATTTCAAATAGTAATACTCAGAAGGATATATCAGACCGGAGACGACCATCTTGCAGGGCACCAATTACGTGGTTTCTTAAAGATAGTCTATTCATGTGGAAGCTCATCCGCATCTCATCCAAGTGAAAGTGTTGCCTCTAGTAGGTTTGTTGTCATTCCCATCGGGAGCATCCTGAATGCCACTGGCAGGGCCAGCTACGGTGGAGATGATCCATGCTAGCCAGTTGATAGGCAATGCAAACGATCACCCGGTGTGAAATGGCCATCTTCCACGGATGCGCATTTCAAAGATAAGAATGGAGCCATGAGATGGAAAATACACAGATCGCTTGTAAAGACGTGGGATTGTGGTATGGATTTCGATAGAACTTGAAGGGATGACCGGTACGAAGTACTAGGCTGCGAGAACAGGTGGCCAAGCAGAATATGAGCGGCGGCCACTGTGCAGTCACCGTCGAGAAGTGCACATCTGACCGTGTCTAGCCGTGTCACCACGAATATTACGTCGTTCTTCAGGTCGCTAGTCGATCTGAACGCATGTCTCGGATATTGTATAGATAGAACATGAAGGTAGCCTAACTATTAGTCGCCTGGTAATGGGCCGAATCTGCAGGCAAACATCATTCCGCAATGATGGTTCCATTTGATGGTCTTGTAAGCTTCGGTACATATAAGCGACTTGGTGGCTTGTTGCCAAGTTGTGGGTGCTGTTAAAAACTTTAACTCACCGAGATCGGGCTCCGTATTACGTAACAACTTTCCCACGTGACCTCATTAGACTTGCTGACAATTCGATTCGTGTGCTCGCTTGCTCTTCGTCATTTCACAACAGCGAGCACTAGCTTTTTGTTCTCCTTCCTATTCAGGTTCCCCTATCTGATTAACGAGAGAAGTCAGGATGTTTTCCAGAGTCACCCCCAGTATGATAGGAAAAGCCACTTTCAGAAACTCCATAGGACGGGCTGCTGTCTGCGCTCGCAGAGGTTTCGTGCAACCTTCTAGTGCAGACCGTGCACGCATCGTGGAAGATATGCACTTCAAGCTCGAGGTTCCAAATCGTGAGAACAGCGTAACACAAAAGACTCGTCCCATATACCTCGATATGCAGGTATGGCCATGTAATTAGATACTATTCAGTGTATTGACGAGGTTCAGGCCACCACTCCTGTAGACCCACGTGTTCTCGATGCTATGATGCCGTACCTAACAGACCAGTATGGTAATCCACATAGTCGAACCCATGCATATGGATGGGAAGCAGAGCAGGCTATTGAGGCTGCACGCAAGGTAAGTCTGCCTTTACGAGCGTAAAAATATCCCTGCAACATCTTCCAGCATGTAGCGGACCTAATTGGAGCCGAGGCTAAGGACATCGTCTTCACTTCTGGTGCTACCGAGACCAATAACATGGCCATTAAGGGTGTCGCACGGTTCAATAAAGACAAGAAGAGACACGTTATCACGACACAAACGGTGGGTCGAGCTGCTTGGTTTTATGACCCACGCTGATCATCCCTGCAGGAGCACAAGTGCGTCTTAGATTCTTGCAGGAAACTTAGCGAAGAAGACTTTGAAATAACCTATCTTCCTGTCGAGTCTAATGGCATAGTCAACCTCAAGACTCTTGAGGCCGCTATCCGCCCTGATACCTCCCTTATTTCTATCATGACGGTAAACAACGAGACCGGTGTCATCCAACCAATGAAGGAAATTGGTGCTATTGTGCGAAAGCATCGTGGTCTATACCTTCACACCGACGCGGCGCAGGCCGTGGGAAAAATACCTATCGATGTTAATGAAGCCAACATTGACCTGATGAGCATATCAGGGCATAAAATCTATGGTCCAAAGGGAGTAGGAGCTGCGTATGTCCGCCGGCGACCGCGCGTGCGATTGGAACCGATCTTGAGTGGAGGAGGACAAGAGCGTGGGCTGCGTAGTGGTACCCTACCCACGGCGCTGGCGGTTGGCATGGGCGAAGCAGCACGCATAGCCAAGCTGGAGATGGCGGTGAGTTCTTGTTCTTAGCATAACTCATGATGAAATCCGCACATGCGTTTGAATTTGCACTTGAATCAAGTGGCGTGATGCTCTAGGCTTACGGCCGCATGAGCCGCTAGCTTGGTAACGATTCCTGTGCAGGGGTACTGATCAACTTCCTGTCTATCATTCCACCTGTTGCTCCGAATCTGATGTATATTCCAGAGGGATCACGCACGGATCAAGCAGTTGTCGGATAGGTTAATCCAGGGTATCAATTCCCAAGTCGAGCATGTAGTTCGAAATGGAGATGTCAATGGATACCCGGGGTGTGTGAACCTTTCGTTCTCGTATGTTGAAGGCGAAAGCCTTCTCATGGCCTTGAAGGTAAGCATAATGGTACGTCTCTGATGAGAGAAAATCTTATGGTTTTCGTTGCAGGATATTGCTTTGTCTTCTGGTAGTGCATGTACATCTGCGTCTCTGGAGCCTTCATACGTTCTTCGTGCTCTTGGTATGTTTTCTTTGCGCTTGGACTTGTCGTAGTACCTGACAGTCATCTAGGAGCGGCAGAGGATATGGCACATTCGTCCTTACGCTTTGGCATCGGTCGTTTCACCACAGAAGCGGAAATTGATTTTGTCGTAAATCACATCGTCCGCGTTGTCACCAGACTTCGTGATATGAGGTACAGTCTCATCCGCATTTCAGTGCTTCTGCTGTGCTCACCGCCTCCTTCAGCCCGTTGTGGGAGATGGTGCAGGAAGGCATCGACATCAACTCGATTAATTGGTCTCAACATTAATTTATAGTTCTGAATTTGTGATCACGTCGCAGCGTTTTGCTTTACCTGTCGTTTACATATTTGAGGATTGTTTTGCCTATGACTTTATGTACAACGATATGAAGGACTTTCGAAGGATATTATTGGCGGTATTCGAGGTCTTGTCCACTAATTGTCCACGGTGCCCAAATTCTTGGCAAACAACTGAATATAATTGCGAGTTGAATCTCCGCCATAACTGCACTCTTTCACTTTCAACCACCATGGCAAGACGTTTGTACCTTGGCAGTATGAAATTTTCTTCTCGTCAGATCCTGGCATAAAAAAATTCTGATCATTGTTTACATTGTACAGGACTTCCTCCTGATGCCCGTTCTGATGACGTGGCTAAGTTTTTCGATGGCTATGGCCGTATCATTGACTGTCGTGTCATGACCGGTTCGTCGGACAAGAGGCGCGCGTCAAATGCGGAACTCACTGGACCTCCATCAGGATTCGGTTTTGTCGAGTTTGAAAGCTCAAAGGTGGATTCACTCACCATGTATCAGAGTGATCAGCATACCAAACTTTTATAGGATGCGGAGGACGCTGTGCATCATTTCAACGGCAAGCCATTCATGGGAGCCAAGTTCGTATCGTAATCACCCGCAACATCTTTTGCATTGATTCTTATTTTTCTTGTTTTAGCATCGTCGTTGAATTTGCTAAAGAAAGTCGCCCTCGTCGGGATGTCTATGAGAGCGACCGTGGCTACGGGTATATTTCTTGACTCACCAAGTTGATATTGTGCTTTTCCCTAACAAGTTGCATTTTTAGGGCTGCTCGCTCCCGCAGGCCTCCAGGTATTCGCCTGATCGTTTCCGGTATTTCTCGCGACACTAGCTGGCAGGTATGATGTTCTTTCGGTTCGCACTTTTGGCAGCGTTCGCGGAGCATATGGCGCTTCCGTTTTCTGGAGATCGATCCGGGTGGTCATTTTGGAACTTTGAAGGACCGCCAGTATTTCGTTGATGTTCACTTTCGCCGGCTTTGCCCAGACTCAACAACGAACCTGACCATACACTCCTCACCCAGGACTTGAAAGATTTCGGACGCGAGGCTGGTAGCGTGTCCTTCGCTGACATTGATCGCGACAACCCTGGCCAGGGGTGCGTGACTAAATTTAATGCATTGTTCCGAGCTGATTGTTTCTCAGTATCCTTGAATATCTATCGCGAGATGATGCAGACCGTGCCGTCAAGGATTTGGACGGTAAAGACCTGCGCGGTAGACCTGTCCGCGTTGCCTACGACGATACTGTAAGTTTGATAGCTTGATTGTTTTGCGCCGGGCCTTACCTGTTCTCAGCGCGGTGGACCTGATAATTACAGGCGCGAGGATCGTCGTGAGGAACGTCCTCGAAGTGATGACCGATACAAAGAAGAACGATACTACAGGGATGATCGGCCATCCTATCGCCGCGAACGATCACGTTCGCCGCCTCGTCGCAATGATTATGAGGATCGTCGCCCCAGGTCTCCACCTCCGCCGCGGAGGGATCCTGATGAGAGAAAACCTGCAGGGTACGATGATTACCGACGGGGAGGTTATGATGATGACCGCAGAGCCCCTGATTATTATTATGACCGCCGCAGGGACGATGACCGGCGACGTGAAGACCGCAGTGGCAGACGCGACGAGAAAGACGATCGGTACGACGACAGGGCAATGAGGCACGCAAATGGCGATGGTGGATGGGCGCGTTAAAGGATATAGGCAGCCGCTGGATATTTTGCACTTGGCCGAGGGGCATCCTATCCGTTATTGGTTTCCCCCCTCTTGTGATGGTCATGGTCTCCTCGAGCTTGGCGTTGGCGTATGTTGGGTCGAACCGGAGAACTGTTTTTTTGTCTTACAGAGGTCATTTCCCTCTTGGTCCGTATGTCGAACGATTAGGTGAAGGCGTCCCGAATTTGGCGTGGAACCTGTACTTTCAAGCATCAGCTGAAGGTTGGCTAAAGGAGATCCAAGGCAACGCGTGAGAATTGGCGTTGGCGTTATCTTCCATATCGGTGGCGTTAAACCACGGAAACTTGGAAACGGTGACGGAATTAAAGAAGACTTCACGTGCCTACTACTCTCGGTACCTAGGACCGTCTATCCTGAATTTGCCCACCAATGTGACCGTGTCCTTCATTCGTGACACTTCAGTGCACGATGATTGATGATTTACACATGGCAGACTTTCGTCTTCAGGTGTGTCACTTTACTCACATCTATTCCTAGGGACCTCTACTAGTATCCATGTACAAATATAAGTGATGCGAGTGTAATCAAGATTCGGTTTGCCGTGATACGTGTACGACAACATGTGAATTACTCTCTATTCCCCACCACCCTAATTCTTGATCATCGTTTTGAAGAAGAACCAGTGTGTCATCACCCATCCTCAACCATACACAAATACTATCACGATTCCTTGGATTTTTGCCTGCTCCCAGGGCTTTCATCACTCTGAGCCGGAAATGCCCCAATTTCATCGTAGAAAGCACGCGCAGCGAAGTAGATGCAATGAGACCCCCTTCCATCTCCGGGGTAAAGAGGCCTTCAGGGGGCACAGAGCAGTGGTGAATTTTTACCTCTGTGGGTATAGTTCAAAAGGCGGTGACGCGATCATCCAACAAGGACCTACCGATCAAATATCGACTGAGTCTACCGTCGCGATCAGCTGTTGACTCAACAGGTCTACCGTGCTCTGGCACATAGCAAAAGGCTTGGTAAATATAGTAATGACTCAGTGGAGCCAAGACACTGACTCATGCACAGCATCTTCCACTGCGGGTGTTCCTTCATTTTGGCTTCATCATCCCCAGGCACGGTCTTCGTAACGAAAGAAAGATAATATAATTCACTATCTGATCGTTCCTTCGTCGAGATCTTGATGACAAAGGAAATTAACTCTAGGCACCGCAGCTTCGGCCCTGTGCTCACCGCAGTTGCGTCAAGCACCCGCAAAGACGGAATCTTTGCTATAATTTGCTGCCTGGCAGAACGAGAGAGGTCATTTACTGCGCGTAATGAGTATGTGCTTCCTCGAAGAAGACGATAATCTTGTGCTAACCCTCAGACAGTGGATTTTTGGCGAGGCTCAGCGTTTCGAGATGGGGACACCACTCATATAATTGATCAATATCGCGCAAATTATGGAGTTTGTTACTAGAAAGAGAGAGGACTTTGAGATCTTGTAAATGTGATGGACAAGATCCCCGAGGAGGGATCCTTTCGATGCCGTTAGATGAAAGTATGAGTCGTTGTAATCTGCGGTACCGCATTAGCTTGTTAGAAAACCCCGCAAACACTGGACACACGAGGTACACGGCTTCAATGCTTCGCTGATATGTTGCCAATCTTCCAGCTTGTTGCTATCAAAGTTGAGGATCTCGATACGGTCCAACACTGTAGAGATCTTCGCACATGATAGCGAAGTAAGCCCATTGTATCCGAGTTCCGCTATGCGAAGTTGAGGCATGAGTATCGCTATGCTTGTAAATTCTTCCCATGAAGTCCAGGTACCGTTCAGTTGGACCTCTGAGAGTCGCAGCCATACCGATGCAGGCAAGTGAGATGAGGGCGGCGTCAGCCGGTTGCGACTATTTGTAGCGTCAGTATATCAAAAGAGCAAAATATAAGGCTTACTTGAGCGCTAGCCGCTCGAGTTGAGGCAGTTCAGTGGTTATCATCGCCACAACGTCCCAACTAGACAAAAGTGTTGCAGAAAGATCCAGGCCGCAGATGTCTTGATCATATCAAACGCGTGATATCTGCAGAAAGACGCACTGGCTTACTAGGGCACGTCGACAGGATTTCCCCTGGATTGTTTCCGGAAGAAACCATCTCATTGTCGAGGCTCACTTCGCGCAGTCGCTCCAGATTTGAAAATTTGCCTCGGATCTTGTCCAAGTCTACAGCTTCAACCTCTATGGCACCATTTGAAGAGCCAAGAACGATCTTCTCCTGCGACGCAGTCCCATGCACAGCTTCCACATACTTATTTTTCAATGCTTGCAAAAATGTACAGCCGTAGCAAATGGAGGCAGATGGACGAATGAAGGATCCACTGTGAGGGACTCTTGTGATCGCTGAGCAATAAGTATCGTTGTGAGACAATGTGTCCTACCGGCAGTCAAAGTATCGCTTCCCATCCTTCATACCATCATGTTTGCCGCGAGCTGAGTCGTCCCATTCGACACCAAGCCAAAGACCGGTGGTGCCATCGAGTGGTCCGAAGTACTTGACAGTGCCGAAATGACCTGATGGCAGGTATATTCTTGATCCTGTCGCAGGAAGCACATGCTGCATCGGTCAAAGTGGTCCGGTGGTGGAAAGTTCTTCATGTTGACATCTACTACAGCAGTCCTTAAATGGCTGTGCCAATCTCACGTAAGCATCGCCTTTGGTTCCGAGTCAAGTTGAATCTTCGGCTACACGGTACTCCGAAAATCCCAGAAAAGTTGCAGGTCGCAGGCTTTCCAAGGGCTTCCTTGAGTTGAACGTTTGGTTCTGAGTATGCTGGCTACTGCTTTCACAAGAATGTCGCGTAACGGTGTATCAGCAGCTCTTGCCAGGACGAGTGCAGTTGCTGCTCACATGTCTACCAGCACTCAGGCAACACCACTAGAGCAAGTAAGTTATTTGCATGTGCTATTCTTATCAGTCCCTTGAAAATCGCCCTTGCATACAGCCGGTGCTCTTTGAGTCGAATGGGGCGACGCGCACTTATGTCTTGAACCGAGCAAGCAAACTGAACGCTCTCAATGGTGACATGCTCAAGTTAATGAGACCTCAACTGGAGGTGAGAGTACCAAAATATGGAAGTGCAGGCTCTTACAAAGATTATTTGTATTCTAGCAATGGTCAAAGTCCGACCTATGCAAGATTATCGTCGGGACAGGCATCGGCCGTGCATTTTGTGCAGGCGGTGATGTTGCAAGTGCGTTTCAATGTTCAAATCCATGTGGATACTTGCTGACAAGTTCGCACAGCTGTACTACAGCATTCACTGCATGATGATACTCGTTCAAAGGCTATAGAATTCTTCAAAGACGAGTGAGTCATTGAATCATGCTCCGGATCGCCTGAATAACTTATCCCAAAGATTTGAAATGGACTATATCTTGTCTGCATTACCAAAGCCATACGTAACCATCCTGGATGGTATCACAAGTTGGTGTTCTCTTTCTGCACAGCATGCATAGCACTGACATCAGCAGTGGGCGGAGGAGTCGGACTTGCCATTAGCGCACCTTTTCGTGTTGCAACGGAGAAATCAGTATTTGCTATGCCAGAAACCAAGATAGGTTACTGCCCCGATGTTGGAGCGAGCTTCTTCTTGTCCAGGATCGACGGTGAAATTGGCACATATCTCGCGCTCACCTCAGAAACTCTTGCTGGCAGGGAAGTCTTGTGAGTAGGGACATATCTTTGCCCAATAGGGCCGCGGGCTTATGACTTCTGGTAGTGAACTAGGATTTGCTACCCACTTCGTATCATCAAGAACAGTGCCCAACCTACTAGCTCGTTTATCTGATTTGGAGGACCCTACTTTTGCTATGATTGATAGGACCATCGAGGACCATCACGCAAAACGCCTTCCGGATGAACCGGTTGGAAAACTAACGGGTCGTAAGCGCCAGGCTCTTGATATGGCATTCCGACACGACACAGTTGAGGAGATTGTGGAAGATCTCACCAAGTTGGCCTCAACTTCTGATGACTCAGTCGCCAAGTGGGCCTCGGAAACACTGGAGATCTTACATATGCGGAGTCCGACTAGTCTCAAAGTAGCACTGGAAGCAGTCCGACGCGGGAAGAAAATGACGCTCCTCGAAGCCCTTCAAATGGAAATGGGCATTGCCACAGCTTACTGTGTAAGTTTGAGAATTAGTGATCATGCTTTGTGACCTGTTTAACTTGAAAAATGCAGAGCGGTGCAAGTACAGATTTCACTGCAGGAATAACCGCGGTCCTAGTTGACAAAACAAAAGGTCGCCCTGCTTGGTCTCCTGATCAGCTCAATAGCGTCTCAGATGTGATAGTGAGACAATTTTTTGAGAGAAATTCTAGTTATCTCAGCGCCGTACCTACATTGACACCACCGGACTTCCTTTCGAATGGCCAGCAAAATCCGATGAAATTTGCTCTGCCAAGTGAAGATGCCATCTTGCAAATCGTCAAGTCCAAGGCCAGAAAAGATCCTATCTCCCTCTCTGATCTACTGGCACATTTTGATGGTCTTCACTCGGGCAAGCAAGGCGTCGCGGAGAAAGTGGTGGAGGTAGTGAAACGCAATTGTGATGTCATTGGTAGTCAAGGTTCGGAGGTGGTTAATTGCAAAGAGCAATTGTAGTTTACTCCCGTAGTTGCTGCACAGTGTACCATCCTCGATATCACAATTTGCTTATCTTGCTGTACGCGTGCAGTTGTTACCACGTCATCCGCAACGCAGCGGACCGGAACTGCAGCTAGTTCTTGGCGATGACTGTTTGAACCTTGTCCTTCATCCCTAAGGAGAAAAGTCAACATTGATGTTTGACGTTGCGCGATGCGCAGCTTTCCATTATGCTGCACGGCCATCACGCTAACTCGAACCCAAGTTGCCCAAAATTGTGATGAAACTTTGCGACCAAACCATCGATATATTAGATAAGATTGGGAATATGTGTCTGCCGCGGATCATTGTCACACGGCATGATAGCTGCGAGACAGCTAAGTGAACAAAGATTATTTTGAGGTCCTTCGAAAAGTTCCTGTGCAAACTAAATTATTTGTATTACGTGATATGACTCGAAATGCGAATTACTGGAACATCCACAACAAACAACTTTGAAGTAATGATGCCAGCGTTCACACAGCAAGTTATCTCTCACTTGAGCTGAATGAGAAGGCACTCTGATTATGGCTAATTTCTACCGGAAAATGTTCACACTCTCCACAGCAACAGAGAGTACTCGGACAAAATTATGCGGAGAATACAGGTACCTTGGACGTTGTCAGATATGATGACTCGGAATTCTTGCACTCAAATCCGGCAGAAGCAATACATGGTTACTGGGTCGTTGCATGACTCGTCGAGTTGCAAACGAACATTGCTAAATCTCTCCATCACAGTGCCTTTGGAAGTTGTTGAATCTCAGATCTAGGCTGTGAAGATCAGCATTGGAAACGAAACATCTCGCCAGCGCTGAATGCGTGCCAACAGGTAATAGCCTTACGTGTAAAAGCATGTGTCGCTCTTAGGAGCTATGCACCGAAAGGGGAAATGTATAGGATCGTAGCAAGATGGTGACACTCATGGGACCAATGTCAAAGGTTCCTGAGTGAGATCCTACCAATTAGCCAGACTCGACAACGAATTACAAGGAGTTCACAGGACTGAGTGTGGCACCGAAAATGATCGGGGTTTCGTTCCAACACCCCGCAAGTTTCGGTCAACACCTGCCTTGCATGAAGTTCCGTTAGTTCTCACAGAGGCATACGCGCCCAGTTATGCCGTTTGGGCAATATCGGCGCTGCCGATGCACACATCAGTGCAAGCACTGTGACTAGGTAACCTTGAATCTCGATGATGTGATCTAATCGAGGACACGCATTAGTAGTTCATGTATAAAAGGTGCCCGGGTCCTCTGGTTTTCGAATCACAATAAATTCCAAGCCTGCGAGTCATTCTCTATCATTCTCTCGCAATGTATCCAATCGACCTACTATCCCCATCCCATCTGTTTAGCAATGTCCTCTCGGTGCTCAACTCTGTCCAGCTTCTTAGCAGGAAAGAGGCACCAGGTGCACAACCAACTCCTGCAGATTTCGAAGTCAATCTTCAAACGAACACAGGGTTTCTCCCTGAGAAACCCATCCCACGGCTTCCCGAAGCTTATAGCGCATGGGAGAACGCGCTTACACGAGCTCAGGAAGTGCTCGTACTTGGGGAAAACCTAACAGAGCAAGATACCGAGAGCCGAGCTGATGGTGAACTTTGGAGATCACAAGTGCGCGGGGTAAGTAAATTTGATATGTGAGGGTGAAACCATGGCTTACATTCAAAATAGCTCCCTGTGATCAGCATCAATGATCTAAAAACAGACAAACAATTGTTGCGTCGCGCTCACAAAGTGCTCGCCTTTCTTGTTCATTTCTATGTCCATTCCATACCGCCGGACCAGACGGCCGGTTCGGTACTTATCCCCCGATCTCTCGCGACTCCGTTGCTTGAAGTATCAAATATCTTGCGAATGGCGCCGGTGCTTACATTCGCCGACACCGTCCTATGGAACTGGGATCTCGTAAACCCAGAGCTTCCTGTCACGATAGAAAACATGCATTTTGGCGTTGAGCTCTTCTCAGGCACAGAGGACGAGCGGAATTTTTGGTTCGGTAACGCAAAAGTTGAGATGTTGGGTGTGGAGATGCTCCACCTTTTCAACGAGTACCACAGCCTCCCCAATGTTTCCGACTTCGCTTCCGTCTGCAAAATCAATCGGCTCTTGACCCGCCTCGTGACAATCATCAACCGGGTTGAAGAAACCTTGATGGCCATGCGCGATCTTGTAGACCCCTCCACATTCTACTGGCAAGTGCGGCCTTGGTTCAATGGAAGTGCTAGCGGACCATCTGACCCAACGTGGGTTTTTGAAGACGGTCCTGACGCTTCCACACTCGACCTCAGCGGACCATCGGCTGGCCAAAGTAGCGTCATGCATGCACTTGACACCTTCCTAGATGTCGACTTCAAACTCCATCAGCGTCGGCATCCAGCCCCCTCAGAATCAAATAAGCGATCAGATCTGGGTTTTATGGAGAGAATGCGACGATATATGCCCGGGGCACACAGAGATTATCTCTCCCATCTTGCGAACACCTCTCGTCCCCTACGAGAACTCGCAAAGAGCACACCTGCTGTGAAGGAGTCATATAATGCAGCTGTGTCGGCAGTCAGAAAGTTCCGGGACTCGCATATACGCATCGCATGCCTATATGTCGTCTCTATGGCACGATCGACGGCGATACCGGCCGGATGCCCCGTATTTGCGATGATGCAGAGGATGGAGCGACAACGGAAGCAAACAGGACGCTCGACTGGTACAGGTGGCAATGAATTGTCGCTGTTGCTGAAGTCCAACCGTGATGCTACAACACGCACTGCTATATGAAAGATCTGAAGGAGGTATTGGACCCACATGGACGGAAAGCACTTACTTTATCATAATAATCACCACTATATTTCAGCCGCAGCCATATTATCCACAATGAGCAGCGGGCAAGTATTTATTAACCGAGATACGTTATTTTGTGTAGCCCTAGACGCGCCTTGAGCATGATACATTCACATTGTAATACTTTACCCAGGTTCACATATTTATTATATCGATACAAATAGCAGAAAGTCTGCCAATGACTTCAATTGCTGCAGTAGTTTTCTTGACAAGCAATTTTTTTCGACCAAGAAAAGGAACCAGAGAGCGGGGTTAATGTTTCGCCAAGACCATCCGATTCCAAAGCATATGCATACTTAGAAAGCCGGATACCTGTGCAGCTCGCGTCCGAAATAGGTACCACCGGAGTCGTATATCAGCTCGCGCCAGGGACTCGAGGAAATACCATGTGTCTGGTTCGTATTATTATAACGAATTGGAACGAAGAAGTCGTCTTGGTCCAAGCCTTGAGATGGCCTTGACGATACTTTGTTCTGAAATGAGGCTTGACGTTGAGGACGCCGGTACCCGGACGGCAAGAGTGGGGAGCGGAAACATGACAAAACCGCTGAAACAATAGCGATACGCTGTGCACGGAAGGTAAAGATTGATTGTCGACACTAAATGAAACCCGGGAGGAAGTTTGGGTGGCCGGCGGGTACCATGATAGTACTGGGAAAAAAGATATTTCAACGAAACGAGAATGTGGCGCGAGCCTCAAACTCAAGCGCTCGAGATTCGCACCAAATGTTTTGTGACATTCTGATCAGGTTATCGTGAAGAAATGAACATCGATGCAAAGAGCTCGACACATTTACATGGCCAGGCCATATTCTGAACATCATATACATATCTGCAGCACATTCACTCATTTTTCGCAATCTCGAGGGTGCACGCGCGATGATCACATGCATAGTTAGCTTTACTACAATGGAATGATACCATAGCCAGAATGTCATTGATATATTGCACTGTTCCCAACTTACATACACTCGGGAGTTCGAGTACAAGAAGACTGACATGAGTTTGCAGCCCTCGATGGAGTCGGATGGACGCTCCCACATGCGCACCGATATTCCTCCGACCTCGATTACGATCGTACTCATGGCATATAGGACCAGAGTCTTCTTTGAGACTATCGGAAGGCCACCGGGGCCGTGGCTACTATAATGCAGCAACTTCTACTACGTAGCTAGCTACATGTGCACCCATAATCGACGACGTCGACATCATGTGAACATTATGGTATGAAGACAAGAATAAATTTTGCGTTCAAGTCCAGATATATGGTGACGTGAGGTCGAGGATACGTACGAGAATATGCACCACGTTGATATCTCGCGGTTCCATGTGGTCAAAATAAAGCGATAATCTAGATAGAATCTAAGATGCGTGCGACCTTCCCACCGGTCCATAATCTCTTTTTCCCCCAGTGCTCGATTGTAGATGGGATGATTTTTGCAAATCCAAGTGACTGTGACAAGCAGGCCGGTGACCCATCCAGCGGTTGAATTTTCAATGTTCGCTGTCGTCCCACAGGATCCGACCGATATTCGCCTATTTGAATTCACAACCACACTTGACAAGTGAACGAGCATCTTGTGCAATCTTCTAGCTAGCCTTGCACAAAGATATCTACTAGAAATACCGGTCCGAGGAAAAATGCAAACCCACTTCTGCCTACAGGAGAGCTATATAAAATTAGCGATGCACTTTCCCTGGTCAAAGAATGCTTGCTTACAGGGCCATTAATTTATCATTGAATGAATAGCGAAAATGCAATGCAACACCTAATTGTGAATGAACCAAGTACTAGCTAGTCATAACTTATCAGTTCTGAAGGCCACAACTTGGCAGTTCCTGATTACGTGATGAACGCGTTAGCAAACTAATGTCAACAAACACTTTGAGGGGCGCGTTCTCTTTCATTGCGATTACTTTCACTGTCTTTCAACTCTGTTGCCATGTCTCAACTTTCATCAGGAATCTGTCGCCGTCTCAACGAGGCTCCTCAGGAGGAGATAGACCATCTTGCTTCTGGGCATACTGTGCAGCTACTTTCCATCAAGAAAGTGGCCCCGACACCTAGCTCGACGACCGCCACCGACAGGTTTCGCATCATCATTTCCGATGGCGTCCATTTTGTCCAGGCGATGTTGGCTACTCAATTGAATGATCTCGTAGCAAATGGCGACATAAACAAAAATACTGTGGTGGTCATCGACAAGCTGGCCTGTAACTTCGTGCAGGACAAAAGGTGAGTAGCTTTTGATGCCACTTCTACCCCCTTTACTAATTTATCCAGATTGATTATTATTCTTGACCTCCACGTGGTATCACGAGACGAAGAGAAAATCGGGTCTCCTACTGCCCCTCCTCCCACCCAAGATGCGCCTGCGCCCTCTGTTGTAGAGACTGCATCCTCATCCATTTCTGCACCAGCTACCTCTTCGTCTACTAGTCAGGCGAAGCAGCCTCAGCCCCAGCCTCGCACTGGCCCATCCGGCAGAGGGGGCAGGTCAGTGTACCCCATCGAAGGACTTAGTCCTTACCAGAACAATTGGACCATTAAAGCTCGAGTTACCCAAAAGTCTGATATTAGGACTTGGTCGAATCAGCGTGGGGAGGGGAAACTTTTCAATGTCACATTAATGGACGAATCCGGCGAAATTCGGGGAACCGGTTTTAATGCAGTCGTTGACGAACTATACGAAAAGTTCGAGGAAGGCAAAGTCTACTACATCTCCAAAGCCCGAGTGAATCTCGCAAAGAAGAAATTCTCGAATCTTCAGAACGATTATGAGCTGAGTCTGGAGAAGAACACTGAAGTTGAAGAGGTAGGTACCACCACGCTACCGCCGAAACGCTGGACTCATGTTTTTTAGTGCCTCGAGACCACCAGCGTACCTATGATGAAGTATAACTTCGTGGAATTGTCTTCGTTGGAAAAATTGGAAAGGGATAATACTTGTGGTAGGTGGTTTGCAATCTATGTTGTTTTTTCTCTCACATGTAGTCCATCGCTACCAGATGTCATTGGGGTCGTCAAAGAAGTTGGCCCCCTCGGCGAAATCACATCAAAGGCGACAAACAGGACGGTAAGTCATATGATCCACCCGTTCATTACCTGGGGATTCTAATTCGGTTGAAGATTCCTAAACGCGACTTGACCATCGTCGACATGTCGCAATTCTCTGTTCGCTTGACTTTGTGGGGAAAACAAGCAGAACAGTTTGCAGCCGATGATCTTCCTGTCGTTGCGTTCAAAGGTGTTAAAGTTGGCGACTTTGGAGGTATGAATTCCTTTCGCTCATCTTAATTGGAACTCACCCCACCGAAGGTCGCACCCTCTCCATGGTCAGCTCAAGTATCATGACAATATCGCCTGATATTGAAGAAGCACATTTGCTACGGGGATGGTACGATGGTATTGGCACTGAAAAAAATTTCCAGTCGCACACGAGTGGTTCATCTGGTGCATCCTTTGGTGGTTTCAATCGCAATGAGATGCGGCATCTTAGTGACGTCAAAGAGTCTCAACTTGGCATGTCCGACAAGGCAGAATTCTTTTCCACTCGTGCCACTATTATGCACATCAAAAGTGAAAGTATTTCTTATCCTGCCTGTCCCACTCAAGGTTGCAACAAAAAGGTGGTTGATTTAGGTAGTGGCTGGAGGTGTGAAAAATGCGACAAAACTTTCGAGCGACCGGAATATCGGTACGTTCATTTGCTCAGTCCTTCAGGTCCAAACCTAACTTTGATTATCAGATACATCATGTCAATGGCAGTGGCTGATTGGTCCGGTCAGGCGTGGTTGCAGGGCTTCAATGAGGCTGGTCTAGCCGTCTTCGGGAAAACCGCAGATGAAGTTCATGAAATCAAGGCCAGTACAATCTCGCGTAACTTTTCTTGATGCTGACGACCATATCATAGGAGCGAAACGAAGCAGAGTACAACGCTCTTATGGCCCAGGCCAGCGGCGTCACGTTCAACTTCAGTTGCCGTGCAAAGCAGGACACATACAATGTAAGTGTTTTCCATTTGTTACAGGTTTGAAATAATGAATAGGTTTCGTAGGATCAAACCCGTGTCCGTTACGGAATATCAAGAATCACTTCTCTCGATTATCGCGAGGAAGCCAAACATCTCGTCGACCTTCTCAAATCTCCATGGGCTAAGTGATTCTTTCGTTAATATGTCTAGTCCGTGTACATTAGGTCTCGTCTACTTTTGCTTGCCGTTGTGACAAAAAATACTGTAAACATTTGCCAAGTAGCTGAAATGAAAACGTTCTTTTATCTCTTACGGGGTCCGAGTAAATAGTCAAGGGGGGTCTAAAGGATAATGATATACTTTCCTAAACATCTGCCACATCACACCAAACCCTTCGAGAGCGATATCTATGGTCTGTTGTGCGACCGGGGGTAAATCCAAATTCAATGGCCAAGAAAAGGGTAGTACGTCGATGAGAGAAAGCGAGGTCTCATCTGGAGGTGAACTTGGTGTGGGTGCGGGTGTCATTTTTTCCATAGCTGTTCTGGATGAAATTTGTGATGGAGGCGGGGAAACCGGGGGGAGGAAGGCGGTGTGCACGTCAGGGCCCTTCATCACCGAAGTTGATGTCAAGTATGATGTTGGTGGCGTTGTCGAGGCTGTAGTGTAATCAACCGAAGGCTTTGTATGCGGAGGCGCATAGATAGTCGTAGTCATAAACACCGTCTCGATTGGCGCCTGAGAATGATGATCGCGCCAAACTGGATCATCAAGTGGCGTACGTCGATCGAGGGATTGCCTCATATGCCTGATTTCAGCTCCGAGGTTAAATAACACCATGAGAACAACAAGAGCGGGTGCTGTCCATATCAAAAATTGAAGTAGTTTCCCCAGAAACCGGACGCTGATGTGAAAACGGTGAACGTGGGGCTGGGCCCTCAACGAAAGTGTTGGGGTGAACATTTCTTCCAATATGTAATGGACCAATTTGCTGCCCTGTTGAGATGCGTGTTGGTGAGCAAGATTGGAACGTAGTAAATGTGCGTCTAGGCCTGTAATACCGGAGTGAGTAAACATCGAGATAGGCATATTCGCTACTTTTACCTGTTGAGGTTTCCACATTAACTTCGAGTTTGCCAACAGACATTGTGAATGTGGGCAATAGTATGCCCACATACCCGTCGTCCCTGGCTTTGCCTTTTCCTCGGCGGAGATCGTCAGTGGGGGTCTTGACTAAATAGTCAATCTGAACGTCCCCAACGAGATCACCTACGTGCAACCTGATCCAGGCGGTCCAATTCTTGGTCCCTAACTTATCCAGAGAGGATGACAAGTCGACATTTGACCCCTCCGCGTGCTTGGTAGCTGAGCTTATTTCAAAGCGGATAGGCATGCCATCGATGCTCGCGCTCGCAATTTCCACAGAACAGTCAATGGATGATACATCATCCGCATGTACGAGTCCAAATTCCATCCAATCTGTCTCCATTTCACATGGAGCTGGATGGGTTACCCGAACAGCATATGCGTTGGTAGATGTTACATGATCAAAACGCAAGGGTGTCACAACGACCATGACGGAAGGGATCATGAGGGGACCACCCCTTTTTCTTCTCGAGAGGGTGCTAAACATCGGAGGGAGAGACACCCCACTTGCTACACGGTTCATCCCAGTTGGCGTGCGTGGCCGACTGGGAGGGCGTCTTATATTTTCAAGGGTATCATCTGCCGTGGAATGTCTTGTTGGGATAAGCGATCTCGCTATGGAGCGTAGAGCAATACGCCCTCCGTCAGATCCACAACGCGACAATCCTCCACGTTGCAGAACAGTCCTGCGTGTCTGCGCATCACGGAGATTGCCGGATATGTTGTAAACCTCCACTGTTGCAGCTTCACATTCATTGCGGATGATCGTCGCAATTGTTTCTGCATCGGCAGCGAGCACAGAGAATCGGGGCAAGACTATGGGGATGGGATCTGGTTCTTCGTCTGGACTTGAATTTGAACCCCTGTTGAAAGCACGTGGACGGGATATGACGAGGATTGTGCCAGTGATGTTGAATGTGAAGACATTTTTTGATGGGGGAAGTATATCGTTCATGTTGACGTGAATGGTCAATGATGTTGGGGGATGAGGAACGCTTTGTACATCTGAGTTCGCGCGGCTACGTCCTTCCGAAGTCAGAGGCATCGAGCTAATGGATGACAGAGTGCCTGAGGGTATCAGAGAAGTCGGGGAACCCTCGAAAGAGTAGTCTGACACCTGGTCTCCTGGAAGCGGCGCACGCAATAAGGATGAGGTCGAGCCGGCCGAGGAACTAGAGTCGTGTCGTGTTGCTAGCATAGGTGCTTGGAGCCGTGAATTCGGATACGATTCCAATGGCGACGGCTGAGGAAATTCTAGCGAGGCTTGCCTCGAAACCGGTGTCGATGGGGGGTTGACGTCGAAGCCCGTATAACCTGCACCTCCTGTGACAGTCCAGGTCGGTTCTTCTGCAGGTGCCCAAATGACATCGGATCCTCGCGCCTCCAGCCCTACATCCATACCCAGCATCGTTGCCACGCCAGGAAACCAAACACCTTTTGCCGTTCCCTTGTACTCCAGTTTCATCAAGATGCCCTCCCTTCCACTTGCAGGATCGCTGTCCCTTCCAAGAACATGACATGACATTTCACCCTTCACCTCTTTCACTCCTACACGCCGCCGGCCATCTTTACTGTCCATAGTCTTCATGGGTGCTGCCCAACGAACACGAAGACGATCTGCAGATGGGAATGTTCCCAGGACAGCAATACCGCCAGGGCCTCTGTCCGTGTAAGCAGAAGAATCAGACGATTCATCATCTGCCATGTCTGCGTAGGACCCTGAACGCGAAGGACGAGTCGTGGTTCGTGTGACGTGAGGCTCAGACGTAAGCTCCCATGCGCCGGGATCCTCCTCTGCAGAAGAAAGAGAGGCGAATGAGGATGATGTTGTTGTAGGGCTCGGAGGGAAAATGCGAAGCTTGACATTATTAGACAAACAACGCGGAAGGGGAATGGATATCTGTATTTATGGAGCACTTATCAGATGAAAATTCACGCCATGGTAAAAATGACGTACGAGGAAAGGAGCCTTCGGGGGACGACAGACATAAGGAACCCAGAGATCTAAACCAGCCATGAAATGCATGTTGTTACGCTCTCCTACGGAGCCTCGTCGCATCTTTGCAGCAGAGAATGTGGAAACCCTGATCGCACTGTCTTCACCAAACCTTGGTGGAAATTCCTTGGGTAGGACGTAGGAAATGTTGTACCCGCTGACAAGGATATGACCAGTGTACTTGTCGTCCAGAGGCGGGATTGCGGTGTGAGATGTCGATGTAGATGTAGAAGAGGATGCACGAGAGGCCGGACTCATGACAGAAACGCTGGACGTCGGTAGACCAAAAACGGAGAGATAAGATTTTTGAGAGCGGGCCGGTAGATTGAGGGCGCGTGCAGTGTTGTTCAGTAGTGGAGAGGTTGTGGATGAAAAGTTGTAAGGAACAGAGTTACTGTCAGTTGGGTGAACTTCTGAACCCAGCATCTTCAAGTTTCCCTCTTCGATAGTGATGATGAGTAGGAGGAAGGGAAAACTGAGAATGGACGCTTACCGGGAAATAATGGTAATGTAGAACCAGGAGAAACAGCATCCATAGGTATTGAAAGCTATTTGATGATCTTTAGCCCATTCATTTTAGTCGACTGAAATGAACACACATACCTTGAGATACATCTTAATGGCAATACCATCTTGACCCTGCTTTGCTTTGCCCTCGATAGCAAGACGCGTTACAACGTTTAACTTTGGTTGCTGCTGAGCAGTCGCCGTGAATGTATGAGACGATGCGTTCGCTGAGAGTGGTGGACTGATTGTACGCGCATGTCGCGATTGCGCAGGTGCATACATGGAATTCGCGTGTCTATCTGGTAAAAATAGTGCGTTATGATGGTTGATTGGCGTATTTTGATATCACTACCGTCTGGTACAGCCTAGAAAGCGGAAAAGTGAACCAAAGACAAGTTCTGCTGTCTTATATAGCGCGCAAAGAGGCCTGAACGGGTAGCCTAGAGGCCTGCAAGCCGTTTTCGTTGCTGTGCAAGAAATGAAGAACAAAAAGCGGATCAGTCAGCGGGAAAGGCGCGTTTAGTTTGTTTGCCACAGACGCGTTGCCGGTTACACACAAAAGAGGCATCAAAACCTCGTTTTGATCACACCGTGGTCCAACAACCACTTTTTTGGACGACACTCAACGGAAGGCCAAGCAAGCTCGGCTTCGGAGGAGACTCAACTCAAGGTTCCATCATTCTTATGCCGACGTGATGACTATCATGTAGACTACCTGATTCGTAACCCTCCCCCCTGCAGCTGGCGCTGGCTTGTCACTTTCGCTCGGAACGTGGGCCACTGACAAACAAGCAAGGAACAGGATCTTGTGCCTGCAGACTATGTAGCCACCCATGTATTGATCATGGCCACAAGTTCCTAGCCAGACGCAGCAAAACCAACAGGCCACCAGCAATCTCCATCAATTCATCGACGACTTAAAATTAGTGGCCACGGTGTTCGACGGAACTTCATTCTGATTTTCCCCGCTTTTAACCTGCGAGATTACACAAATGCATGTCTTACTACAGCAAGGTACCGTCAACAGCTTGCCTTATAGACGGGCCTCCATGTCCAAGGCTTCAAGCTAGCGCGGATGCCCACAGCTACAAAGCGAGTTCGGTTTTTTCACAATTTAGTGGTATACAGCTCGGACGTACACTGAAGTTTTGTAATACCCTTGAGAATGTGGAAGCATGCAGCAGCACTGGCCTTACATCGATTTCATTGTAACGCGTTAATTTGTGTCAAAGACGAAACGAGTAAGTAAGAGCATTACAATATGTATCCAATAAGCAATGAAAAATCATAATCGATCGTCGTCAGTAGTACGTAGCAGTCATAAAGAGCACACCGTGACATTCAGGCGAGTGTCAGATCCGAGTAGCCGTTTCGGGAGTCATTTAAACAGGAGTAGCCCTATCATGTTCTGCAGCCTCCTGTGCTACTTGCGCCCAATCCTTCTCGTGCACACCCAACTCAATTTTCAGTGCAAGCTTGTTGAAGTTTATCAGGGTCAGTCCGTGAGAATCACGGACGCGCGACTCCCAGCCCTCTGGAAGCTGCTCATGGAGAAGAAAGCTCTGTAAGTCATCTACACGACCTCCCATGGTTGAGAGCAACAGTGAGGCACTGACAAGATGGTTAGGATTGTGCTCAGAAACAGATGATGAAATCAAATACTTTGCGCAACCAAATAACTTGTGGAAAAGTTTAAGCGTGAACTCCTTGTTTACTGCACGCGACACTGCACGACGCTTGCCGAGCAGCTTGGAGAGATCCTTGACGGTAACGACATCATTGCCGTCCTTGTCCTTGTTGGAAGCTGCTGCAAGTAGCTCCTCGATGTAAGGTACGTGCTTCGTCGATTGGTTTGGTTCAAAAGCAGCGTCAAGGCCTAAAGGCAAATTATTGAACATCATACAAGAACAACCCCATCAAATTGCTTACGTAAGAGAGATGCGTCATGTTCAATACCATTGTGTAAGTCGAGTTCTTCTAAATCAAGGGTATCACGGTTGAAGCTTTTCTTAAGCATGCGAGCAGCATAATGGGCAACAAATGAGGATAAGGTAGAACTGATATTGTAGGTTGCCTGGACATGGCGATCAAGCTCGACAAACGATATGTCACGGCCACTGCGTGAGATGATCCCTACATTTTGATGACGTCATACCAAGGCCCATGAAAATTTGCAGAATCACTAACCGTGGTTCGCTAGTGCATTGAGTCCTGGGCATGAGCAGCGAGAGTCGGTCTCCCCAGGAGGCTTAAACTCAGGCCAGTGCCTTCCGTAGCCTGGGTGGCCCTCGGGAGTGACACCACCGATGCGACGCTTTTTCTCCACAAGGTTGAGAAGCGTCAGGACGACATCCCAAGACCTGATTCTAGCCTCATAGAAAAAGTTGGACACGTTAGAGAAGAAGCCCATTTCACGTCCGGAACGTCAACGATAGCTTGACGTGTTCAGATGGCCTGATCGAAGGAGTGGTTGAGGACAGAGGAGTAGGCGCGCTTCGCTTAGAAGTATATAAGTATGAGAGAACCGAATAACATTCAGACCGGTGGGGTTTGGATCAACAGGGATTCTTTTACGAGAAGCCGACCCGAAATGTACATGGGGAGCGCAAGGAGCGTTGCGCCGTGCAGTTAAAGGTTATATTACATCTGTTGCAGAACGGTGCATAGGCTAAAAAAGCAAACATTAGCCAAGAAGCATCAAAAAAATGTAATTCACTACGGAGCGCTCTGTAGCACTCTGTAACACAATGCAAGTCAAACCAATGGACTTTCAACGTTGTCAACTTCCAACAATTAATCGTGCTTCTACCATGGGCCGTTATTCACCCAGGAATTCGCGGTAATATTTGAATCTGACCGGATATTGTAATTCAAACAAACCCCGTGTCTTGTTTTATTTTTGACGATTGGCCCCATTAAGTAGCGTTCTGCAGACCGCTGTAATATTCACCAATCTAGGTCTAGGTAAATTCTGTCAAGCTTTAATTTATTCGGATGACGCTTACCCGACATTCCATTCGAGAAAGAGTCGTACAAGTACCGGCAAACAGGCAATCGCACATTCAGCAAACGGAGGTGGGCGTGCATCAACATGGAGTGGGCTGATACATCAGCATGAAAAGCAAAGGGTATACCTGTATCGATGATGCATCACTACAGTTGTTGTCATTGAGTAATGTTTAAACCCCGCCCAAAGCCAGCTGCCGAAGCCCCAGACTTTGGCCCCGGAGTCTACGTAGAATAGCCCTGGAGTCGGCCATTTCCTGGACGTTCTCACGCTCTCGTATAGTCTTCTTATATCAATAAATTTGGTCTATTTACTTAAGTCGCGCATGTTATGAAGAAATCCACAAAACTACTCTATGCATGAACTAAGTGACAGAGACAAGCAAAACACACTGGGGAGTTCACATGAGTGGGCGAGAGGTGTCAGGGCACAAGACAGTCGAAACATGGGTATGCAAGGGTGCAGATCATACACGAGGATGGCAGCAGGCACAAGGTGCAGTGGGAGGACTCATGTAAGACGGCGCAAGAGCCTACGAGAGGAGGCGCTTGATGGTTCAATTAGTGAAGGAGAACACTCAATGCAATTGAGAGGGCGGCAGGTATAGGAGAGCGGTATCAGGCGCGAGAAGGTAGCAGGAGGTGTTGAAATCAGAAGGGTGCAGCAGGCAAGGACTATCCACTGAATACCCTTAGTACTTGTAACAAAGCAGCAGAAGGAATAAATAAATGTAACTCACAAGTTGGTAGGCAGTAAGGCGGATACAACCTGAGAGGCAGGCGGCGCCGCGGCGGACGAGGGTAGGAGGAGAGGCAGATGGGACCCCGGGAGGCGCGATAGATTGATATTGTGACTCCGCTCGAACCCAGCCGCCGAAGCCCCAGAGTGTACATGGTTAATGCTTAGCCCAGAGCGGCCAGCCGCTAGATCCCTGCAGGACTTTCACGAATTGTTTGGCATTCGAAGTAATAGGTTTCTTTCAGCGCGCTAAGTTTCCCTGATTGGCGCTTGTGGTACTTAGTGTGACGTTTCTGGTCCATGACTTGGAAGTGACGGACTGTCTCTTCTTTCAGATGACATACTTCAAATGTGGAGTCTGTTGATCTTGGCGAGGTGTTTGTAATGTTGACCTGGGGCGTATGAGTCCGTTCTCGACTGAATAAGAAGGCTGGCCCCGTGGAGTCCCGAGATGAGTTTTTGAAATTTTTGGTGTCGTCAGTCTTCTTAGTATCACATTTTTAGCGCGCGCTGATGGGCCGTTCAAAGATCTCTTTGGCTTGATCTTGGCATATACTCGTTGCATCATCATTGGTTTGCTGACAGGGGGGGGGGGTGTGCGGTGCCATTTTGAGTAAATTTCGCTTCGCTGTGGTAAGTCCGCGTACGTGCAGGCTGTGGCTTTCCTTGTATCATTGCCTGCCAGTGGTTGTACATGTTGATCACCGCTGACCTGACTCACCCCTCCCTTACAACTGACAGCTCTGCCCAAGTAGTGTCATTCCCAATCTCCAGGTCCCCTTCATAGACACTGTTCCCTGTGCCTAGGTGAAATGAATTGTCTTGTTCTCTCGTCCTTGTCATGAGCACAGCTACTAGTTGTTGGTACCCCTCCGTTGATCGCTGGACTATCCATGATCTATGATGATCCTAGGCTCTTTCTCGGACCTCCGTTTTCCTGTCTGTCGCCGCTCTAGTAACTTGGGCCACCTTCCTTCCTTCAATTCAGTCTGCTTATGGATAATGTCTTACTAGGTTATATTCGGCCTGAATCTCGCCGCGTCGGATTCGAGCCCTGGTCACCCGCTTAACGTCAAATAGTAAAAATTCTCTCACTACATAATCCAAGTCCGACACTGCAGTATACTAACATTCCTTTGATCGGTTTTGTCTACAGAACTTAAGATCTTGAGACTTCCTGCTTTGGTAAAGGTGAAACAACCCAGCGGCGCTATATCGTGTCCGAGTACTCCTAAGTACTCCCAGAGCCAGAGATAGACTCCGAGACTTGAAGAACCTACAAACTACTAATTGACTCGCGTGTTTTTGGTAAGTTCTCCCCTCTGGCCGTGGCTTCCCTCACAATGATTCCGAATTTCCAAGCGCTGGTCTTCGACTTCATTTGCAGGCACCCTCCCTTGACCGCGGAAGTATAGGCGAAGCTCCCGAGGTGCACCTGTCTGACATACGAAACTCATAAATTGCGACATTGCAGCCCGCGAGCCATCTTCCTTCTCCCCGCGGGCCGCGTGAAATTTCGATACTACAAGCCAGCGGAATTCGTCTCCACATAGCTCCACATGGCAATTCTGTGTTGGTGTGGAGTTACAGAGAATGCCGCCGGACTCAGGCTTCGCATATCACCGCTGCGTCCGGGGGATATACTATTAATTTTAGTTGCCTGAGCCCCAGTGCTCGGCGCAAGACATATTTTGACTTTAGAATACCTCACATGCACGCATTAGAGTGCAATGATGCTATCTGTGGCTTCACTTGAAGAAAGACGATGTCGTTGAGTGTTTCTGCAAACGAAAGGGTGAGCAAGATCTAGCTAGATAAGCTTGAGATAACTATTTTCAAATTTTCCATCGACTTAGATCTATTCAGGTCCTAAACCTATGAACTCTAAACCTCTGGAGTGTTGAACCCGACATGACTTTATACTCCCCGCCGATCCACGAAAAAGCTTTGAGATAGCTGTTTTCGGAATTTCAATCAACCTTCTATCCAGTTACTCAATTTATGAACCCACACTTGGCGTATCAAACAGCCTACATGGCTTTGTGCTCCCCACCAATTCACGACGCTGGCAAGTGATTATAATATTCAAGATTTTAATGATGAGCGTAACGTACTGGTCACCATTGAAGGTCGTACGACATAGAATTTCGTGTTTTACGTCGTGTTTCCCTGCACCCGTGGCAGGACTTATTAGTCACTTAGTTACTGGATCTCAGAGAGCCTCTTCGCTGGCACTCTACGAACGACTCAAGTGTTGTGTGTTATAATTGCAAGGACTTATTAATTTATCTACCGGCCCTACTAGTAGTATCTACATTCAATCATGATGACGGTACTATATATGTACTACATACTGCATGGTGCATCACATACGTGAACCGAGCACTGGTGGCATGCCTTTCTTGTACAACACGTGTTTTTAATTAGCAGCTGCAGTACCCTCAAGGTCATGAAACCAAGAGGGTACTGGCAGCCAAAAAGTCTCATTGCCCCTATCTTTTCTCCTCGGACAATTCCAAGTCGCAAAGTTCTTCTCTTTGTGCCCAGTTTAATTGCTGTGTACTAATTTGAAACTGAAACAGCCACACCAGAGGAAACGAGTTATCTGCGACCAAGCGCAAAAAGCTAAAAGCCCAATTGATGGCTGACGTGGCCATCAAAGCTCCCGGTACCCGGAGTCCCGGACTGAGATGGTTCTCTTTGTGTTCCAATATTAGTAATACTACTAGACCGTTGTATGTACAAAGTATAGCGCCATGGCCACTCTTGATGGCGCTTCCGTTACTACATCCTCGTATTTATTCAGCTTACGTTCGTTCCATATTACAAACCACCCATCATCCCCAATTAAAAAATCGTCGCAGTCTCGCTATGGTTGCTCATGATTGGCAGAGGGTCGAGAACCACGCGAATGTTCCTGCTTACACGCTTTTCACCAAACCAATAGAGAAGTCCCAACTTGACGAGCGAGAGTACAGGTTGATCAAGCTCGAAAATGGCCTCTTAGCCATGTTGATTCAAGATGCCAAGGCCGATATCGCTGCCGCAAGCTTAGATGTGGCAGTTGGTCACATGTCGGACCCAGTGAGTGCATTTCTCGGAGGATTGAAGACATCGTATTGTGTGTCTGCAGTCTGAAGGATGTCTATGAAGAGATGCTAGTTCTTGTATCTTTCCTTGTTCAGAGTGATGGAGATCGGAACCCTTACTAACGGAAAATTTCATAGGATGACATCCCCGGCCTTGCCCACTTTTGCGAGCACTTATTATTCATGGTATGAGCTTTTCTTTTTGCAAATACTGGCTGATGGCGGCCGAATAACATCTATTATAGGGTACCGAACAGTTTCCGAAAGAAAACGAGTACTCTGAAGTGTGTATCATGGACTACCGTTCGACATTTAACTGATTCGCTCTGAATTAGTATCTTTCAAAGAACAATGGCCATTCCAATGCCTATACAGCGCCGGCCAACACCAACTACTTTTTTCGTGTCGCTACCTCGGCGCTCCCTGGAGCGTTAGCGCGTTTTTCCGCGTTTTTCCACTGCCCTCTCTTTGCGTCCTCGTGCACTACGCGGGAGATGAATGCAGTCGACTCAGAGCATTCCAAGAACCATCAGGCGGATCCATGGCGCGTTTTTCAGGTGAACAAACATCTTACCA